GTAAACGCACCTCGAGATATGCGTACTTAGGTCTCAGTTTTTACAGTACAACAGCTGTCCCGCCCTTCAAACCGAAACGCATTACTGCTTCACGGCAGTATTCTATCAGCCCACAGACGTCCACTGCTGGACATAGGCCTCCCCCAAGCCTCGCCACAAAGACCGGTCCTGCGCTGCTTGCATCCTGGTTGTTAGTTCATCTTGTGGGAAACCTACCCACGCTACGCCTTCCAGTACGCGGTCGTCACTTAAGAACTTTTCGGCCCCAATGGCCATCCGTTTTACGAGCAATTTACCACAATATGTACAACAATGGCAGTTGTAAATGCAATTAACTGTAGGCGGTTTTAAGAAAAAAAAAACATGGCGCCATCTTTGAAAATGTTACACGCGCTGCAATGGCGCCGCTCTAATTGAAGTGTCCTTTATACGTGTGACGAAAATGTGACGAACATCCGTGATGGAAAAGGCCGTATTAATGCAAATCAGACTTCAATCTCGTTTAAGAGGAGGACTAATAAGGATTAAATGGTGGAACCTGTTGGAAATGATTATAAATTTAATAAATAAAATGAAATAATTATGTTTGAAAATCTTTTAATATCTTATCTAAATAATTAACTCGCTAAAAACGATGGAATGAATCTTGGCTTGAGACATATTCAGATATACAATACTGGATTCCTTCGTCAGTGCTGCAGTGACGTCATTTGTAGCTAAAACTGTTATAGGAATACTTAGTATTACCTCCTTGGTTGTAAAACTATTTTTGTATTTTATGATAAGGTTACAATAAGTCAAAATATAGCATTTTTAGAAAAGAATAATCCTTTTTTTAGAATGGTAAAAAGAAATATGCTTTTCATTTCAATTTGATACAAATATCGCAATCGTAGCTTTAACAAAAACATAAGAGTTGATCGTAGAACATAAGCGGAGGCAACGATTAGCCACTAATGACGTCACGCATTACGTAATCAAACACCAGCACGTTCCGTTTGTCGTGGATAAAAAGTTACAACTACTAGGTTTCGTTGTTATTATTATTATTATATTATTTGTATCTTATGATTTATATTTCACAAAAATAGTTCAAATTAAAAGCTACTTCAGTTTATGGGACGGTTTTTATTTATTAATTACATAAAAATAAAGTATTTTACAGTCCGTTCGACTTTATAACGAATAATGCGAAGTAAGGTAAGGCATTTTCTTTCGTTGTCTGTTTTAAAAAAAAAAAGTTAAAACATATTTAGTTCTACACTTTGAAATTAGATTAGATTTAACGATGTCGTCACGTAACGAAAAAGCGTTATGCTCCGGGCTTTCGACTAAATAATAGCACAAATGTGACCTTTTTATTAAAAACAAGGATACACATACTGTTACGCCGGTAAGAATAATCTATCTATCGCCGAATAGCCGAACGAATCTCGAAGGATCTAGCAACATCTAGAGCGCTCGATGAGTACAACGCCATCTATTGTCAGATAGCTGAAACGCACGTCGAAGGTACTCGACTTGTTAGGAATGTTGGCAAGTTGGAATGTGGAATTCGGTTCGAGATGTCGTGCTTAACTAATAATTTACTTGTTATAAAATCGAGATTATTACAAATGTTAACCTATATGAATAGCGCATGTATTGTTACGCGCTGGGGTTCGGGATAAATAAATGTTCCAGCAAAGTACAACTTGAAACTGTATTTATCACTTAGCTACTATCGCTTTTATAGTCGAGACGACATCCCTAGATTTATCGAGAACATTCTGGGCAAGTCGAGTAGCTTCGTGTTTCCGCTGACAATAGATGGCATTGTACTTCTAGAGCTTTCTCGAAGTTACGAATTCCTTCGATATTCATTTCGGCTATTCGGCGATAGATGGCGTTACTTTTACTGGCGTAACAATATTACTTCATGGCAGCGTGCTAGAGTGCTAATAGCTTCGCAGCCTCAACCCCTCAGGTCACCCCATGACCTTCACCGAGGCAAGCCGCCTCCGATAGAGGGACCAGCGCGGCCAAGCGAAATATTTTTTTCACATACCTACTCACAACCAGCGTCGACGGGCTAATCTGGGTTCGGTAATCGTGGTAATCAATAAAACCTTTTTTTTTAAAGTGTAATAAATAACAATGTAACACACAACTAAATCTAAATCTTGAGGTAATAGTGTTTAAGGCCATATATCGGTCATCAGCATTTAAAATACAATTACATGCACTATATTATAATTATTTTTATGTCTATTACTTAAATATTCGCGGTCATGTTCGCAACGAGTTATCAGAGCTTTTTAAGCCCGTTATAAGAATGTCAAAAAGTGTTACACATTGTTAAAAGGCGCCTTAACGATCCGATAAAGTTAAAACTCCTTTACAAACGTTTTATAGACTTATTTTTGTGACATTTTTAAATATTGCATTGGACCATTAGTTAATAAAAAGCTAATGAAGGCCTCTTTATTTGTTTTAATACAATTTTGTAATATTCTTGTAGCCGACTCACCGACTATGCCATGAGATTGTCTGAAAGAATTTCTTTCAAATTAACCTAGATAATTTGTACTACCAATCTTATAGTATCTAACATTTGGAGGAACTTTCGAAAATTGATTGGAAACAATCTTTTATGAATTTAGATGTCGACATGGCCGTGGGCAAGTTTCATGAAATCTTAGACAAGATTATTTCTGATAATGTGCCTGTGAAGGTCGTAAGAGGTAACTCCAATTTCCCTTACTGGTACTCATCTGCTTTAATCAAGTTGATTAAAGAAAAAAGAAAATTTCACAGGAAATGGAAATGTTATGGTCGATTGGCCGACTATTCAAGTTTTTCTGTTCTTCGTGAAAGACAAAAAGCCTTAAAAATTTGCTGTTACAATGCACACATAACAAAGTGTGAGGATGATATCTTGAAGTGCAGTAAGCAATTTTGGAGATTTGTTAAATCNGACCTCGTAGGAGGTTCGGCCCTCTACCCGAAAAAAAAAAAAAAAAAAATATTTTGTTATACACTTTGAAATTAGATTGGATTTAATGAAGTCGTCACGTAACGAAAAAGCGTTATACTCCAGGCTTTCGACTTAATAATAGTACAAACGTGACCTTTTTATTAAAAACAAGAATACACATACTGTTACGCCGGTAAGCGTAACGCCATCTATCGCTGAATAGCCGAACGAATATCGAAGGATCTGATACAGCGCTCGAGAGGAGTACAACGCCATCTGTAGCGAAAACACACGTCGAAGGTACTCTACTTGTGAGGAATGTTCTCGACGATTCTAGGGATTTCGTCTCGATTATAAAAGCGTTGCAGAGATGGTACGCAGTCAGTTAGTAATCGGAACTACTCGAAGCGAAACAGCGCACGGATCACCTGAAGCGACGTGGAAGAAGTGAATTGAGAATGTTGAAGTGTTCTATGAGTGTTCTAAGTGATAGATACAGTTTTAATTTGTTATTGGGTGGAACATTCAGTTACCCCGAACCCCAGCGCGTAACAATATCATCATTTTGATAAAAGAGCAACCGGTAGGCGGTGTATCGCGTCCCAACCTGGCAGGCTGGTTCTGGTTCAGCGGGGTATTCCGGGACACCAACGGCACCATCTGGACAGCCTAACGAGCTGCCGTACCGAGATGACCAACATTGCAGAGCCTTCGTTTTTAGCTTCGAAGGCTCCGTCGGCAGGCCGTCCTTGGGGTCATCTGCCCTGACTGGTTTAAGGTTTGACCGCGATAACCGCCTTACCTCACCCGGGTTCTGACCTCGAGGGGGATCGGACACTTGAGCGAAAGTGCATTGGAGTCGTTTAGTGGATAGGGCCCTAAATTCCGAGAACACTCTGGGCAAGTCGAGTATCTTCGTGTTTCCGCTGACAATAGATGGCATTGTACTTCTAGAGCTTTCTCGAAGTTTCGAATTCCATTGATATTCGTTTCGGCTATTCGGCGATAGATGGCGTTACTCTTACCGCCGTAACAATATTACTTCATGGCAGCGTGCTAGAGCGCCTTCCACCTTCACCGGAGGGAAGCCGTCTCCTACAGGGGGACCAGCGCGGCGAAGCGAAATATTTATTTCGCCTACCTACTTACAACCAGTAGCTTCGACGGGCTATTCTGGGTTCTGTAAGCGTGCTGATCAATAAAACCTTTTTTTTTTTAAGTATAATAAAAAAATTGTAGCACACAATTGAATCTAAATCTTGAGGCATCAGTGATTAAGGCCATATTTCGATCATCAGCATTTAAAATACAATTACATGCACTATATTCTTATTATTTTTATTTCTATTACTTAATATTTGTGGTCATGTTCGCAACGAGTTATCAGAGCTTTATAAGCCCGTTATAAGAATGTCAAAAAGTGTTACACATTGTTAAAACGCGCCTTAACGATCCGATAAAGTTAAAACCCCTTTACAAACGTTCTATAGACTTATTTTTGTGACATTTTTAAATATTGCATTGGACCATTAGTTAATAAAAAGCTAATGAAGGCCACTTTTTTTATTGTTAATTTGTTTTAATACAATTTTGTAATATTCTTGTAGCCGACTCACCGACTATGCCATGAGATTGTCTGAAAGAATTTCTTTCAAATTAACCTAGATAATTTGTACTACCAATCTTATAGTATCTAACATATTATATCTTTATATATAGGTTTTTAATATTAAAATTCAATTTTTTTATTTCATATTCAAAAATAGGTATTTGTTTATTAATATTTTAAAATTAACTAAGCTGAAAGCAATAAAAAAATATAAAAAAACCCGAAAAAATAAATGTCTCGAAGACATTAAATTATTGACATGTAATAATATAATGTAATAATATAATATATAATAATATAATGTAATAATTAATAAAAAATCTAACCTTCGGATAGAAAATAAATCTGATACTTATAAAATTGAATTTCAAGTGAAAAACCTATATACCTATTTTAAGTTTATATTATGTATATATTATGTACCGTGTATGTGGGAAAATCGGTATTTTTTATTATTTAGTTCACACTGGTATACTAGATTTGTTTTATAATGAATTTAATTATCATTCATCGACTAAGATTAAGATGAGACAAGTTTTTTTTATTAAAATTTTAAAGTTACAATGTAGGTTAAAATCCACCACTAGGTTTCGCCCTACAATCCCACATATATTTATTAGGTACTAGCTGTACCCGTCCGCTTCGCTGGGCATTTAATATTAACATTATTATTTCTCACCCCCACAAAGATTCTCATCATTAACGCCCCCGCAACTGGTATAGGGAGTCCAACACTCATATAAATATTAGCCTATCCATTAAGTACATGTATTTTCTACATCGATACCAAGTTTCGAATCAATCGGAAGCATGGTTCAGTAGTTATAACGGAACATCCGTAGAAACCACTATAGATTTATATATTAGTATAGATATACTTGTTATTCCGGCGCTGGTGAAGACGCCCTTTCGCCATCTGATATGACAGCAAGTACGAGGGCTCGCGCGGGTAACGCAGCTAACATCATCGAAGCCCCGGATATCGCGCACTGCGATCTCCACGAAGCTGACAGGAAACATAACGTCACTGTCAAACAACTGGACTTTCTGAAGTGACATCTTCAGCATCGTTGTGATTTGGAAGTCGATGAAACGAAAAAATGACAGCAAAAAGAGACAGACACATAAATTCATAGGATATAACGTGGAAGAAAATGAGATGGGAAGTGTAATACCGTGTTTTTTTTAATACAGCGCCATCTATGAGATTTTTTTATTACTAACGTGTATGAAACCACTTGTATGTAATGCATTTTAATTTAGGATAATACGTGAAGTTAAGATATCAATTCACAGAGTCTAGCGCACTCTTCATGCTATAAAACATGATGATTTTCAATTTTAAAATAACGACGACAAATTTTTACTTATTCTTAGACATATAAGTTACTTGAATTTTAATTTTTGAAGGCTTCAGTTCTACCACGTGTGAATTGCACACATGTATTTTATCTAAATATAGATAGATATGTGGAATAATAGTGAATTTTTATTTATTTTTAAATACTGTTTTTTTTAAATACGGCAACATTTTACTTGACATTTGCTTAAAGCTGTCAGTGTTATGTAAAAGTCGAACCAATGTATGAATGCTGTATGGATCTGAATTTTGGGCGACTTAAGTTAAGCATGAAAGAGAAGTGCATGCGGCAGAGATGCAAATGTTGAGATGGATGTGTGGAGTTACAAGAATGGACAAGATAAAGAATGAGTATATCAAAGGAAGTGTGAAAGTAGACCCGGTGATTGAAAAATTAAGGAGTCGACGATTATGCTATGCGCATTACTAATATTCGCTCACCAAACTCAATTGACTTAGACATCGAACACAAAGCGATCGTACGCGAATGCTCGCCGTCAATCAGTCCGCAGCGAGCATACACCCAGCAAGCTGTCGTACTTGTTAGCAGACATGTGAACACTAAAATTGAAAACATGATTTTTTTTATTGCTTATATGGGTGGACGAGCTTACAGCCCACCTGGGTCATAACGCTCGGAAAATACTGTATAGGGGACTTAACCGCAGAACCAGATGGTATGTGGCTCTCACAACTAGAATACATGACTGCTTAGCGGCAGAAATACGCAGAACGATGGTAGCCACCCGTGAGGTCTCACACTACGCCCTACCATTAAATGTCTGGTAGCTTCTGTATTCATCAATTCGCATTAAACAAAAATCCATTGTGTTCATAAGGACATTGAACACCTTCAATATTATTTTTTTCAAACTAACCTTTCTTTATTGGTTTTACGGGTGGTAGGACCTCTTGTGAGTCCGCACAAGTAGGTACCACCACCCTGTCTAATTCTGCCGTTTGAAGGGTTTCGGTTTGAAAGCCGTTGTAACTGTACTGAGACCTTAGAACTCATATCTAAGGTGCGAAGCGGTGTTTACGTTGTAGATGTCTATGGGCTTTTTCTTTTCGGGCCGGGGGCCGAACCTCCTACGTGTCTAAGGGCTCCGGTAACTTCCTAACACAAGGTAGGCTGTGAGCTCGTCCACCTATATATGCAATAAAACAAAAAAATGCGCGAAAATCACAGCCAAACATGGCCGAATTATACAAATCAATCATGAAATCAATTCACATCGAACTCACCGAGCAGAATGATGGCGAATAAGTCGAAGACCTTCATGACGCCGCCCGCATTGTCGAAGTACTGACAGCACTCCACATATAAGAGAACGAGGGCATAGGTTCTCGCTTCGGTCACGCTGCGCTTCGTGGAGCCGTGCCGTTTCGCGTGGTACACACCTATAGCGTACGGCGCTACTGCCGATACGACCGTTACAAGCACCTTCGTTTCTGGCTTCGATGGGTGACCACACTGTAACGAAATCTCCTTGGACGTTTCGACATATTCCATAAGTATCGTAGAGTGTAATGGCTTCAGGTAGTTAATACGGTTTGTCACTACAAATGCACCAGTTAAGTTCGGTCTTTATTTTATGACCAATTTACGCAGATGCAAATACGATCCACCGGATGGATTGTAGTTACTATCGCTCATGGACGTCAGCAATGCCAGAGGCACAGCAAAGTCGCTGCCTACCGCTGAGTTCTCTTCGCAAGCCCCGTTTGAAGAAGGATATATCTTAGAGGGGGCTTCACCCGTCTTCTGGAAGATTTCTGGAAACGCACTATGTGGCCTCACTCGGGGTTTAGAAACGAACCGTTTTTAAGGGATTTTATGACCTGGTAACTAAGGCCTTTAGGCCATGCCTTATTTAAATTTATATTCTTATTTTTATGAAAAATGATAACATGAAGTGAAGCGAAATGAAATGAAAATGATTAATTTGAGGTATTAATCAACTGGGATGAAATTAAATGAAATGAGATGAGATGATATGGGATGAAATATAATCTCAGTAAAATGGTGGTCATTTACTGAGATTTTTTCAGTGGACTTTTTGGAAGATCCCGAGAAGCTACGTTCAGCGGCTTTGTTTCATTTTCCCACATTCGTGCACTTTCACAGATACTAAACAGTTAATAAACCACCGTTATTAAACATTTAAACCTGAAGAAACACTAAATAGACAAAATAAAACCAATCACACAACTTCACTCCTCGCGATCTCGCCAAAAAGTCCAGACGCGAACCGTTGAGCGAATCGATGTTGCCAACTCGTAGACCAGAGATTCCCTCCTAAGCGAAACAGGAGACGCTATAAGCTGAAAACGACGAGGCTTAACTCAACTCACCAGTATAAACAAAGACAGCGGTATCGCTACAAGCGACGCGACGTAGTTGAAAGCCACCACCGCGGCCGCAGCGTCGCTGTCGCTCAACGTGATCGACAGCCACATGGTCGGAGCACCAACTGAGGAATACAACGCCCTGGAAGCCAACCAAAAAAAATCAAACTTTCCCACCGCTCGTGAGATATACGGGCGCTTGGAGAGTGATCTTTCTTAGTGAATGCGATCTTATTAACCGATGTATTAAGATCTGTCAGTAAAGCTCTTTCCTTGATTTTTTATGGTAATTATGAATGAACAAAACGTCAACGCCACGAGAAGACCACGACCACGACAAGAGGTCGATCATTGTAATGTGCAGCGGTTGTGACAAGCCATCTGCTTCGGAGCAGATATACGTAGTACTGACTGATATAAGCTGACGGTGGCGCAGTACTTAAGGCTCCTAACTGTCGCGCCGAGGGTCATGGGTTCGATTCCCTAATTAATCGAAGCGAAACCATCTAGTGGCCGACGCCCGTTAGCATTTTTGTTGAGTGCTTGAGTTGCTTATCTTATCTGCCCTTAGTTGTGTGGGTGAGCAATCTGTATACTCGTCAATGTAGTAGCTACTGACCGCGCCATCAGATACACACACTAACGAAAATGTATATTTACGATTACAACTACAAATAAAGGCCACGCGCGCTCGTGCTTTGCAACAACTTTAAAAGCCGCGCCAATAAAGAAACGAATCTAAAATGTCGGCGGCGATCATGCGCTCTCACTCTAAACTATTACTGTCTTTAGCCGGACACGGCGGGTACTGCATGCAAAAAAAAAACAGTTCTGACTGGTAAATAAAATGGCCTCTCACAAACGAGGAAAAGTCCTTCACAGTGATGCACGCGAAATCATGTATAACGTTAATAAATACTTTAAAGAGGAAAAGAATCTCGAGAACAGAAATTCTCATTTGTTTTTTTATATTTTTTTTACAATAAACAACTTTTTCTTTCTATCTTTCTTTTTATTTGTTAACCCTACCATCTGTCAGTGCAGGTACAGAGACGCCATTTTCGATTCGTTTCTTTATTGGCTTATACCTAAGGTCGAAACTCACCCTTTAACAATACCGATATCGGTCAGGTCTCTGATAGCCGACACGATGACCACGTGTATACAAGGTATAACAATATGAGTGTGCACGCACGTTATCAGAATGACGGTGGTCGGTAATTTTATAGGTAGGACAGTCTGCCTTCCCGCCAAATAGTAGATGTATGAAAGGAGTAGATACGACGTGTATTCCGTGTGGATAATACCTGTGAATAGATTTTATTTGGTTATATTATCAAAACATCTTGCTGCTGCAGTGATGGATGTGACGTGCCTATTCTAATGATTTAATTTACAACGTGCAAGAGAAGAGCACTCGAAATATCTGGATCTAAGACCCATCCTTTGATGTTTAACATCATAGCGAGTACTGTAGGGTATCAGTTGGTGATGATCCAGTCATCTCTTTTTTTCTATTGTACCACCGGTACCCCGGGTACAATTGATCATTTCTACCCCCATAATGCGTTTCCAGATATAATTTTGGCATTTTCCAAACACATCGTCGCACCAGTTGACTGTGTGGTATCGGCTAGAGTAGCAAAAATCGATTCTCTTTCCGCGTGTATCGAATAAGGAGACTAAGGAATTCCCTGGATAATTAACCTCCCCTTGGAGTACTTAACATCCCTGGAGAAAAACACTGCTGCCACATTGCAGTTTTGAGAATTGGACAATTGTTATACCCAAAGTTCCCCCTACTCGATGTGCGTGGCCACTTTCACTTAGAAGTATGGTCTGCGTTAACCACTTTATACCAGTGTGCTTAGTGCGAGTTTTTTATCGTTCTCGATAGCGTAAAAGTTAGCTCATATTGGATGGAATGGTATCGTTTGCCTACGTTTGCCGCTAGGGGCGCTGTTCCAACTGCATACAAAATTGGGTTAACTTTTACACTATCGAGAACGTTAAAAATCTCGCACTAAGCACACAGGTCAGTTGTGTGCTCGTTCGTCCATATACGAAATCAAAAATAGTATTAGCAAGTTCCCCGCATGAGCGCGCAATCGTAAGCAAAGACGGCTAACGCGATCGCAAAATGCATTCCATTGCGTGCGGTGCAAATAACATACCGAGGGGTGAAAGGCTATCTTTGTAATTAAAGGTCCGTTTTATTCGATATCAGTATCACAGCAATTCCTTTTTTTTCTTTTTTTTTTTAAATTTGCATAATTACTGGTGGTAGAACCTCTTGTGAGTCTGCACGGGTAGGTACCACCACCCTGCCTATTTCTGCATTTCGGTTTGGGTTTGAAGGGTGGGGCAGCCGTTATAACTATACTGAGAACTTAGAACTCATATCTCAATGTGGGTGGCAGCATTTGTAGATATCTACGTAACCAACAATCTATATAATAATAAAAAAATAATACTTTATATATGCCGAGAAAGAACTAGAAGCACATAATCTCAAGTCTAATTGACAAAGTTACTTGGTTATTGCCAGCAATTTTAAATGACAGCACACAGATCATCTGGTGATTAATGGTCACCAATTCCCACAGGCACTGGACATAGCTGCCCACTAACTGAGCTTAATGAATTAATCAATGATAATTCGAGTAAACTTCAGGGCATGTTCCTGATAGATTTTCTCCATAGATTCCCGCCCAAAACTATTTCTATATCACATATTCTAGTTTCTGTTTAATATTGTAGGAATCTAGATGAGAGTTAAGCGGAGGCTAATTAAAATCTAAGTTCAGATAGTAAAAAATGACAGTAGCTTTGTAACAATATGATAATCAAAATTCAGTCAAGCTTTTAATTTAACATAATGTGAATGAGATATGTATGCAATTTTCGTGTTTTATTTTCAATATTTTAAAAAACATTCAAAATCTATTTTTAATAAACCTTTTGTATTCATATAAAAAATTATTAAAATAAGCTTTATATAATACATGTAGAGTATTAATATAAAAATAAGTGTAAAATTTCTTTAAAAGCATGTTCTACCTAGAATAGGTTAAACTGAATTGTAAAGATTCAATTACGTGATTTCATGGGGTGCACTGCGTTCTAGAATGATCTATAAGTGAACATGCGGTTTTGTTTGCCTCCTGATGCGCCTATCCCAGGTGTTAGAACCGCCAATGTTATCACAATAAATACGCCGATAACGAGCCATTTTTTCGTCAATTCTTTCCACAAGTCCACATTGTATTCACTATTTTTCGATATAATAAACTTCTTTGGACTTCGGACGAGCTCTTTTGATACACTAACACCGGTAACAAAAGTCATTGTTTTTAAAATGCAGTTAGATTTTTTAAATGTAGAAAATAAAATATTCGTTTTAGTTTTTTTTTCTATTACTTTAACATTATAACTTTGTGTTTTATAAAAATTACAAGTAATGTGTGGTGGGCTTATTTTTTACTTTGTAATAATGTGGACGTGACGGCAATCAATATTTTTTGGTAAAGTTTCAAATAGAGCCGCGCATCTGCATTGCCGTAAAGCATTCTCATTGATTGTTGACATTTGACAGTTCAGTTCTTTTAAAAGATTTTATGACCTGGTAACTAAGACTTATAGGTCAAGGCCTATTTTAATTTATATTCATATTTTTATGAAAAATGTTCATACGCGGTGAAATTGAATGAAGATGATTCATCTGAGACATTAATCAACTGAGATGAAATTAAATGAAATGAGATGTGATGATATGGGATGAAATATAAGCTCAGTACAATGGTGGTTATTTACTGAGACTTTTTCAGTGGACTTTTTGGAGGATCCCGAGCAGCTACGTCCAGCAACTTTGATTCATTTTCCCACATTTCTGCACTTTCACAGATATTAAACAGTTAATAAACCACCGTTATTACACATTTAAATCTGAAGAAACACTAAATAAACAAAATAAAACAAATCACACAACTTCAATCCTCGGATTCCCACCAAAAAGTTTAGACAGTTTAGTCGTCGATTGATACCTCAGAATATTAAATAACAGTGAAAAAGCACGAAATCTTTTCATAAAATGTGATTTAGAAAAAAAAAACAAAAATAAATAGGGATATTGCTTTTGTAAGGGCAACAATTCGTAAAGAAATAAAGGGAGAAAACAATCAGCTTTTCATTACAAACCCAAAATTCCCTACAATTTTACACAATGTAAATGTCTGGGAAAAGCTACCCCTTTGCATGTCCGATTTAAAAAAAAATTTGACAATCAGCTGCAAATATTGTGTTTAATCTATGATCAGCTGTATAAATAACGTAGTGATTATATACTCTTTGATCAGCTGAGTGGATAAAAAGCGTTTAGGAGGCGAATAACAATTAGAATTTCTCTTATTTTCATTGAACTAACAAGTAGAAACGTCATTCTTATAATAGGCTGAAAAATGTTTCAAAATACAATAAGGCATATCAACGTTTTATCAAAAAGAAAACTTCCTATTATGAGGTTAGTGCCTTGTAAACAACATCTTTTTTCATGCAATACTATTATAAATTGTTATACTTGTTCATTCCATGAATGAATAAGTACAACAGTTCAGGATCGACCTCACTTGTGGTATCATAAAAATTAAATAATTGAAACTCATCAACCAAAATTTTCCAATTTTTAACGTTGCCCAAAAACCACCAATATTTAATTCGTATTATATAGCTCTCAATTTGGCACTCACAATAAACAAAAAAAAATATATATCTTAATTCGTATTTTAACTTAAACAAGACTCAAGAAGCAATGAGTAGCAAAATATATTATAACTTATCCATATTAAAGTTGTGAGTCTCAGCTTATTACGCTTACAAATTATAACTAATCCACTGATCATCATAATTTTCTTGATTCACATTCCAATTGACACAAAAAGGACAATCACCACAATACTTCACTTCACTTTCACTCACTTCTTGTGAGTCAGCGCGGGTGGGTACCACCACCCTGCCCAGTTCTGCCGATAAGCAGTAACGTGTTTCGGTTTGAAGGGTGGGGCAGCCGTTGTAACTATACTTGAGACCTTAGAACTTATATCTCAAGGTGGGTGGCGCATTTAAGTTGTAGATGTCTATGGGCTCCAGTAACCACTTAACACCAGGTGGGCTGTGAGCTCGTCCACCCATCTAAGCAATAAAAATAAATAAAAAGGCAGCGGCTTGGCTCTGCCCTTGGCATTGATGAAGTCCATGGGCGACGGTAACAACTCACCGTCAGGTGGTTCGTCTGCCTACACGGGCAATAAAAAAATAAAATAAAAATAACATTACAACAAAAATGCACCATGCTTAAAAGATAGAAAAAACTAACTGTCAGAGATAGCCCTCCTAAGTGACAAAAACAAAGGCAACCATGAAAAAAGAAGTAGTGTATCGAAAAACTGTCATCAGTCAAGTTTTTCAATGGCCATCGTTACAAAGAATGCTTGCAATGGCCGACTTTTTACATATTAAAAGACATGCATAGTACATAGCAGCACTAACATCCAAAACATCTGAATTGATAGGCAAAGTCTATGAAGCACAATTCCACGTAATATTACTTATAGGTTTGATGAATTTGCGAAAACTATTCTAGAAACAGGAAAGTAGCACAAATGTTCACAGCAGGTAAGGTCTGCTGCATTGAAATTTTTTCAAACACAATCTACCTTTTAATGGTTGTGCCATTGCTGTGATCCTTTAACAATAGTGATCAAAAGCAAAATTAGTAGCAGAAGCAAAATTATAAAAAAAATATATAGCAATATATTATATTGCTGTGAATTGATATTGATATTGATAATAAATGTATACAGTTTTACACGTACCAAAGCAGCGTACGAAGGAGAGGGCAAGACGACTGTGAGAGTTCTGAACAACGAATATGACCTCGGACTAATGATTGACTCTTTTGCTACTGTAAGTTATTTTTAATATTTTAGACAACCGATCTTTGCGCCAGTTTAGATCTTTATAGTAACTCTTAAATAGACATACAAATAAATTTTGAGAATCAATTAAGATAGGAAGAGATTGAGATCACTCGAGAGAAATCTCAATTGTATTTATGTAACGATTAACCAAGCTGCTACCTACTTGTGTAGCCGCACAATATGTCCTACCACGAGCTCATATAGTTTATATATATAAATATACCATATACAATTACAATAGCCAGCGGCTTTGCTCTGTCCCTGGCATAGCTGATGTCCATGAGTGACGGTAACCACTTTTTTTTCTACCTTAGCTGATAGCCTTGAGAGGCTATTTCAGCGTAACCTTAACTAGTAGGTGAGCTCACGGGGCTCAAACCTAACGACGTTGCTAACACGAACCCTAGCAAGAGCCGGACTTCGCAGAATGTACCACCGGATCGGAAACGCGACCAACTGAGAAGATCCGGCGAGAAGCTCAGTGTGCTGTGTCTGTGGGTTAATTTACTCGTCGAGCCCTTCGTCGCAAGCGACGGATTCGACCAGAACGATAACTGGGGTAACCACTCACCATCAGTTGAACCGTATGCTTGTTTGCCAACAAAAGAAAAAAAGAAAAGAAAGAAATGCAAATTTATTTAAGCGTTTTATTTTCAGTATGGCTTCAAGTTAAACAACGGCATCACAGTTTTAGGACCTATGGCCATATTTCCAAGGTAAATTTTATATAACATTATTGCAACATGTTTGACTTGCTATAATGACCTACCCTGCAAGAAAAACACAACTTAAATGTATGATGAGACCCTTAATACAATAATTGATTAATAAATGACACAAATTGCTTATACTCGTAATTATTTAATATTTATTTATTCAATTAATTAGTCATACCAAAGAGATAACTAATTCAGAAAATATCAGAATTTATAGGTATATATAGTAATGTCACCTCACCTATAGATACAAACTATGGTGCAATAGTTGACAATGATATTAACAATGATGATATTTAGAATTTTACAATTAACGATAACACATGATACGGTTCACCTCAATCATAGAGCAGAGCATATTATTACATACTTAATTCCCAGACGGATCGAGGGTCTATTCCATTATCACCATAGATGAGCTCACGGGGCTCACCCTGAGAGAAATTGGCAACATCTGCCCTAACTAGAGCAGAGCTTCAATGAATCTACCACCGAATCAGAATAGCGGCCCACTGAGGAGATCGGGAGAAGTGATTATTTATGCTGTAAAGCAGTAATGCGTTGCTGTTTGCAGTCGTTTTACTGATAAAGCTTAGAGCTTAGAACTTTGTCTCAAGGTATTTACGGTGTAGATTTCTATGGGCTCGGGAAACCAAGTAGACCGTGAGCTCATCCGAACATCTAAGTCGGTTGTTAGGTAGAGTCTGCCTGCGCTTTAACTTTATTTACCCTCAATTCTCTCTATGTTGTAGACTGTATAGCTTAAGATTATATATTTTTGGTCTCATTAAGAGTTTTAGCTCATGGCAAATCTTTTTTTTTGCTTAGATGAATGGAAGAGCTCACGGCCCACCTGGTGTTGAGTGGTTACCGGAGCCCATAGACACCTACAACGTAAATGCCGCCACCCACCTTGGAGTATGAGTTCTAAGGTCTCACTTGTAACAGTACAACGGCTGCCCCGCCCTTCAAACCGAACCGCATTACTGCTTCATGGCAGAAATGGCAGGGCGGTGGTAGGTGCGGGCTCACAAGACGTCCTACCACCAGTAAAAATTAATAATCATTCGATTAATTATCGAACTCCGACCGCATACCAAATAGCAATGAAAATTCCACTTAAATGGCGTTGATGGTCATTTTTCCAGAACGGTATTATCTTGGCAAGTCGCAGATTCGGATGACGTCACCGAGGAGTCCCTGAAGCTGTTCAAACTGCTCGAGCCTAGAATCGATCTGCTTGTAAGTACGTTAACGTTGTTGATGTCTACGGACTCCCGGGGACCACTCAACACCGGGTTGGCCGTGAGCTCTTTATTTTTTGCTATGCTGATAGCCTTGAGAGGCTATATCAGCGTTACCCTAGCGTGTAGGTGAGCTCACGAGGCTCAAACCGGAGGTGTTGCTAACACTGGCCCTAGCAAGAGCAGTGCCTCGCAGAATCTACCACCGGATCTGAAACGCGACCCACTGAGAAGATCCGGCGAGAAGCTCAGTGGGCAACACGTCGTGAGTTCGTCCAGGCATTTGAGCAATAGAAAAAAAAAGGATTGTTTATGAAACCACGGTAAAAGTGAAACTTTTTTTCAAATTATAGACATTTAACTCTGACAAACAACATTTACATTAAACACTGACAAAAACAAACAAAATAGCGTGGAGCACTGGCACAAATGAGTAATAGTCTATACCCTACACGGTCAGCTGCTGCGAACTATAGGCGGCGCCATATTGGCCTTGCCTGCTCTGACGAGCGCCTTTCACTTTATCCCTACTTCGCGGCCGACCGTCACGCGACATGCAACACACAGACGAAAAAGTTTGAAACGATGTAATAAAATTTTTACTTTAAATATCCTTTCAGATCTTAGGCTTGGATACGACGGATCGTTCGAAAATAGACAAAGCATTCAGGGCGGCCCGCGCGAACGAATTGAACATCGAAATCTTGGCAACAGAACATGCCTGTTCCACATTCAACTTCCTGAACGCAGAGGGCAGGTGAGTTGTCTAAGGACGCGTCTAAATTAGTCTATGGTAAGCCATAGACTAACTTTTACACGCTAGCCCTTTTTTTTATTGCTTAGATGGGTGGACGAGCTCACAGCCCACCTGGTGCTGAGGGGTTACTGGAGCCCATAAACATCTACGACGTAAATGCGCCACCCACCTTGAGATATAAGTTCTAAGGTCTCGAGTATAGTTACAACGGCTGCCCCACCCTTCAAACCGAAACGCATTACTGCTTCACGGCAGAAATAGGCGGGGTGGTGGTACCTACCCGTGCGGACTCACAAGAGGTCCTACCGCCAGTAAGAGACAAGAGGTCATACCACCACCATATGACCTTTTTATGGTGCCTACCAGCCTCTGGACCGTTCTGGCTTCCCCTTGATTAGTGACCGAGCCTACGGGGCTCAGACGTCGCTAACATTAGCCCTAGCAAGAGCAGAGCTTTGTTGAATCTACCACCAGATTGGGATCGCGACCCACTGAGAAGCTGCGGCCAGAAACTCATTTCAGGTTTAGACCAGATGATCGTCTTTATTAAATTCTATGATCATTTGGAGACGCGGTCTATATTTACAATAAATAAATAAAACAAATGTCCTGTTTTATAGACCTGTTGTTAAATGTGTAGTTACCAGAGACATGACAATGTAACTGCTCCTATGATAGGACATTAGATGTAATTCTCAATTGTATTCTAAGACTCCACCTTTAAATCGAAACGTTTGGCTGGGTCGTGATAGAAATAGGTACGTTATTGATGCCGGGTTTCCAACGCGCCTTATCAGCAGTGGCTTTCCCTAGTAGGCCTCATGAGAAACAGACTGTGGCAACACTGAAGAGAAATTTTGTCATTGATATCGAGGACTGAATGGCTATATTTTTAATTTTCTGGAACTTTATTTTACAATTTTTGTCTTTCTGTCTGTATGTTTGTTGCGGCTAATCTCTGTAACGGCTGGACCGATTTTGACGGGACTTTCACTGATAGGTAGCTGATTATATAAGGAGTAACTTAGGCTACCTTCTTTTTTTTAGACTAGCTTCACCCTGCGGCGTCACCCGCGGTACGATAATAACTGCGGGTAACATTGCGGGACTCAGCTAGTACTAAATAAAACGCATATTTAATTAAATAGATAAGTATCGCTTAAACCAAATACCCTTTCACCCGTCGATATGATTTTCTGTGTGTCTTTGTGTTTAGATCCGTGGCTGCTGCCCTGATACCACCGTTCAAAGTCAACATGAACGAAGACGATATGCTTGAAGTGAAGATGCACTACAGTGATATATTCCAGAAAGGATTCTCGAAGCCTTCAGGGAAATAAAGAAAATCACTGGCAACACTGTGTAGTGTGTGTAAAAGTAGGGACTTTTGTCGGGAGCACGCAAAGCGGTTTGCTGTTTTATTTAGTCAATTTAGATTACTGATTTGAACGTGTAATGGTCGATTAAGAAATGTTTCCTCATTGAGAAAATTCTCGAGCGTAGAGAAATTGTTAAAAACGCTTCTTTTATCGAAAAATCTAGGGAAATATATACAAAAATTCCCGACATTTTACCGATGTATTTTTTCTTACTTAACAGTGTTATAAATTTAGTATATAAAATAAATAAATAACACAAATACAAAAGTTGCATTAAAAGTTAATTTTTTTAAAGTTACTTTTAACACATAAGATGTGCTGCAAAAACCAGGAATAAAGTAACTAATATTTTATAATAACTATGGAGGATAGAAGTAAACCTCCACCATCTCAGTATTTTAAAAAGTGTCCCTGAAAGGGTGCGAATTAAGATGGTGCCACAGTAGCAAGTGGAAGGATTTTAGACAGTGCCATTACTTACCCCACTTCACTTCAACCCGGCACACTTTGCTCTGTTTAAAACTGCTATATGCATATCATTTCCACATCCTACATTAGCGCTATTTCGCTGAGTCTTCCAAGGACTGGATGTTTACAGATGGACGCTTTTTCAATTAATCCCCTATACAAGATGGGGCTCTTTACACCTACCCTCCATAATATTAAATGTGATAAGGGCTTTTCTGTAAGAAACCGCTCCGAGAGCGTCCCGCTGTCGAATTGCTGGTTCATTTTTGTCACCGATATCTCGTTTTAGAGCTCATAGACGTCACACCGAGAAGCCTAAAGGCTATTTATGAATCTAGCGGTAGAGAGTGATTCACGGGTTCTATACACTCTGGTAAACATATGATTATAACATAACTAAGTTATGTTTAAAGCTGTTTTCCTTAATACTTGCTTTCTCTGTTAACTAATTGTGTTTATGTAAATATTAGTTGAATAAAGACATTGAAGAAATTTTATTAATACGCTTTTATTAGCTTCAGACTTATGTAAGTTTGTAACAGAATCTTTGAACATGATTTTGACCCCCTACAAAACGTCGAATCAACTCGAAATTTGGTATACTTATTAAGGACCGATGACAATTCAATATTTAAAAAAAAATGGATAAAAAAACAAATATCTATCGAGAACGTTAAAAAACTCGCACTAAACACACTGGCATTGCCGATGTCCACGGACAACGAAGATATTATTTATGGCCAAAAAAACAAAGTAAATTGGCTGTTCAAATTATTATTTTATAATAGTAATATTAAAAACAAATCTATGGAGAATAGATAGACTACGGAATGAATATGTTAGAGGAAGTCTGAAAGTGTCACCTGTGCAAGAGAAGTAGAGAAGCGCGCGTTTGGGATGGTATGGACATGTGATGAGACGAAATGAGAATGAGGTAGGTGGTAGGACCTCTTGTGAGTCCGCACGGGTAGGTACCACCACCCTGCCTATTTCTGCCGTGAAGCAGTAATGCGTTTCGGTTTGAAGGGTGGGGCAGCCGTTGTAACTATAATTGAGACCTTAGAACTTATATCTCAAGGTGGGTGGCGCATTTACGTTGTAGATGTCTATGGGCTCCAGTAGTCACTTAACACCAGGTGGGCTGTCAGCTCGTCCACCCATCTAAGCAATAAAAAAAAGGGCTAGCGTGTAAAAGTTAGTCTATGGCTTACCATAGACTAATTTAGGCGCGTCCTTAGACAACTCACCTGCCCTCTGCGTTCAGGAAGTTGAATGTGGAACATGCGTGTTCTGTTGCAAAAAAAAATTAAAAAATGAGGTTGGTAAGAGAGTTTTAACTATGAACGTGGAAGGATATAGAGGAAAAGGCAGACAAAAAGAAATGGATGGATTACGTGAAAGACTATATGTGTAAGAGGTGAATGAGCGAACAAATGGTATATGATAAAGGAGTCTTCTTGTTCTTCTCAATCGTGTCACTCTTGACAGAGTGGTCGTGATCGTCATGTAGTGTTGGAAGGGGCAGACTTGATGCGTCTCACGATGTCGCGCCATCTCTCCCTGCTCGAGGCCATTCTACTCCACTCATTTAGGGGACCTCCCACTGCAGTTTTAATTTGGTCGGTCCACCGTATTGGTGGCCTCCCGCGCGGTCTTGTACCATCAACGCTTCCCTGTACAACGAGGCGTTCTATGGACCGGCCATCTCGTCGCGAAACGTATCGTCGAGGAGTATCGAAGGACAAACATGGTGCGCCGACCCCAGGTGACTGGGAGAAGGGCAGGATAATGATAGTGATGATTGAAAACAAACACTTCAAACAACACGTTAAATTTCTAATTTATTCACAATTAAAACTGATACAATAAATAAATTCTTGGTTTTTATCGACAATGTCCGACGCTGATGCTGCTTCAACTTCACAATAAAACTGCGTAAAAAAAAATAAAAAATTATATTATTATATCGACGCTTGAAAGGAAAAAGTGACTAAGCGACAATAACTGCTTTGTACATAAATGATAGGCAATAACCATATTCGATGCGCAAAAAAAAATACTTCTAGGTCTACTAAAATCATTTCAATCCTACAGCTACTAGCTAGATTCTACTACAGCTAGATTCGTTAAAATAAATTTTATTGTCATGTATTTCAACTTTAAATTAGTCTACTGTAAAGTTCACGCATTGTCGCTTAGTCACGTTTGCCTTTCAAGCGTCGATATGCTTAATACAATGCAACGTAAAAACATCATTAGATAATATTATAGCTTTTTTTTTTTTTTTTTTTTTTCCTACCTAAGCTGATAGCCCTAGCGGCTATTTCAGCGTAACCCTAACTTGAGTAGGTGAGCTCACGGGGCTCAAACCTGACGATGTTGCTAACACGAACCCTAGCAAGAGTCGTGCTTCGCAGAATCTACCACCGGATCGGAAACGCGACCCACTGAGAAGATCCGGCGAGAAACTCAGTGGGCTGTGTCTGAGAGTTAATTTACTCGTCGAGCCCTTCGTCGCAAGCGACGGGTTCGACGAGAACGGTGACCGGTGCTTGAAGTACCTAAAAGCACCGTTAGTGGATCGGGAGGATCCGAGATGACGTGTTTTGGGCGACGTCGACTGCTTTCCATTCTGTCCGCAGGATCGGGAATGTAGTTACCGGCGGCCACGATGAGAGGGTTCTCGTGTCGTGCCGCTTTATCGAAGTGGCAGATATTATAGCATTATATCATTATAGGGCGTTTCAACTAAGAATGTGCAAGTCAATGACCTTGATCTGTCAAAGTTCGATTAAAAAGTATGGACAGCAAAACAAATTTTTTATCTTTTATTTTAGTGTTTTTTTTGCCTAATTATGAAGACTTTTTTTATTGTTTAGATGTTTAGACGAGCTTACAGCCCACCTGGTGTTAAGTGGTTACTGGAATCCATAGACATCTTCAACGTAAATGCTGCCACCCACCTTGGAAATCCCCCCTTTTCTCCTATATCACCTCTTGGGCTCCTTGGGTCGGGCGAGCCACCTTCTGTTTTTTTTTTTTTTTTTTTCTCTACCTAAGTTGATAGCCTTGATATGCTATATCATACCGAACGAGTAGGTGAGCTCACGGGGCTCAAACCGGAGTGATGCTAACACTGGCCCTAGCAAGAGCCGTGCTTCGCAGTACCTACCACCGGATCGGAAACGCGACCCACTCAGTAGATCCGGCGAGAAACTCAGTGGGCTGTGTCTGTGGGTTAATTTACTCGACGAGAACGATGACCGGTGCTTGAGGTACCTAAAAGCGCCGTTAGCGGATTGAGAGGATCCGTGATGACGTGACCGCGTTCTGTGTCTTTTACCTCTCTACAAGAAGTGCACTCCGAGCCCGAACTGGAGGCCGTGGGCGGTGCAGTCGTTGGTCCGGGCCTTCAGCGGCGCGCAGTAGTTCAGCTCGAGCCGCGCCACGCTGCCCAGCCGCAGCGCGACGCCGGCGCCGCACGACACGCGCGCGGAATTCGCCCATTCCCAATTCGTTAAACCATTATCTGACGAATTCAATTCAAATTCAATTCATTCCAGTCCACCTGGTATTCTTAATGAAAAATAATAAATATTAGGCTCTTTGGTGAAACAAAATAGAATTTTTAATAATTAATTTGATAGAATGTTTTTATAGTTGTAGATTCGTTTGTATTCTTGAAGTGGTTACTGGAGTCATTAATGTTACGCATGTCAACAATTGTTTGAAACGGTATTCATGAGAATTCATGACTATGCTACCCCCTCACTACTCTACTATAAATACGAGTGACTATTGTCGCACGAAACATTCCGACTTGATCAACCGCTTGAAGCGGAGCTTTCTGTTTTTATCGTTGTATACTCGAGATGCAATAAATAGAATTTATTGGAAGAGTAACTACTGGCCACAGGCCTACGCGACCGGTCAATACGTCCGGTCGTCCGTCGCCGGACCGCACTCACCGGGCGCCGCCAGACAGCCGGCGTTCACGAAGAAATGCGACCGGAACAGGGACGAGATCCCGTTCTTGTTCCGAAGGAAGGGTAGCGGCGCGTACACGTGCGCACCCGCCGCCCAGTACACCTGCAAGCAGCCGCGCCGTCAGGACCAGTCTGGTGATACCAGGGAGACCTCTCCAACGGACAGGACCATAGATAATACACATAATGCGTTTCGGTTTGAAGGGCGTGGCAGCCGTTGTAACTATACTTGAGACCTTANGGACGAGATTCCGTTCTTGTTCCGAAGGAAGGGTAGCGGCGCGTACACGTGCGCACCCGCCGCCCAGTACACCTGCAAGCAGCCGCGCCGTCAGGACCAGTCTGGTGATACCAGGGAGACCTCTCCAACGGACAGGACCATAGATAATACACATAATGCGTTTCGGTTTGAAGGGCGTGGCAGCCGTTGTAACTATACTTGAGACCTTAGAACCTATATCTCAAGGTGGATGGCGCATTTACGTTCTGGATGTCTATGAGCTCCAGTAACCACTTAACACCAGGTGGGCTGTGAGCTCGTCCACTCATCTAAGCAATAAAAAAATTAAAAAAACATAAATTGGCTATAGATAAGCAACTAAAGCACTCAACAAAAATGTTTACGGGTGTCGGCCACTAGATGGCTTCGCTTCGATTAAGTTTCTCATTGCTCCTGTAGGCAGTAACATATTAACTAAATCCTATATTTTATTTTTAATGAAGGATTTTGTAAATTTTCAGAAACGACAAATTGATAAAATTTAATCAATTTGTCTTAAAACAAATAAAGCTAGTATGGTTTATTATTAAACATATAAGTTTAGGGGCATCCGCTACAAGATGCCGATAGTTCACATACAAAAAAAAATATTTGCCTTAAAGTATCACAGTTTCAAAGCCGTAATCTTGAAATTTAAAGCCGTTTAAAGTTTGAAATTAGGAAAAAATGTAGTAATAAAACTCTTCTTTAGCTATTCTAGTGATGTAAACTTAATTGAAGTTCAATTAAAAATATCGAAATTTTGAATGCTGATTTTTTTAAACCTACCTATGCAGCCTTGAGAGGCTATTTCAGCGTTGCCTTAGCGTGTAGGTGAGATCACGAGGTTCAAACCGGAGTGTTGCTAACACTAGCCCTAGCAAGAGCAGTGCTTCGCAGAATCTACCGCCGGATCGGAAACGCGACCCACTGGGAAGATCCGGCGAGAAACTCAGTGGGCTGTGTCTGGGAGTTAATTTACTCGTCGAGCCCTTCGTCGCAAGCGACGGGTGCGGCGAGGACGGTGACCGGTGCTTGAGGCACATAAAATCACCGTTAATGGATCGGGAGGATCCGTAATGAAAATACTATTATAATAATACCAAATAAAACGCGCCTTTAATTACAAAGATAAACCAAATAGGGTATTTGCCTTTCACTCTTCGATATGATTTGAGACAAATACCTCATGTAGAAGTGGACGGTGGGTTCATTCATCACTGAGGACTACCTAGTCTCTCCAGGTATTATGAAAAAGCAGTATCTCCTTTAATTTAGCCAAGGAATGGTCTTTGGTTGCCTCCACTTGGACCCACCTTTCCACCAGTGGCCTGCCCATCCGAGTGCGGCCCCACCCCTCGCTGCTGGAAACCTCTGAGCGTCGTGGGTCCACCGAGGAAGAAATGATCAGGTATCTCCGTCCCGAACATGTCGTGCAGAACCCCTGCGGCTCCGGAGAGCTGCAATACCTATATGAACATTCAATTCTACCGTCAAATTCGTCGGATTGTATTTTTAAACTAAGTCTTAACGACATTGTAATACGATCTTAGAACATTCTTCGTGTACAGATAAGAAATATTAATAATAAACTAGAGTTTTGGCTGTTTTCAAAATTCGACTATAATTATTTCGAATTATAAGTTTGAACAGTATTATGGTTCTATTGTCAAAGATTATTATGCCTCTATAATTACATATTTCGCCAAGACTACACTATAAATAAATAACTTTAAAGACAAATAATATTAATCAATTTTTTTAAGGGATTTTATGACCTGGTAACTAAGACCTTTATGTCATGTCTTATTTTAATTTATATTCTTATTTTTATGAAAAATGATAATATGGAGTGAAATGCGGCTTTGAAACGGGATGATTTCAGGTGATTATCAGCTTTAAAAAAAAATTAAACTATCATCATTCTTCACCCAGTCAGCTGGGGTCGACGCAACACGCTTCCTCCTTCCATACTTCTCTATCATACATCATAGCAACACTCTCTTACTATGTCCTCGATCAATTCGTAGTTCTGCTGCGCTTGGAGCTCGGTCTTGAGGTGAGCCACACCCCCGCCCAGCCCGGCCAGCTCGCTGCTGAACTGCACCCACGAGCCCTGGCTCGGGAAGATCGCGTCGTCCCGGTGGTCCACCGTCACGATGTGTCGCAATATCGACTTCATTTGAGGACCTGAGGGGCGAGCGCTTTTGACGAACAAATGTATAGGATTTAAACAGCGCCCCTACCGTTCGTGAAAGGAACTAACTTCGCAATCAAATCGTCACGTTCTCGAATATTTTTTTTTTTTTATTGCTTATATGCACGGACGAACTCACAGCCCACCTGGTTGTTAAGTGGTTACTGGAGCCCATAGACATCTACAACTATGCGCCACTCACCTTGAGATATAAGCTCTAAGGTCTCAGTATAGTTACAACGGCTGTCCCCCGCCCTTAAAACCGAAACGCATTACTGCTTCACGGCAGAAACAGGCAGGGCGCTGGTACCTAATTATTAGAATAAGATAGAGATATAAAAAAGGACGAAAAAACTGTAAGCTCTATAAAATCACAAAAAGCATTTTATTTAAAGCTGATAAGAAAATGCAATCGATGTCTCCACGTTTTACCACAGCAATAATTTTAGGTTATATTAACGAAATTAGTTTGGACTACGTAAACATGTGAGATCTTGTATATTACTCTATCACTAATTACTCTAGTCATTAAATATCTCAATTTCCTAACTCGGCATACTTCAATCAGTTAACAACTGCTCAATCCATATCATACCCTGGGCCTTTGCTAGCGCCATTCTGGAGGATTTTTGAACTGTTATTTAGCGCTGAAAGTAAGACACTTTTTCAAGCTTCTCCCATATGAGACGGTTCTCCTTACCTCTACCCTCCATATTACCATCATATCGATACATTACGATTTCGATAGATTTCCGAACTTGACGTACTGGTTGAATGCCAATCACTTTTATATCACAAAATTATCAGCGTTCCCGTATAGCGACGTCCGTGACAGTTGACGCTGCCCACGGACCGTACTCGAAACACTAACCGCTGCTCTCGCGGACTTTGAAGCTGGTCGTCTTGCTGAGAGCCGCCGTCTCGCGCACCAGGCCCTCCCACTGAAGGTTGTGCTTTGTCTGAAAGGTATTCATTACGAGATGTTATTTCTTCAACGACAATCAAATAGCAGTCATGTCAGGTAGTGCGGGTAGGCGCTATTTTTTTCTCTACCTATGCTGATAGCCTTGAGAGGCTATTTCAGCTTCGAGACCTTAGAACTCGTATCTCAAGGTGGGTGGCGGCATTTACGTTGTAGATGTCTATGGGCTCCGGTAACCACTTAACACCAGGTGGGCTGTGAGCTCGTCCCCCCAACTACGCTATTACAAAAAAAAGTACTAAGTACTAAAAACACAACCAAAACTTTATATTTTACAAGTTTTGTGTAAGGCCCGCAATGAAAATGAAAGTTACCGGCAAACTGAGGTCGTCGATCTGTGGGAATGCGTCTTACACTGCGGCACACCCTTTTTTTTCTTACCTATGTTGATAGCCTTGAGAGGTCATTTCAGCTTCGCCTCGCCCTAACGTGTAAGTGAGCTCACGGGGCTCAAACCGGAAGTGTTGCTAACACTGACCCGAGCAAGAGCAGTGCTTCGCAGAATCTACCACCGGATCGGAAACGCGACCCACTGAGAAGATCCGACGAGAAACTCAGTGGGCACCCAAACAACTTCATTCGATTTGATTCGAATCTAATTTCGATTTTATGCTAGACTCACCGTTGGCGAACTCTTGAAGGCCAAATCCATTAGCAGACCCCGATCGAGCAGCCGGTACCCCGACCAGGGATACTCGTGGGTCTGCTGATAAACTGACGCTGATACACTGGAATTCAAGGTTTGATTGAACAGAAACACCAAAATATTGGAACAGTTCCTTTGGCACGTCGCGATGGACATACTAGTGGAGGTATAACAGCTATATATATATATAATTCTACTGTACGTCTGTATGTCACTGAACTCCTCCTAAACGGCTGGACCGATTTGTATGTTTTTTTTGTAAGCATTTTGGTGGTGCCCTGTATGGTTTAGATTCACAAATCAGCCCGGCAGATCGCGCTGCAGTCGGTATCTAGATATCTACAGTGCAACTAAACGGCTGATATGATTTTTTGTGTCTGCATTCACAGGACAACGTCTGTCGGGTCCGTATGTATATTCCGTATGTATATTCCCTACGGACTCTGAAACGACTGGACCGATTTTCGAAAAGTTTTTAGGATACCTTAAGATTGGTAAAGGAGATGATTCTCTTCAGTAGTGATCCGACCAAAGAAAGGCCAATAAAACGGCTCGGGGCTTGACTGACTGGTGGTAGGAGCTCTTGTGAGTCCGCGCGGGTAGGTACCACCGCCCTATCTATTTCTGCCGTGAAGCAGTAATGCGTTTCGGTTTGAAGGGTGAGACAGCTGTTGTAAGTATGCTGAGACCTTAGAACTTATATCTCAAGGTGGGTGGCGCATTTACGTTGTAGATGTCTATGGGCTCCAGTAACTACTTAACACCAGGTGGACTGTGAGCTCGTCCATCCATATAAGCCATAAAAAAAAGCAGAGCTTTACAACTTACATAGGCACGAGGGGTTTATGAGGATACGGTTTGGTAGCGGTGACATTGAAATTCGATGTGCTTCGATAGCCCATGCTGTATTCCGCTTGAAGCTTCTCCCCGCGGCCGGCGATGTTTGGCATTTTTACACCTTTAAAGAATATTTTTTTACCAGAAACAGACTACGCAATGCAATGCGAATTTCAGAAATCAGATGACGCAAGGTCAACGAACTTCACTTTAGATTGCCGGTTCAATGTATTTATAGCATTATATTATTAGACGAACAAAGGGATCTCATACTGCTACTCCCAGGTAGATCCATACAGATTTATAGATATAAGGGAGACTGCACATTGGAGGATTTACAAAAAAAGACTATGGAATTCGATTTAGTTGTAAAGTAAAGTAAAAAAATATAACGGCGTTAACGTGGTCATATCTGTACCCTACGTCACTCACTCAACATCAGCTGCGCAGTAAACTAGTTCAATGAACTAGGGCAAAAGACAAAGATTGTGAACGAAGATCTACGTGAATTCAATTAAAACAAAATCAACTTAAAAATATTTATGATAAATTTTATTTACCTAAAACCAAATTGCCCTCGTTCTCGCTGACTGTTGTGTTTATTCCACCGATGACGCGAGATAGCTCTTTAACTTGAAACGTAACCTGTAAAGAAAATTCATTTCAACGCCATCTATACGTGAGCGGCGGAACCACGCAATCGCTATTCGACTACCTTCCATAGTGTCTAATTATCTTTTTTAATATGGTAATCTACTTCTTAAGCTGCATTGTTGCCAGGGTCCACTTTAAATTGTTTGATTCACATAAAGGTTTCTTAGATTCATTTAAAAACACAACTTTTTGGATTCTAATATTACATTGCCAAATTAAAGATTCAAATTAACAATTATTAATCTTCATTTTTTATACTCTCAGCACTTCCTCTGTAAAGGATTTGAATGTAGTCAAACGAGATAGGCACTCAGCACATCACACGCAAAATAGAGCTGTGATTTTCACTAAACTGGCCGTTTATTAATCTATTTTATGTATCAATGGCCAATTTAAATAAAATCAAAAAGCACACTGACTTGTGTACTTTCACTAATACTAAGTGCATAGAAAAACAACATCATTACACATTTTACATTATATTTGACCAAATATGAGCGTGGCATAATATTCAAACCTTAATAAAACTTACAAAGAGGACTCGATTATACCCATCTTTAATTTATAATTAATAAGATTTTTGAATATACCTCCAGTCCTTCGGGTGTGGATCCAGGTCCGGACGATACATCTATGAACACACCGATGTCACGAAAACAACCCATTGAATCGAGGGCGCGACGAACCTTCGAAACGGATTTAGTGTTAGTAAAGTTATGCAACAAAAAAAGGGTTTCGCTGCATTTCTTCCGCCGAACCATTAAAGCCAGTGGAAATTCAAACGTTTCTTAGACACTTACCTTGTGAGCTCTAACAATAACATCCTCAAAATCAGTTGCGTGAAATAGGTCGTCGATGGTATTCTTTATAATGTCATCTTTTGTACGATTCAAACCATCAACGTGCACTCTATCAACACGAGCCTGGAAGCATAAGAAAATTATCGATGATTGAAAGGCAAAAGTGACTAAGCGACAATAACTGCTTTGTACATAAATGATAGGCAATAACCGTTTTCGATGTGCAAAAAATATATATTTCTAGGTCTATTAAAATCATTTCAATCCTACAGCTACCAGCTAGATTCTACTACAGCTGGATTCGTTAAAATAAATTTTGTTTTCAGGTATTTCAACTTTAAATTAGTCTACTGTAAAGTTCACGCATTGTCGCTTAGTCACGTTTGCTTTTCAAGCGTTGTTATGTTCATTTTCTGGATACAAATTTATATTCCGCCTTCACTTAATAGATGGGTTGATGATGGACTAAAAATGACTTAGATAGCCAGAAAGCATAATACTCTCTTGAGAGAGGAATTACAGTAATGGTGTCCTAGTCTTAGACGGACTGTCTAAAAGAGGTTATGCCAGAGAGGTTTTGACTGCAGATGTGATGGGCCTTAATAGAAAAAGAATACATGCAGCTACTACTCCACATACGAAGATAAGGAAATGAAGACTCTTCCAAGGCATAATTGAACTCAGCCAAGTTCAAAAGTTCAGCATTTATATTTTTTCAACAAAACTATGAGAATACTTTCTGCCACATATCCACTGCCCAAGTGCTGGTATTAAATCACATCATTATACATAATAATGTGCTCTCTAATTTAATAATCTAATTGTGGACATAATTAAAACTATTTTAAAAGTTTAATCTTGCATTGAAAATTTTTTTTATTACTTCTACCACTTCAAACTCTGTATGGATTTTGGGATAACCGGGGACTGTTCTCTGGTCTTATGTCTTGTGTTCTCTGTCTTACATGATACAGAACTTATATAATTTTAATTCTGAAAGAAGTTTAGCATTGTTCCTGTTGTCAGCTGAATTCTGTCTAAAATTAAATAGTTAATATGTATGAAAGCGGGTCAACTTACTCTTACTCCATCTAATTTGATGGTGGGTTTTGGTATTGGTTCCTCGCCCATTTCGACTGGCTCTTCAAAGACAAACAGACCGCCGCCAGAGTCGCCAATATCGTGCTGGTTTGCCTATAATCATGTAGATTTTTTTTTCAATTCTACTATACAAATGGAACACAGGTCGGCATATCAAAGGAGATGCAAAAAAAAGAGGTTAAACAGCAACTATATTAATATCATAATCCCTTTGCCATTATTCATAGTTCAGTGAAGCAAAATTATAGAACAAACCGTGGACTTATTTGCGCATTTTTGAGTTCAGGTATAGCTTAAAAATCTTAGTTGTGATCATGTTTTGAAATAATGTTTAGGTAGGTACGAAAGTTCGTACAAATTTTTTGTTACTATATTGCCTTGAAGAGTAATAAAAATTATAGCTTACCTTCGCGTGGACAGTGCCCATTTTGGTTTTTTAATTGTTTTATGTGTGTTTAACGGTTGGTTATTAGTTGGATGAAAAGAATAATTTGGAATTTTAAATATTATTTTGAATTACATAAAATTCAGCTGTGACAGCTGACTTTGACATTGATTATTTTTATTTCTGGCAATTAGAAAAGAAATGAACCCATTTAAACACCTAAAAAAAATAAGCATGGGGTACCTACTCAGTTCAGACAGTTTCCTTTCAATTAATATGTTGTAGATTATTGAACTCGGTCTAAGCCTTGACATCAGCTTCATTTAATCTATTACTATATGAAATGTATGATCTCATCCTCTAAGCCTTATTTATAAATACTAATACATGTCAGAGATTGTGGTATCAATTGGTTTGTTTGATTTTTTCACAATTTAACTTATTTCAGTTTACTCCCTGAATTCTTTTTCATTCATTAACAATTCAGTATAGATGGATTCTTTAAATTTTTGAAAGTGAGAGAGAAAATGCGTAAAATCTTCATTCTATTGAATATTTCAACTATCTCCGCATTTCAAACATTTTTCACTCTCCCAAAAATTGTTATATAATTTGCATAATGAGCAGCCGTGTTTTATTCTAATTTTATTTACTTGTTGAGCTTGTTCCACCTCGAGTGCTTAAAATTTAAAATTTATGTTAATATTTTATGTTTCTTTACATTTAAATTGGTAGTAAGGACAGTAATAATGTAGAGTTGAAACAAATTCACTGCATGTGGCTTAATAGGTTCTTCAAATATTTTTTTTAATTCAATTTTTTGTTAAAATATTAATAAGAGATTCATTCTCAATCTAATATAATACATTTTAAAATTTACATATTATACGATTTCATTCCAAAACTAATTTAACTTCGATATTCTTTACACTTTTCATGTTGTCGATTTGGCTCTAACCTACAAATGCTTTGGATTTATAGAAATGGATACATTTGCCTGCTGAATCAAGAATCTGTTTTCTTTTTAAGTTTGAGTTAGGGCAAAATTTATTTCATAGATTATACACATAATATATACGAGATTTATTTTAAACAAAACTAAAATAAACTAATAAAGTTTAAATCAATTAAATACACATATACAGAATTCAAATTCATGCAACTCCTCACACTGTTGAGTTGTTCTCTTCTTTCGTAACTGCAGAATTTTTATACTTAAAAACTGAACTACAAAAAAAATTGGAAAGTGATGTTCATTTGTTTACTATACTTCATTACATGCTTTTTAGCAGTGTAAAATAAAAGGAAGATGGACAATAAAGCCATCGTTAAATTCTGTAAAGAGGTAGGGTGTTGCGATATATGCTGCCTGCGTTATTTAGGGCTTAAGAACCCGGCAACTTACGAAAACTACAAAGAATACATACATAAAGTAAGTATTTGCTTGGCGCGAATTGATCACTACTTTTGTTTTAAATTACGTCCATCATAAAAGCTTCTCAAAACCTTTTCTAAAATTCACTACGATGTATCTAGTAATAAATTATTAAAAAAAAAGTAACCTATAAAAATTTTTTTTTCCTCGTTAATACAGTAACCTATGATCTTCTTTATTTGCTCTCGATGAGTACCGTGAAGGTCACCGAGGGACTATATATCCACTTATGCCCCATGTCCACTTTGCTTACTGAACATTTAAAGAATGAAAAGTTTTTCATTAACGTCATATATCCATTGTTCAGTATACAGAAAGCGGTGTAGAAGTAGAAAATAATTCAGAAGAACAACAAATCACTAGCAATTCAGTAGACAATATAAATGGCAATACAGATGTCAATGGCTGTGATGATGAACCACCGAAAAAGAAAAAGAAGATATCGATATGCGTAAGCTGTTTTGGTATACTTCAAGAAGAGAATTGGTCTGAATGCTTTAATATGGTCAAAGAGACTTTGGAGAAAAAACGGTTAGTTAGTAACTAAGGATTTTCTTTTTTATGTCCTTAGGACAGTATAAAATCTGGTAATGGTAAATAATGGTAATCACCTGTCTAGTTACAGTTAGTATGCTAAAAGAGGCAGGAACTTAGCCGGGTGAAGCCCCTGCTAAGTTTTTTATTGTATAACCTTCACAAATTAGTATCACCTTGATACTTGACATCTAAGTCTAATAGCAATGTGTGAATATGTAAGTAGAGTTATTGAAGGTTTGATTTTAATTACCCTATGTTTTTTATAAATTCTTTTTTTTATTTTTTGCTTAGATGGGTAGACGAGCTCACAGTCCACCTGGTGTTAAGTGGTTACTGGAGCCCATAAACATCTATAAAGTAAATGCGCCACCCACCTTGAGATATAAATTCTAAGGTCTCAGTATAGTTACAATCGCTGCCCTTCAAACCTAAACGCATTACTACTTCACGGCAGAAATAGACGGGGTAGTGGTACCTACCTATGCGGACTCACAAAAGTTCCTACCACCAGTAATTACACAAATTATAATTTAGCGGGTTTGATTTTTATTACACGATGTAAATGTCCTTCACTGTGAAAGTTAATTGTGAACATTTGTTGAGTACGTATTTCATTAGATAAATTGGTACCTGCTTGGGATTTGAACACCGCTGTATCGCTCAACACGAATGCACCGGACGTCTTATCCTTTAGACCACGAGGACTTCCAACTTCTTCACTTAACTCTAAAACTTCTAGACTTCTTCACTCTAAGTAAAACACTTCATAAAAGATCAACCAAAATGCTTAAGCATGTTTTTTCTTATAAACATAATGTAACATTACTCTAAAAGGTATATACGTTTTTTTCAGTTACGAATGCTCAACTTTTGCATGTGCACTCTCTGCTCCGATCGCTACATTATTACGAGATAAAGCCATAATCCTACACCTGAGTGATGCCTTTAAAGATTATAAAGAAGGTAAGCTATCCATATTTTTTTTAGCTTTAAGAGGCTACGTCAGCGTAACCGGGTGAGTAGGTGAACTCGTGGGGCTCGAACCTAACGTTGCTGCTAACGCGAACCCTAACGAGAGTAGTGCTTCGCAGAATCTACCACCGGATTGGAAACGCAACCCACTGAAAAGATTCGGCGAGAAACTCAGTGGGCTGTGTCTGTGGGTTAATTTACTCGCCGAGCCCTTCGTCGCAAGCAATGGGTTTGACATATAGTATTTTTGTTTTGACTATCTACAATTTTCCAAAACATTCCTGATAGCAGACATTCTTTCCTTATCAGTTTTTTGCTATTTGACGGCAGATAGTGCTACTCATGCAGGCAATTACTGGTGGTAAAACCTCTTGTGACTCCATACGGGCAGGTACCACCGCCCTGCCTATTTCTGCCGTGAAGCAGTAATGTTTTTCGGTTCGAAGGGTGGGGTAGCCGTTGTAACTGTACTGAGACCTTAGAACTCATATCTCAAGGTGGGTGGCAGCATTTACATTGTAAAAATCCATGGGTTCCAGTAACCACTTAACACCAGGTGGGCTGTGAGCTGTAATAAAGAAAAAAGCATAAAAATGATCACAATCACATGGGTTTCTAAATTACCATTTGACTTGTTAGCATTAAACACAAGTGAAGCTATTGCTTATTTCAGATACCTTAACACCACTAAAGGAAGCATGGAAATGGACTTTTGGTGTCAAACTTGCAGCACAAATAGGTATGACACTAGATTCCGGAGCCATTTCACCGTTACTGATTACACTTAATATGGAGTATCCTGATGAACCACAGGTAGATGTTATGAACAACATTTTAAATATAAAAAGTTGATTTAGAACAAGGTTGGCTTTTCCTGAGCTTTCAAACCGGAATATGAAATTGATTTTAAGTTACGATGTTTATGCTAATAGCAGATCAATTATCTTGTAAACTTAACGGCCGACATTACTTGAAATTCCTTTTGCAGTAACACTTTACAAAACTATATGTAGCAGGAGATTAACACAGAGCTGAGGTTGTCAAGATAAGCTTACATAGATGTATAAAAGTTCCAAACAAAAAAACTTGGACCGTCTGTTTACCCAGCAAGTTCACCCAATTAGTGAAAGATCTTGCCTGTGTCATTTCCTCCCAAACATTAATTGCTCTTCTCTGCCTAAAACAGGAACTAGAAATCTTAAAGCAATTATCACCATCATTGTTCCAAGAGAGACAGAAGCAGAGAAGGAAGTTCACGGTTGAGTTTACCCGGCCATCAGTAGAACAGGCCATGGACAAGATTAGTCTTGAGCAGTTGAAGGGTGTCGATAAGTGGAATAAAATTCCATCGGTGGACATTGAAGCTAAGTGTGTCAGTGCTATGTGCGTGCATGCCCCTTCTTATCTGGGGGGTAGGTAAGTAATCATTCAGGCCTATTTTCCAGTACAACTAGCATTGTTTCGAGAAAAAGTTGATCAGTGAAAACCAAATTAATATTTCTAAATAAGGATGTGCTGGGGTTCGGTAGAAATAAAAATTCTACTGAAGCACAGATTAAAACTATTTAATTTACTAAAATTCTCAATTCACTTCTTCCGCTTAACTTCAGGTGCTCCGTTCGCTGTTTCACTTCAAGTAGAATCGATTACTAACTACCTTCGTGTCATCCCTGCAACGCTTTTATAATCAATACGATATCCCTAGAATTATTGAGAACATTCCTAACAGGTCGAGTAGTTTCGATTTAGGTTTCCGCTTATTGATAATAGATGGCGTTGTACTTCTCGAGCGTTCTCGATCTTACTAGTTCTTTTAATATTCGTTTCTGCTATTCGACGATACATGGCGTTGCTTTTACCGGCGTATCAGTACTAATAAACTTGCAGAAAACTATACACAATTCAAGAAAGTTTCAGTATTGATGACTCTCGCATGATATAATATTTGATATTATGCTACATCTAGTACAAATACAATTTGCATTTGCACTTTTAGCCTAGATCATTAATTACCTATGAAGTTGTCATTTTAGAATACTAATTTACATATGGCTGGCAATACATTCTAAATTAAAATTTATTTAATTTTATGATCTAGTAATTTAATTCTTTTTTCCTTATTAGTCTGTGTAAGTAAAGATATTATACGATAATTCCTAAGACTCTTAGTGATAGTTTATTTTAAGAGAAAAATCATAATAATATTAAGCTAATATTACAGGTATATAAAATTAAGCAGAGAGCTTCCGCAAACGCCCTGGCTCATCAAGGGCAAGAGGATGATGGAATCATCCGTCCAGGAGATCATATTCGAACCCATAGCTAAAGTATTCGAGTGAGTAACTAAAATTTTACAGTGACAAAAAATTTGAATACTAGAAATATGGTCTCTGGATGTGTAGCTAGGATAATACATTTTTTGTTATAAACATTATTTTAATTCATAAGTTTTTATTACATAAATGGGTCTATTAGTGTTAATTGCTCACCTGAGCCCTTCGATCAATAATACTACTAGATTCCCGATTAGCGCTTCAAAAACGGCCCGAAAAATTAGACCACAAATAAATTTGTGGTCTTATTTCTAATTAGTATGGTCCAATCATAGCCAACACTAAGACGTCAAAACGCTGCACTGCGCGTTCAAAAACTGAGTAAAAAACCACCGTAACACCAAGGTTTTGGAAGGAATATCTTTTTTTGGTAAGTTTATATTATTAAGTGAATTTCATAAAATAATAAACAGAATTATATAGTAAATAAAATTCAATTTACGAATATTGTAATTGTTTGGCCAATGTTTGCAACAAGGTACCAACTATTGTAACAAACATCACCTATCATGAACAGGGAATGCATAGAGTAGTTTTGTTATTTTATAATGTTATTTTTGTTTGTAGATTTCCTAGTAGCCCCTTTTTCGCTGTGCACAATGGATATATATTGTCGCGAAAGAAAGAGGATAAGAAATATAGAACCCTTATAAAAATTATAGAATTGTTCAATGGTGGTGGCAAATCAATGCAAAAAAGTATTATAAAAACTTTATATGTATGTGTAAATATTTTTAGCGTATATGCTGAAAAGGATTTGTTTTTTAGGGGAAACGAACACAGCCATAAAATAAGCCTAAATTAAACTGATTATAGAAAAATTCTTTGATATCAGATTACATTATATTTCTAAAAAAGAAACCGCTCATATAAAAATGACTTCTAAAAGACAGCTTTATAACAAGCTGAATCTATTTAAAGGTAATTAAACAAAAAAAAAATTGTTTTAATTACTTCTGTATAAAGAATACGTGGAAAACATGTTTCTTGTTTCCTTTCATATTCTTTTTACTTTATTCAATTTTATTATTTATTGCCTATTTGTTGTAATAGCGGCAATGTAAAATATTATCTACTACTTTTTTGAATCGGTCAAAAATTGTTGCGACCATACAAAACAAACCTAAAACAAATATATTCTGCAACTCTACGTCTTTCAATACTTACTGTGTTCTAAGCATTGAAATGTAATACCAAGAACTACATCTAGTTCCACAATACAATATGCACGAAATTTTAAACAAATATTTTTTACCTTATGAATTAGTCTTTATGTATCATTTTAGAATAAATATTTTTGTACTGATGACTTTATGTTCAAGTGACATTTTAAATTTATTCCATAATATTCTTTCTCTGATGAAAGGACCTAAATAAATATATTTTGCAATGGTAATTAAACTTTATGTTTAAGCATTAAGGTTTATAATAAACTGAAGTCGTTACATTATTAAACTTTTTTCTAAGAAATGAAGATGTTTTCGTGTCTGCAAACGTGGCCACTCAAGCCTCTTATTTTTGTTCCTGATCCTTAATCTAGTACTATTATTGATCGAAGCCTGAGCCCTTAGAAATCACAATCACCATGTGAATGCTGTCACCTTGAGAAATGAGGTCAGTTGTACTATCATATTGACCATTCCCTTCAAGACATAATTGAAATGTTAATAACATTGTCATATGTCTGTCCTAACTGATTCATAACAGAAATGGATAGGAGGATTCATTGTAATACTGTACAACCAACCACCAGTAAATATTGTGGATAGGAAGGATTTGGGAAGGAGAAGGTGGAACGAATTAGAATGAGTTGAAAGAATGTTGAAGATGTTCTGATGCTTAGTTTCTTTGGTATCACAGCTTGACACCTGAAGATGTGGAGCACAGATTGAAGTTCATGTCGGCTGGACGCGAAGACGTGGACGTGAGGTGTCTCGGTGATGGTAGACCCTTCGCTATCGAAGTAAGGTTTGTTTTTAATAGTCTACCAAGTCAATGTGGTCATGGGTAAAGTGAAAGAATTTGATAAGATTGAGTGTAATCACTCTCTCTCTCTTACGGTTAATAGAAATGAAAAGTCGCAAATTATTAAAAAAAACGAATTTATTAAATTATTACTACATAAATTATTGTCATGTCATCGCTTCTCGATGCAAGTGGTAAAATTTACACACACACATACACACACGCACACACACGCACGCACACACACGCACACACACACGCACACACACACACACACGCACAGAGTGAAAAGTGATAAAAACATGTATACTAAATTTGCGACTGGAACAGGGTGGCTCCAAAATGGTCACCGATTGTGTCATGTTCCAGATCACAGACCCGAGAAGAGACCTCACCGGTGACGAGCTGAAGAGGGTCTGCGAGGAGATTTCGAAAGGTGGCCAAGTGATCGTTCAGAAACTAATGCATGTCTCCAGGTACCATTTTTTCCTACCTAAGCTGATAGTGAGTGAGTGGGTGAGCTCGCGGGGCTCAAACTTGACGTTGCTAATACGAACCCTAGTAAGGGCCGGATCGGAAACGCGACCCACTGAGAAGATCCGGCGAGAAACTCAGTGGGCTGTGTCAGCAACAGTCTGGTCTGTAGGAGGGGAGGGGGGGGGGCAGCTTCGGCACGTGATCACTGGGTAGTGATTGCAAAGGTGGTGAGATCTGCAGTAGACGGACGAGCCCACGGATTAAGTCGTTACCATAGACATGAGTTCGAATTCTTAATTGGCAGACGGCTGCGTCCCCCGGCCCTAAAGAACGGATCGTATAACTGAACAAACAGTTTACCTATCGAATGACGTAACAGCGGGTACATATCGCTGTCTCTCTCGCTCGTCCCGTAACGCTGTGACGTCACAACTCGCACGACTCGACTTGTGTACGTTTTTTCTGTCCCAGGAACGAGTTGTCGGAACTTAAAAAGGGGGAAGAGACGAAATGCAAGACTTACGAAGCTCTGTGCATAAAGCTCGGGAATGAGAACCCTGAACCGAATATTGTGAGTTTTTTTTGTTTATTCCGTTGAATTAGCTCAAGGCTTTGACCGCTTAATGCTAGTAAGGAGTCTTAGCTTAGCTGGGCGATCAGTACAACGGTTCTGATAGTAATGTTTTTGTTATATACGGTACTGAGGAGTGGGGCGTTGTCGGAGCCCGTACTGGTAGGAGGTATTTTTTTTTTACTGCTTATGTGGGGGGTCGAGCTCACAGCCCACCTGTTGTTAAGTGGTTACTGGAGCCCATAGACATCTGCGACATAAATGCGCCACCCACCTTGAGATAAAGTTCTAAGGCCTCAATATAGTTACAAGGGCTACCCCACCCTTCGAACCGAAACGCATTACTGCTTCACGGCAGAAATAGGCAGGGTGGTGGTGCGCGCGGACTCACAAGAGGTTCTTCCGGCAGTAATTACGCAAATTATAATTTTGCAGCTTTGATTTTTATTACACGATGTTATTCCTTCACCGTGGAAGTCAATCGTGAACATTTGTTAAGTACGTATTTCATTAGAAAAAATTGGTGCCCGCCTACGGGATTCGAACACGCATCGCTACAACACGAATGCACCGGACGTCCTATCATTTAGGCCACGACGACTTAAATAATTAATAGCGATCTCTGCTATGTTCCAGCTGAATGGAAAAACGCCTGTCGCCGTCACCGAGGAGGACATCCGGAGGATAAACGAGTACAGGAACACCGAGGCAGAGGACGAGGCCAAGATTGTGGTGAAGCAGAGAACGCCGATCCGCGTGCTGCACAGGCGCCCGCTGCTCACCAGGACCCGGAGGATATATGACGTAGTGGCCAGGAGGGTGCCTGGTGAGTTACCCCCGACCTTGGACCAATTTTATTCGCTTTATATTGTTTGATCAAGCCGTAGCTTAGAACAGTGGCTCTGGAGTTAAATTTGGAAATGATACCTTCTTTAACGTTTAGCGTAACGAATAAATGACACTAAAAAGAGACAGACATATATAAGATTTGTCTGCGAGACGCGAAGTAGAATACTTTTGAAGGTTACCCTTATTTATTTATTTTTCGCTTCAGATGTTTATTTGAAAACGTGCACGAATCTTCAGACATGAAGTCTCAGATGTGTTGTATGACTATCTCGACTTTAAAGCTGGAATGCGTTCCCGTCAAAAAGTCCGGTTCTAAGATCTCAGTATTGTTCTACCCTAATTTTTTTTTGTTTTTAGACTACCCTCAATTGTTCACCCTCACGATCCGCACGGAAGCGGGCACGTACGTGAAGGAGTGGTGCCACGGGGAGTTCGGTCGCACCACGCCGAGCCTCCGCGACGCCGCGGGCTTCCGGGCCGACATACTGGCGCTCGACGTCACCGCGGTGCTGCTCGACTGGCCGCGACCCCAATAAATGATTCGATGTACATTGCGGAGTTTTATTTGTCGACATTATTTTATTAGCGTTATGGTAGTGCTGGCGGAAGGCACCGTGGCAATGAGAACTAGTCAGACTTTAATTACTTAGGCGATTTAATCTAAAACTCTTGTTTCTTTGTAAACGTCAATAATCTAATTATTGTAGAATACAGTTTCGATTTTAATACTCTATGCCTTGATTGATTGTGTTGATTTAAAAGAAACGGAAAGTGTACTTTGTTCTTGTCCAGACTAAAATTTAAATTTAATTTATAGTTTTAAAAAAAATATTTTTTAAACTTATAGAATATATGTTTATAAGTCGTTCAGTTTTTATAAAAAAAAAAGTTATTGCATATATGGATGGGCGAGTTCACAGCCCACCTGGTGTTAAGTGATTAATGAAGCCCTTAAACATCTACGATGTAGATGCCGCCACCCACCTTGAAACATAAGTTCTAAGGTCTCAACTATAGTTACAACGGCTGCCCCACCCTTCAAACCGAAACGCATTACTGCTTTCCGGCAGAAATAGGCAGGGCGGTGGTACCTACCCGTGCGGACTCACAAGAGGTCCTACAACCAGTAATTACGCAAATTATAATTTTGCGGGCTTGGTTCTATATAGATGGTAGTTAGTATACGAGGAAGTCAATCGTAAACATTTGTTGAGTACGTATTACATTACAAAAATTGGTACCCGCCAGCGGGATTCGAACACCGGTGCATCGCTACATACGAACGCACCGGACGCCTTATCCTTTAGGCCACGACCACTTCACTATTTAGTTTTCTCACCGATGTCATTATCTATAATCGGCATCATTGCGCCACTTTGAGAAGGCGGCACGACATGAGAACCCTCTTGTCGTGGCCGCTGGAAACTACATACCCGATCCTGTAGATCGAATGGTAAACAGTCGACGTCGCCCAAAACACGTCATTACGGATCCTCCCGATCCATTAACGGTGCTTTTAGGTACCTCAAGCACCGGTCACCGTCCTCGTCGAATCCGTCGCTTGCGACGAAGGGCTCGACGAGCGAATTAGCCCATAGACACAGCCCACTGAGTTTCTCGTCGGATCTTCTCAGTGGGTCGCGTTTCCGATTCGGCGGTAGATTCTGCGAAGCACTGCTATTCCTAGGGTCAGTATTAGCATCACTCCGGTTCGAGCCCCGTGAGCTCACCTACTAGTTAAGGTTACTCTGGCATAGCCTCTCAAGGCTATCAGCTTAGGCAGGAAAAAAAAAACCAAGTCGACCGATCGGCTCTTTGCTTTAAATAGAACTCTCTTCATGTCACGATTTTGTATTCGTTTTAATTATGTCTGTGATTTTCCAGAACAATACAATGTTAATAATTATTCCGATATCTGTTTTCGCTATAAGACGGCAGATGGCATTACGACTTTAACTTAATACAGATTAAGTGTTATTATCTATGTACAGAACCTTCGATCAACAATAGAACAATCAAAACTGTGAGGTGGCTAGCCACTCCCAATTCTGTTAAATGTCAAAAAACTTAAAGTAATAATTATCTCAGAAATATAATATTTCACTTTTAAAGTACCTATGTAATTAATCGAGCTAGTATTTGACCGTCGTCTGACCTAGAATTGTATCTGTATTAATAAAGCTATAATATCGAAACGATAAGACCGGACACAAGACTTGTTTGCTCACGAGTACGTGATAGGCTAATTGCGTGCATATAGTAAATGTGTCAACGCGAGCATCCAAACAATTTACATTTATTTAAATTTTTAATTACAAATTTTATTTGAGCGGTAATGTTATTAATTTCCCGCTAAATTTTGCGTTTTGTTATTGCTTAAGTTAATAATAATTATTTGTACTGAAACTAAATATATATAATACTTATTAAAAAATCTGTTAAAACAGTATCATTTGTTATAATGAAAAATAAAGCAATCAATAGAATTAAATGTCCAAATTTTTCAATAAGAGGTGCATACAGATTACTTGTTAAACGTCACATTCAGATAAATTAAAAGATTATTGAAAATCAAAGTTTATAATTATCATTTAAAAAATGAAGCTAAAATGTCTTATTTATTGGCCTTATAGGCAGACGAGCACACGGCCCAACTGATAGTGAGTGGTTACCGTGGCCCGTGGACGTCAGCTATGTTTTGATATGCTAACCACGCGAAGACCAACAAATACCAATAGATACCTAATGCAACATTGAACACACTGAAAGCACCCAGACGAAAAGCAAACAGACTATTTCATTATAAGAATGTGGGTATTTGTAACTACTGCACCACCGAATCAGTCGAAATTAAAAAAAACTATAAATTTTTATTTTTAATTGGATTTAGTTGTCGGAGCATCTTTGCTAGTTGAATTTTCAGCAGCGCCGGCGGCCTCCGGAGCAGACGTAGTTTCTCGAGCTCCACTGGCCGATCCCGATTCTGAAACTTCAAAGACGAACCGTCGTGTTGATGAATCTTTTGTTTTTATTGCGTACACGGGTCAACGAACTGAGGGAATCAACACGTCATTACGGATCCTCCTGATCTATTAACGGTGCTTTTTAACCTCAAGCACCGGTCACCGTTCTCGTCGAAACCATCACTTGCGACGAAGGGCTCGACTTAACCCATAGACACAGCCCACTGAGTTTCTCGCCGGATCTTCTCAGTGGGTCGCGTTTCCGATCCGGTGGTAGATTCTGCGAAGCACTGCTCTTGCTGGGGCTAGCGTTAGCAACACTTCCGGTTTGAGCCCCGTGAGCTCACCTACACGTCAAGGAGAAGCTGAAATAGCTTCTCAAGGCTATCAGCATAGGTAGGAAAAAATATAATGACGGAACCGATGTAAGTGCGAATACCCTCTTGTGATTTAAGGTCTATATCTCAATTGTATGGTGATCACGCGCATCACTATTTCCGCGAATTAGATTTTTATCATACGACGTTTTTCCTTCAGCAAGGAAGTAATTCGTGAACACGGGTTCGAACCGGATCGAACACCGAATCGAAATTGCGACCCCCTGATGAGATCCGGCGAGAGACTCAACGGGCCGAGTGATTAAATCTGACAAGCCATTAAAAGAATCAAAGTTAAAACCGTTGTCTTCCCATTTCGTAATCTCTAGTCTCAACCTGCTGTATTTTTTCACTGATTTTCTCTAAGTAAAAAACTATTGTCTGAATGAGATCGCTTTTGACGATAACACCACCTTTTGCACAATTACTTAACTGATTTTCAACGTTAATAGAGGCCATTGGCGCAAAAGTGGCCTAAGCTTACCATAGTTAGTATGGAGCTATTGAGCTTACCTTTACAATACTTCGTAATTAAAAAAATACGCGCTAAAATGATGCTTACAAAGTCCCCTGTTGTCTATGGATTGAAACTAGGGATAGGCCGATTTTGTATCAATAAATTGCAATACTTAAGCATGAATATGAATTGTGGGTTAGGCCACTTTTGGGCTGACAGCCTCAATTATGCCTGCAAGAAGCTATGCTTTCGCTCTCATACGTTTATATACTCAGAAACGCTATCTAAGTTATTTTTCCGGTGATGGAATAATATTACGGGACAGGACCACAGATTCACAGACCACACGGTACTGCAGTCATCTGTGTGCTTAGTGGAGTTTTTTAACGTTCTCGATAGCGTAAAAGTTAATCCAATTTTGTATGCAGTTGGAAAAACGCCCCTAACGGCAAACGTAGGCAAACGATCCCATTCCATACAAATATGAGCTAACTTTTACGCTATCGAGAACGTTAAAAAACTCACACTTAGCAAACTGGGTAATTAGTTGCTTGACCTAAAAGTGCATAATCCTTATATTAAACACAAACCTGTAGTAGCATTTTGTGCATTGCTCGTTCCTGGTTTCGTGCTATGATGGCCGGGGCAGGAACTGCTCATCGGCTTCCAATAACTAAAACAATACAGTGTGCTTAGTACGCGTCTTTTAACGTTCTCGATAGCGTAAAAGTTAACTCTAATTTGTATGGAGTCGGAACGTTTGCCTACGTTTGGCGCTAGAGACGCTGTTCCAACTACATACAAATTTGCGTTAACTTCTACGTTATCGAGAACGTTAAAAAACTGGTACACAGCAGCATTTTTTTATATTGATCACTCGAAATCAAGCCATTTATGTATTTTCGATTTTATAGAGGAGTGAAAGGCTGTTTGGTTCTTAATACGCGACGTTTATCTTTGTAATTAAAGATGCGTTTTATTAGGTACTAGCTGTACCCGTCTGCTTCACTGGGCATTTAAAATTAACATTATTGTTTCTCATCCCCACAAAGATTCTCATCATTAACGCCCCCGCAACTGGTGTAGGGAGTCTAACACTAATATAAATATTAGCCTATCCATTAAGTACATGTATTTTCTACATGGATACCAAGTTTCAAGTCAATCGGATGCAGTTCAGTAGCTATAACCGTTCCGATATCGAGTCAAGGGAACGCGCTCTCGCCCCCGTCACGTTACAGCCGGAGTCCCGCAAGGCTTCGCCCTCTCCCCGTTACTGTTCAGCTTGTATATCAATGACATACCCCGGTCTCCGGAGACCCATCTGGCGCTCTTCGCCGATGACACGGCTATCTACTACTCGTGTAGGAAGAAGTCGTTGTTACATCGGCGACTCCAGATATAAAATGCCCTAAGTACTTTTAAACGCGGCCCGCGAACGTATTTCGACGCTAAAGTTTGGCCCTCAACATGTCAAAGGTTGTCCATACTTGATTTGAGGCCGTCAACGCAAAAGTAGCCTAAGCTTACCTTAATTAGTATGGATATAATGAGGTTCGAATTTACCTTTACAATACTTCGTAGGCAAAAAAATACGTGCTAAAATAATGTTTATAAAGGCATCTATTATCTATGGACGAAACTAGGGATAGGCCGATTTTGCATCAAAATTTATTATGTTCTATATAAATTGCAATACATAAGCACGAATATGAATTGTGGGTTAGGCCAATTTTGCACTGACGGCCTCAAACATTTATTCATAGTATTTGTACTCACATCGTAGATTTTGTGGTCTTCGGAGTAATTCTGCCTGCTTCCGCTCTAGCTTCTAGTATGTCTCTATCAATGAAGGAGGTTATTGATAAGAAAATGGCTTACGGTAGGCAGCGGCTTGGCTCTGCCCCTGGATGACAGAAATGCCAGGAATGTAACCACTCACCAGTAGGCAGGCAGTATGCTCTCGCCTGCCTACAAGGGCAAATAAAAGTCAAGATCAAGGTCAAGTAAAGGGCAATAAAGGGCAAAAAAAAGAAATCCTGCCTTTTTTCTTAGCGCTCCGTAATATTATATCAATTCGCTTAAAATAACGGGCGTATCACAATCCATCACATCACAAGTACAACATAATTAATGTAAAAAACAGCATTCTATCATCATTCTCTTGCCCTTCTCCAGTCACCTGGGGTCGGCGCAACATGTTTTCTCTTTCCATACTCCTCTATCATGTATCATTTCATCGCTCACTCCCCTCTTACACATATCGTCTTTCATCCATCCATTTTTTTCTTAGGTCTACCTCTTCCTCTAAAGCGTTCCTTCCTCTAAACATAGCATTCTATCATTTGTTTCAAATTCTATTAAAAAGGCGCCGCAAAAAACTAGTCAAACATGGAAAAGAGATATCAATCGTCAGCTCATTACGTTAAGTACCTTAATAGTCTAACACTGATTTGAGCGCTGGGCAGCCTGGCTTCCACGGGGTTGCTGACCACAATGACGTCATCATCGCCAGGTATATCGTTGTACTGATCTGGCGCGCCCTGATAGTCCTCGTCCGTCTCCACTTCATAGTAAATGTCGTTTTCTATTTGCTAAAAAAAACGTGCTCGAAATTCCTCTTTCTGATATTTAGTCACGCTGTATTTAAGCTCGGAGCAAAGAAGCTTTTGAAACGCAACCGCGGCAAACGATATTGAGGATATGAATTTATCTTATGTAGTTAGTTACCATTGCGCATGGACCAATGAATGGCTTGAAGAAGACAGGCATTTTGTTACAGATAGGCATGGCGTCCAGGAGAAACCTTGGAAAGGGCATTAATTTCAAAACTGAATGGAGCATACCTCAGCGAAGGTCCCATTCAGCATCCTATGCATATAAAAGAGAGAAGATTTTCGAAACTATCATTTTTTTTCTACAAATCCTTTACTTACAGCCATTAGGCATAAATTACCCAACGATCTTCTAATCATAAAATTGTCGCATCAAATAACTCTGCCATCAGCGCACTCTTACCTTGTGCAAACTAGGAAAGTATTTGTAGCTCTGATGCTTATCCATCATAAATCTTCGGGTTGGTCTCAAGACTCTACGTAGAGCCAACCTTACTGGTGCCGCTGCTTCGCTCTCCGTTATAAGGAGTAAAAGACGCATGACCGAATCTCTGTCCCACGCTGAGGAGTCTTTGTAGCCTGGCGGAGCTGGCTTCAGTTGTGCTGGAGCGAAATTAAATTTTGTAATTACTGGTGGTAGGACCTCTGGTGAGTCTGCACGGGTAGGTATCACCACTCTGCCTATTTCTGCCGTGAAGCAGTAATGCGTTTCGGTTTGAAGGGTGGGACAGCCATTGTAACTATACTGAGACCTTAGAACATATCTCAAGGTGGGTGGCGCATTTACGTTTTAGATGTCTATGGGCTCCAGTAATCACTTAACACCAGGTGGGCTGTGAGCTCGCCCACCCATCTAAGCAATAAAAAAATAATAAAAATAAAAAATTTAAGTAAAAAATTAAATATATAAAAGCGTTTGAAATAAATAAATAGTGTAAACAAATCACGCGCGGTCATCCGGCTTAAAATTAGGATTGCCTGTGTTATGGGTACCATAGACTGATAAACATGCTATATATGTTTATATAACTACGTATAAAGATAATAAACACTTACACAAAGAGCAAACAAACCTATTCATCACACAATGTTTGCCCAATATCGGAATAGAACTTACGACCCTCGTCGCAGCAGCCACGGCCGCTAAGAACCCTTATAAGAAACGCGTGTATGTAGAATAGGATCTCAGATCCCATGCTTTTTATAACACAAACCTTAAAGCTTATTTATTCTATTATTCAATTATTATTTTGTTATGAACGAGGGATTACTGGTGGCCCGGAGGCCTTTCGGCCGGTTAAGCCGGTAAGCCGGCTTAAGCTACAGCCGGCAATATGTATAAATGACCCGGAGGCTTCGGCGATAGATGGTGTTACTCCTAAGTAACACCATCTATCGCCGAATAGTCGAACGAATATCGAAGGATCTAGTAGCGCCTAGAACGCTCGAGAAGTACAACGCCATCTATTGTCAGGTATCGGAAACAATACAAGAGATGTATGGAATATTCTCGATAATTCTAGGGATGTGGTATCGACTATAAAAGCGTTGCGGGGATAGCACGCAGTCAGTCAGTAATCGGAACTACTCGAAGCGAAACAGCGAACGGATAACCTGAAGCGAAGCGGAACAAGCGAATTGAGTGTTTTAAAGTGTTTGTTGAGTGTTTTCAGTGTTCTAAGTGTTGAATACAGGTTTTTAGTTGTATTTTGGTGGAATTTTATCTATCCCGAACCCCAGCGCGTAACAATATAAAGAGATATCATAATAATTAAAACAAAAATTAAAGTATTAAAGAGAAAAAAATGATTGTAGAACGATATTATTTTATTCCCCTTATTTTTACTGACGATGCGGCGTTTTTGAGCCCGCACGAGTAGTTATCACCAACTGCCTATTTCCGCATAACAATAATAATAAATTCAGTCTGCTTATTGCGAGCGTTCTCGATAGAGTTTTTTAACGTTTGCCTACGTTTGCCGCTAGGGGCGCTGTTCCAACTCTATACAAATTTGAGTTAACTTTTACGCTATCGAGAACGTTAAAAAGCTCGCACTAAGCACTCAGATTCAATGGCTGGGATTGCAGTTGTACCTGCATTGAGACTAACATCTAATGTCTCAAGGTAGGTGACACCATTCACTTTAGATATGTCCATATGCTAAAACTACCCCACCGCACCCACAAACGCATTCACCCACCGAATTATTAAAAAAAACCTACCCTTAATTTCGACAGGGTTTGTCTGCAGAACATCTTTGTAAAACTTGTTTTTGTGATACTCAATCACCCGATCTAACCATCCCATTTTACGAATCTCTATAGAAGCCATTATTAATGATGCCCAAAACAAATTAATCTTTAATTTCTGTAAAGAAAACAACAAATTAATCAAAAGTATTATGTTTGGGTATTACGTTTTTTTATTTGATACTTTTTTAAGCAAATTTACTCACTGTTAACAACATATTTTTATGTCGACATAAAAAGATCAATTAACACGAATCTTAATTAAGTTCTGTTAAAACAGTAAACGAATGAGTTATTGGAAAATCGTTAACAATAATTTAATATCGAATTGTCGTGAAATATTTTTCATTAATACGACTGTTTTATGACACGTTCTCAATTCATTAGACAAGTGTATTGAAAATATTAATTATTGCTCCCGTCAAAAAAGATAGTTCTTGATAGACCTCGGTCTGTTCCAGCTACTGATACTACAGCATTCGTTTGTAGGGATTTCTTCATTATTTTCACAATTATCTGCATAACTTTCTAATTTCTAAAATTTCATATCTAGTGCCAGCACTTGTGCGCATTGCAACTTTAACTCAATGTGACAATATGGGCATGAACTTAAAATTTAGGTTTAAGTAAGTAAGAGAACATCTTTACTTGAATATTTCATATTCATATTCAAGCTAGGATATTCTCGACAATGCCAGTGGCTCTATTTTTCCTCTCGGAAACACATGAGAGAGGAACTACCAATACCCCGAACACAAATTTCTTTAGGGAAGATGCCGGTTCCGACAAAGGTCTGTTATACGCTAGAGACTTCTCGGTATGAGATCGATAATAAGTTTAATTTTGAACATGGTAAAATTAAGTTATACTGTACTTACGTATAATATAAGCAATACCGTCAGTTCAAGAATAATATTGCAAGAACAAAACGTTTAATCAAATTGACGTTATCAAAGCTCGTTTGACGTTTGGTAAATAATTACATTTAGACCAACACTAACAAAAATTTGCAAAAACAGTTGTTTTCAATTATTAGCAATGTTCCAAAGATTATCTCACTCTAATATAGCAGTTTTGCTGTTGCAAGAGTGAAGCAGTCGCATTGAAATAAATTATACATGGCTTTCAATCAAAATTGTCACAAATAAAACTAGAATCTGGAATGCACAGTTTTAGTGGACGTGTCGACATCGAAAGACTTACCATAATTTTTTAAAAAAATAATACTATCATTTTATAACAATGATTTAATAAAAGTAGACGCGAAATACTAAATTTATAAGAATAAAAAAAAATTAGTAAGGAGTTTTTAATATATAACGAAATATCGACTTGAATTTAGACGAAATTATTGCTCGTATTTTATGTAAACAAAGAATAAATATACTTGAATTAAACAATGTCTGCAATTGTGTGAACAAAAGGGGCGTTAATGTTGTCTCATACGATTGCTTTTACAAAGTTTTTTACACTTAAAAGATTTAAAATGGTCGGTGTGAGTAGGGACGCGCCACTGGGTGTACAGTGCATACAGAAATTGTATATCAAACTATGTCCTAGACTGCAGATCAACAGATTGAGATGGTAAGTACCGTTGTAAATCCATGTAAATGATTATGACCGTGACATAGTGAATAATTGCATTGAAACAAAGGTTTTTGTTCACTAGCAGTTAACAGCAACTGTGTATTTTTTTTCAAATATATTAAATAAATTGAATTAAACTTTTGAATTTTTTATATTTTTATCCCCATAATGCGTGAACCAACAGCCCCATAATGCGTGAACCAACTTGGTGTGAAGTGGTCACCGAAGCTCCTAACATAGATAATAGACGAGTTCTAAATCTCAGTTTTTTTACAGTACATACAATTTTATTTAATAGTTGGAGACTTTTATTTTTATTTTTTGGTTTTTAGTTCTCTTCATGTTCTATGGGGAATCCTCTCAAAAATTCGTTGAGATTATAAAATCATTTCATTATACCAGCAGAACGTGTGTTCCATGCTATTGTCACACTATATTAAAGACAGCTGTGTTCAAAAATATATAACACGGCACATACCATTTGCCACAAATATAACAATCATACTACATTCTTGTAGCTAACAAAAAGCAATAGGACCTTTGAAGCAATGTTGAAGAGCGACGGTAATCATTCACCACCTACAGCAATAAAAAGTACTCTAACCTGACTCCCAAATAACCATAGAGTCTCATTTTTCTTTGAATAATTACATCACTACTGGCCATTCACATAGTTTTTTTTTATTGCCCCTGTAGGTAGACGATATGGCCCACCTGATGGTGAGTGTTTACCGTCGCCCATGGACTTCAGTAATGCCAGGGGCAGAGCCAAACCGCTGAGCCAAGCCCCTGCCTACGGAGTTAATGATGTGATCTAATAAATATTATTAATTTAAATACTAATTATTGATTATTATGGAATACAATAAACGGACTATACTTCTCAAATGTCTATTTTGCAATTTAATTGATGGCATAGTAACATTCAGCACAGGAATATTACATTCCGGCTACACATACATTCACACATTTTTAGTCTGTTACAATTTTTATTACTATTTCGGTTTCAAGATGCACTACTCTGAATCGCTTAACACTGGCTTACCTTGATCTCATTTGAGATAGAAAAAGAATAGATATTGAATTGGTATTTTTAATCACCTTGTTGGTTGTTTTTGTAGAGCTAGATAGATAGATGTGCTTATGTAGCCTTGGATAGTTACCGGAACCTATAAACATCCGTCATCACCTCTGTCTTGAGATATAGTAGTCGTTGTGGCCTACGTCTGGTGCATACGTGTTGAGGCGATGCACCGATGTTCGAAGAATCTCAGGCGGGTACCAATTTTTCTAATGAAATACGTACTCATCAATTGTTCACGATTGACCTCCACGGTGAAGGAATAACATCGTGTAATAAAAATCAAACCCGCAAAATTATAATTTGTGTAATTACTGGTGGTAGGACCTCTTGTGAGTCCGCACGGGTAGGTACCACAACACTGCCTATTTCTGCCGTGAAGCAGTAATGCGTTTTGGTTTGAAGGGTGGGACAGCCGTTGTAACTATACGTGAGACCTTACAACTTATATCTCAAGGTGGGTGGCGCATTTACGTTGTAGATATCTATAGGCTCCAGTAACCACTTAACATCAGGTGGGCTGTGAGCTCGTCCACTCATCTAAGCAATAAAAAAATATATATATAAAAGCTGGTGTCCCACTCTTCAAGTTGGGACATATCTCTACGATAGGCAGCAGCTTGGCTCTGCCCCTGGCATTGCTGAAGTCCATGGGCGACAGTAACCACTCACCATCGAGGGGGCCGTACGCTCGTCTGCCTGCAAGGGCAATAACAAAACTTTACATAGTAAATAGGAACTTTAAACAGTGTTGGAAACTATGAAATGACATATTCACGTCTCCCTTATGTTTTTAGATAGGTGATGTAATACCCATTTCCTGCGATAACCACTAACCGGGCTAGCTGTGTGCTCTATATAGCTCAAAACTATTATCTTGATACGAATCTATAAAAAGTATTAAAGTATGTAGACAAAGCAAATTACTCATAAATGATAAAAAAAGATGATAATAATTAAAAAAATATGATGTATATCTGAGTGCTGACATGTAATAATGTTGAGTTAATGTAATTTTTGGATAGCGATTATGATAGTCATTGTTTTAGAGCTGATCGCCTATGAATCAATATTGTTTTAGACTCATCAATCCGTAAATTGCTTTAGGAGGTATACTGTAAGGTCTCGTCTGGTTGGGTTAAGGTTAACAAAAAAAAATCTTCTTCAGCTATTTGAATGGAGTATACTTAATTAAAGTTCAATTAAGAACATCGAACCGTTGATGCTAATACCAAATAAAACGCAACTTAATTACAAAGTTAAATGACGCTTAAACCATATTGCCCTTCACTCCTCGATATGATTTCCTAGCGACAGTACGGATGTCCCTTGCCACCGTCGCATCACTAGTCCGCCTTCGAAGCTTGTATGCGTGTCCTTTAAAACAAAAAAAAATTCTTCAAATATCACGAATGTAACCTAATTTTTCAGGTACCAAGTCAGCGTCCTAATACTGACCTACTTCACGTATATGACGTACCATTTGACGAGGAAACCTATATCGGTGGTCAAAAGCGTCCTCCATCAGAACTGCAGTAGTCTGACACCGCCCCCCGACGTCGACCCGACCGATGACCAATGGTGTAATTGGGCGCCGTTCAGTAAGTATTCTGATTGATGTTGAGGTCTGTAGCCTGATCATCCGGCTCGTGGAGACCGGGGACCATCTGTAACCGGAATCCTGAGACACGGGCTGGAAGTCTCTGTATAAAGGTGGACCCATTGTTCAAATTGCAAGGGTTCTTCGCGGTAGTAACGGGTAGGATGGTGGTACTTATCCGTGCGGGCCTTCATGACGCCCTACGACCAGTAAATGGCTTTTGGCGTCAACGTGTACTGGTGCAATATTCAGGGAATGCTGTCTGTTCTCTGGTGATTTCCTCACGACGACCACGGGAAGAATTGCTAGGTGTTGAGTTGGGCGGTGGTATTCTAGTCACTCGGTGGAGTGATGATCTATGCATGGTGGCAGGCAAATTCTGGACGAGAGAAGCCAAGGATCGTGCTCAGTGGCATGCAATTGGAGAAGCCTAGCATTGGAGAAGTCCAGTAGTAGACTGATATAGCTTGATGATGATGATGATTCTAGACATCATTCGAATTTAGGCCCTTAAGCAAATGGTCGACGGATTCTATAGTTATGAAAAATATCAAAACGAGCATCCTGTATAAACATAATTAGATGATGAATCCTTTACAGATACGACGGACGCGAACACGTTATTAGGAACATTGGATTCCGCCTTCCTGTTCTCATACGCGGGCGCCATGTTTGTTTCTGGTAAGTTCTCGTTGAATTGAAAGCTGAAATGACTTTCAAATTAGTGCATCCTTTCAACCCTACGTGACAGAGCTTTAATTTTTATTGCATATATGGCTGAATACGCAGATTTGGTATTAAGTGGTCAAAGTAAGACGCATGGTCGCTTCGTGGTATATCTATAAAATATAAGATCACCGGACGTCTTACCCTTGAGGCCATGGCGACTTCAAATTCGACTTATTTGTTTGTTGTTGAGACAAACTGTAGTGATATTTCGTGCTGTAATCCATCATGTCACACGTATTCGATCGTCAAATCTATTGATCTATCTACCGCCATATTTTCCCATGCGAGTCTAACTAGATAACTAAATGTAAATAAGGTGGCATTGGTTAAGTACTGGTCTTGGAGGGTTCGAAATAATCTCGAAGCGACCTTATCTCGGGCGAGTAAAACCATTCTTGCGTAACATTATAAAGGTCGGAATTCTGCATCTACCAACGAAGAGCGGCATACATTTTGTACATTTTAATTGATCCTTCCGTAATGATTGGGGACGGGAGCTTAGAGTCCTTACTGTAATCAATATCTCTTAATGTCATATACCATATCTAGACATTATGTCCTTTTCCGACTCTCTTGAAACTATGATGGGGAACCTAAATATGAAAACGTCCAAATATTGAATCCTGGATCGATATTAAAATTTGTGGACGATTGTGTGTCGGTATGGCCGTGCATGCTTTAACCATTTGCGATTGCTTTACTTGCCTGTCCACGTTTTCAGGCATGATAGCCGAGAGAGTGGACTTACGCTATTTCCTCTCCCTGGGCATGCTCACGTCGGCCATATTTTGCTATCTGTTCGGCATCGGACGAACATACAATATTCATAACATTTATTATTATTTAATCGTTCAGGTGAGTTTGAATTAGACAATTTCTTTAGATTTAAGGGAATAGTTGAAATTGAGTACTAGTTTNTCCACGTTTTCAGGCATGATAGCCGAGAGAGTGGACTTACGCTATTTCCTCTCCCTGGGCATGCTCACGTCGGCCATATTTTGCTATCTGTTCGGCATCGGACGAACATACAATATTCATAACATTTATTATTATTTAATCGTTCAGGTGAGTTTGAATTAGACAATTTCTTTAGATTTAAGGGAATAGTTGAAATTGAGTACTAGTTTGCGGATGTCGGGATAAATGGTATCTATCGCCTATTTGCCGATTGCCTATTTCTGCCATCAAGCAGTAATCTGGTTCCGATTGGAGGGCAGGGCCGCCGTGGTACTGTAAAAACTGAGTCTTAAAACTTGATGTCTCATGGTGGACGTCAGCATTGACGTGGTTGACATTGATTGGCTCTGGAAACCACTTCAAACCAGGTAGACCGCGAGCTCGTCCTCTCAAGTTAACGATTAAAAATAATGCACTGAATTAACGAATATCGAAAATCTGTCCAAAAATGAGTGCCTAAATTTTATGCTAGACAGAGAGCGCAAGAATAATTTAATGATAAAATTGTCGTTGTATCTGTCACATCGCTTTGCGGGAAAAAGTATTGTCATCTCCATAGAAAATCTCAATGAATGCTCGTCTTATTTTTCGATTTAAATATTCATTTGTTTTATTATAATCTTAGAGCATTGGTAAGCATAGCAAATGGATAACTACTTAGCTTATCGAAAATCGTTAATTTCTATGGCCCAAATTTTTGTAGACGATATATTCTTTATCGCAACAGACGTTCGTAGCGGTCCAAACTAGACCTTCCCCTCTGGTATCAAGCTACCACTGGATAACTTAGAGCTTCCGCAGCTCCTTCTTCTTTCCAACGGTCTTTCGATGCTCTTTCTTAAACACATTGAAAATTTCAATATTAAAAGGAATTCATTCTCTAGGGGCTCTGATATTAGTTGCAGGCACATAGTAACCCAACGAAAGATTACTATTATGTGAATAGTTGACATTTTTAAGGCTGGAGCCGGTATCGCCCAGACCACTGGCTGGCCGGGCACCGTTGCCACAGTAGGTAAATGGTTCGGGAATACAAAGAAAGGATTGATATTCGGCGTTTGGAACTCTCACACGTCGCTTGGTAACATTTTGGGTGAGTTAAATTTCTTATTAGTTCTATTTTAGATTACCGAAAACTTGAATATAGAATTTGGAAAAGCGAATTAAATAAATACATAAATATTAATCATGAATTTTACCGAAATGTCAAAAACAGCGTATTTATATATGCTTGGATCAGTTGACGATGTTGGCTTATCCGGCTGACGATACAGTCCCATAATTAAATCCAAGGTTTTTTAATGAGTCTAACAATTCTGTTCAAAGCGTTTTAAAGCTCTACTCCTTTTTATTGTAACAGAGTAAGGATTGGTGTGAGATCGTTTTCATAGAAATAAGAATATTCAGGTAGTGGGATGTTGGAGAAATGCCGAGGCTAAATCATTTTAGTACGCCTTTAATTATTTTTTTGCCGGCATTCTCCATGAGATTAGAGATTCAAGTCGAAGACGTAACTTTATTATATCCAAGCTACTTGTTTACGTGATTATAAAATTGTATCGGCATCACGTGTTTTTCGTCCAGGTACCCTCATGGCAGCCGAATACGTGGACAAAGACTGGAGCCTCTCATTCATATACCCTGGCCTCATGATGGGCGCGGTCGGCTTCGTGATCTGGCTGTTTCTCGTCCCGGAACCTAAATACGTGGGTCTGGTTCCCGGAGAAAGGAATACTGTGAGTATCACATAAAAATTGTAGTCACAACGAAGCCTGACCGGACCACTAGTATTGAATAATGACGTCAATATTCACATGCGACATACAAAATAAGAAATCGCTTTGCGGGAAAGGTACCCAAATTTTTTAAATATTCAGTAAAACTTTATATACTTGCATCTGAGAACTTTGACAGCCAGCTTATATTAAATAAATAATCGGAACCAGAGACTATACATTTAATAATATATATATGTCGGAGAAGCCACAATTATTAACAACATCGTCAGACATCATAAGGGCGAATAGGGTGATCGAGCTTATCAGACGAAACGTCGTAGCACGAAGTTAGCCTAGTTCCGACGGTACCGCAATCGTGCTGCCATCTCTCGGGAATCGCACTGCGTTTCGTTTAGCTACCAAACTAATGACCGTCTCCGACATATGAACCGCTTATTTGGAAAGTGGTGTAAGTCCATTTTCTTTTGTTTCGAGAAAATTAAAGGTCACTATATTTGTTGATTTAAAAATACAGGCAAATCATATGAGGTCTGGCATTGTTTCTATTGTTTTATCAACATTTAATTTGTTTATATAAATTTGTTTTTGGCTATTTAGACTACGATAACACATATTTATGTGCTGTAAATGGACTTACATCACTTTTAAAATTAGACAATTGTAAATATCGGTTAATTTCAATTTTGAAAAATCAAATATCGCTTAAAATATACTTCATTTTAATATAATTTTGTTTACAAATACGCATAACAACACATAAAATTTTATTTTAAACAGCAATTACATTGTCATTACGAGATACTGATTACAAGAATTTACTTATTCTCTGCATGTGGTAGTGTTTCAAAATATGCATGATGTACCGGAGGTATATAGGGTAGTAGCTGCTTCATGTCTTTTATTTTTCGTACGTAATAGATCTGGCATTTTAGTACAAAGGCTCCAGGGCGATTTTTTCAAATTTTAACGGTCTTCCAGGACGTAGAGGTAATAAATTGATAATTTTAAATTCTGCGTCCGTCATCGTTGTTTTATAAAAAATGGTATATGGTGCAATTTTGAGGAACCTCAACCAACATATTTGAAACCAATTGACCTGTTCCCCATTAGTATTTTTATAACAAAAATAAATAACAAAACACTGATCGGCATCCATCTGCTATGCCACCTACCTCTGTCAATTGGACTTCACCATTTTCATAATCGATGATTATGCAATTTCATTTACCGACCGATTTTAAGTTGTACCAAACATGGGATTTTTTTGAGAAATTAAACACGGACTAGTTATATATAAAAAATTTACATTAAATTAGGCATGAATTACGTGATAGCTCATTTTTCTCAAAAATGGACTTACACCACTTTCAAAATAAACGGTCCATATGTACCCAGACAAAGAGTAAAGAAAAATTCGCCACAAATGGTTTCGCCTAGGAGTGGGAATCGAACCCGCGACCCTTGGTCCAGCAATCGGGGGCGCTAAATACTGCGCCACCGAATCAGTCCTACCTAAAAATGATCTTCTCATTTATTGACAATGTATAACTTCGAAGATATTGGCTACTAGCTTTAGCTTAGCATAGCTTAGCTTATAATGTACAAACTAATCCATTGAATGTCTTCACAACAGCCCATCAGACAATGCACCAAGTCTGATGAAGAGGATGAAGCAGAAATCGTCAGCCACGATGCTGAACCGACCCAAGTTCTAGTCGGAGACCAGGTGAGTGAGCCCGTTTCAGATCCGTCGACTCGTGTATTCCATTCCCGCTGAGGACTACAAAAGAAACTGAAGGAGTTGGAAGGAAGGAAGGAAATCCACGGTGAAGGAATAATTATAATTTGCTTAATTACTGGTGGTAGGACCTCTTGTGAGTCCGCACGGGTAGGTGCCACCCTGCCTGCCTATTTCTGCCGTGAAGCAGTAATGCGTTTCGGTTTGAAAGGCGGGGCAGTCATTGTAACTATACTGAGATTTACGTACTGCGCACTTAGCACTACGCACACTTAGCACTACTAGCACGTGACCCTCACAACTAGTTTTTGAGGCTTTTGATTCTTGTGTCTCAAGATATTGTGCCTGGAACTGGTGGTATCTTTGAATCCGTATGGTTCGGACCACTGAATCCATTCCTCCATCCAAGGACTTGGGTTCGAAGAGTGCAGCCGAAATAATTAAGATTCCGAGATCATTCTTCAAGAGGGACTACATTATTTAGTGGTATGAAGTTTCAGCGAACACAGCTTTTATGAGTTGAGTTTCTACTGATAAAATAAATTTTCACATATTTAATTGAATTACTATATATTATCTAGTACCTGTATATATTAGGTACTATATACTTGTATTTTACTATGCGATAAAGGAATTATTCTAAAATTGTAAACAATTAAAATGAATGTCTTCCGCAGGGTGCAAGTCTGAGAAGTAACAGATATTCGGCTAACACGCAACACGTGAGTATTGTAACGAACAAAAACCAATTAAATAACTCACTTGAATCGAGTTAACCAATTATTCTACTCAATCGTCTTTCTTTGCGGGCTGTGTGAAATATGCATTAGAAATTTATTAGAATTAAAAGCCTTAGAACGAATCTGGTTTTATTTGTAATAGTTTTTTTAATAGATACATTGGTAGTAAGTTCAAATTATTACTTTATACAGCTATGGACACTGGCAAATCTACAGTTTTTTTTTATTACCCTCGTCGGTAGATGAGCATACGGACCCTCTAATGGTGGCTGGTTGCAGTCGCTAATGACAATGCCAGCGCAGCTCAGCTTCTGCCTACCGATGAGTATTCTCCACAAATTTCAAGAGATCTCGTAGCGACGCTCGTAGTCCGTGCTACGGTCTGCATACGTAACAATGTCCGTAACAGGAGGAGCCCACCGAGCACACCTCGCTGCTCCGCCGCCCCTCGCTCTCCGGGAGCAGCGCCGTGTCTCTGTCCAGGGCGCTCTCCATCCCAGGAGTGGTGGAGTTCTCTCTCTCGTTATTCTTCGCCAAACTAGTCAGCTATACGTTCTTGTATTGGCTGCCGTTGTACATAAAGACATCGAGTAAGTATCGATCGTATTATTGTTTCGTTGGCACGTGCTATAGTGAGGTCTTTGATTGATTTGGTCATGTGTGGTGTGATCTTATTCGTGTCGTGGATGTCGTGAAGCGACTAGGGGATTTCCCGGAGGATGAGCCACAGAGTTCTCTGAATATTGTACCGGTGTACTACAATGACCACAATATACATACTGGTGGTTGAGGTACTGGAGCCATACGGGTAGATGCCTCAACCCTGCCTATTTCTGCCGCAAAGCCGATGGTTCATCTAGTTTAGTAACTTATATTCAAGTTTTTACAATGTTATGAAGCTTTTTGTTTAATAGATGATCGAACTCACAGCAAACAGCTCTCGCAGAACTAAGTGGTTAGTACTACATCTCCGTGGTGATGAGCCCTACTGGTGCTGGCTCACAAGATGTCCCCTGCAACCAGCCCCTGCGATTACTAAATGGTATCCATGCAACTCTGCCGCAAAGTTCTGACTGTCTAGCCGATTATTTTCAGTGGAGTATTGTGGTGTATGTTTAGAAGGCTCATGTCAGATATACTTTGATCTATTGGATAGACCGATGACCTATTGAGGTTGGCCGGGATACGTTGGATATAAGCAGCGCAGGGGGCGATCGTTGTGGTGGGGCTTGGGGGAGACCTTTGTCCAGCAGTAGACGTCTATGGCCTGATAGGAATAGAATGTTTTGATCTGGTACCCAATACACCCGGTCAAGAAGTCGATTGAAAAAAGCGTATTCTGTTTGTTAGCTAACCTAACAGCCAAGCAATCTGGCAAGCTAAGCACAGTGTTCGACGTGGGCGGGATTGTGGGCGCGATCCTGGCGGGGCTCGTGTCCGACTGCACGGGCTGTCCCGGAATCGTCTGCGTGGTTTTTTATATGCTCTGCGCGCCCTCGGTGAGCATTACGTTTTTATGGATAATTGGATACATGCTTATGCTTAAGTTTGATAAACGCGTAAGGGGCGTCACACACGGTGAAGATAATATAATATTTTATCTTAACACACAATATCGCTTTGTATGAACTATCACACATCAAAAGGGCGGACGGTTAGCGTGGTATGGGCATGTGATGCGTAGAGAGAATATGCATGTGACTCGGAGATGTAATGAAATGGTAGTCAAGGTAGAGGGGAAAGAGGTCGACCGAAGAAGACATGGATGGAGTGTGTGAATGACGATATGAGAGAGAGAGGAGTGAGTGTTGAGATGACGGCTGATAGAAGAGAATGGAGGAGAAAAATTAGCTGTGTCGACCCCACCTAGTGGGATAAGAAAAAGAAGATGAACTATCACACATGGTTAAGATAATATATATTTTCATATTATAGTATCTTCGCCGTGTGTGACGCCCTTAAGGTCTTTATGTTTTTTTTTTGCAGTGGTGGTCTGGAAGAAATCCCTTTTAACGATAAAATATAGCCTGTAGTTTATTTAGTATCGGTGTGAAATTAATACTTTACTTGTGTATTTATAAGAGAAGGATTTAGTACTTTTTTGATTGCTTAGTGATCTTTGGGAACTTGTACTTATTATTGACGGTTAGTGGTCACTGCTGACCGTTAAGTGCGATCAAATGCCACTGGTAATTTTTGTCCGATAGAGATTTGGATGTGTCCCCTTGCGTCATCGAAGCTCGGCTGACATTGGAATGGACAATATGAGGAATCCTAGTGAGGATCGGTTGTGGTTTAGAAGATGTAGGGACATCCGCGCCGATGCTTCGCCATTGATCCTGGGACTAGAGTAGGGTGGGTAGGGTAGGGGTAGACCCAGCTCTGGTCCCGATGATTCGGAAGGACCCAGGTGGCCGATGTAGTCGTTTGCTCCGATTAACCCCCGGTCAGGCATCCTTCGAGGACCAGGTCTCGTGTCTAGTTGCAATGTTGACCCCAGTGGCCTTCCTACTTCTCATGGATTCCGTCTCAGACGGCGATCGGATATTTTGGCTAGAGTGCAAAGGATTAGTCTAGCGAATGGTCACGACCGTGCCACTTAAACGGAGCGCCCACTAAAATTCGGCTCTCAAACCAAGGCAAAAATGGTAAGTTATATTTTTGTATGTCACAGCTCCTCGTTTACCAGACCTGGGGAGCCAGCTCGTATACACTGAACGTTTGGCTGTTGATATTAAGCGGTGTGCTCGTGAATGGTCCTTACGCGCTCATCACCACTGCCGTTAGCGCGGAGTTGGGTGAGCTATCTTCTAAATTTTTTTTCCTACCAATGCTGATAAACCTATAGGCTATTTCAGCTTTACCCTAGTGTGTAGGTGAGCTCTCGGGGCTCAAACCGGAGGTGTTGCTTCGCAGAATCTACCACCGGTTCGGAAACGCGACCCACTGAGAAGGTCCGGTGAGAAACTCAGTGGGCTATATCTGTGGGTTAGTTTACTCGTCGAGCCCTTCGTCGCAAGCAACAGTTTCGGCGAGAACTCCCAATATACAAACGCGAATATTTTTTGTCTGCACGTTCTTAGAAAAAATCTATGTCCGCTGTACCGAAAAGACATAGGTAGTTCTCGCCCTAAATAAACGGATAACAATATTCATTTGCAGAGCCAAATAAAAATGTTTGTCCATTTCATGAAACCATAATGTAACGTGAAATCAGCTGGTATTGAGTTCGTTGACCTCGCGCGTCGTTCGTTTTTCATTTTGTGTCACATTGCGCGCTGTACATACAAGGACTTTACTAAATACATTTCCGGATATAATTGTTATAATATTATCGTGTCTGGAAGCAGTTCCATAGTCATGTCTCGAGTTTCGGGAACTATGCGAAAATCTTACATGTCTAAAAGAAACATAAGTACTAAAATACTTGGCTGTGTCATTAACTTTAACCTTATGGCAAGTTTTTTTGATTTTATTGTCCTAGTAGGCATACGAGCGTACGGCCCACATGATGGTGAGTGGTTACCAACGCCTATGGACTTCAGCAATGCCAGGGGCAGAGTCAAGCAGCCGCCTATCGTCCTTTTTTTTTGATGTCGGTTAAAAATATATAAAAGCAACTATTGTAATTATATATGTATGCAGGTACACACAGCAGTCTAGCTGGAAATTCCCAGGCTCTGGCGACGGTCACCGCCATCATTGACGGCACCGGGAGCGTTGGTGAGTGCTTTTATGTGTTTGCATTACATTACTGGCTGGAGTAAGTCTGAAGTCGTCGTGACCTAAAGGATAAGACGTCCGGTGCATTCGTATGTAGCGATGCAACGGTGTTAGAATCCCGCAGGAGGGTACCAATTTTTCTAATTAAATACGTTCTTAACAAATGTTCAAGATTGACTTCCACGGTGAAGGAATAACATAACGTGTAATAAAAATCAAACCCGGAAAATTATAATATGCGTACTTACTGGTGGTAGGACCTCTTGTGAGTCCGCGCGGGTAGGTACCACCGCCCTGCCTGTTTCTGCCGTGAAGCAGTAATGCGTTTCGGTTTGAAGGGTGGGGCAGCCGTTGTATCTATACTGAAACCTTAGAACTCATATCTCAAGGTGGCGGCGTTTACGTTGTAGATGTCTATGGGCTCCGGTAAACACTTCACACCAAATGGGCTGTCAGCTCTTCCACTCATGCAATGAAATAATGATAATAATGAGACCTCATCTGTCATGGTGGCGTTCAGATGGGTCACGTGCTTCTCGATTTAAAACCAGGTGCGGCAATAGGGCCTATGCTGGCCGGCATCGTCTCCAGTTCGGGGTCGTGGTCCTACGTGTTCTACATGCTCATAGCGTGTAACTACATGGCGCTGTTCCTCTTATTAAGGTAATTAATGATGCTTCTCCTCGCTACCGAGGGTCGTGACCAGCCTTTCTCTTCAGAACTTTCTCCATCGGTGTACGTCTCTGGTTGCGTGGAGGGCTGTGTGAAATGTGGAATCAAGAGTGGTGCGGATCAATATGGCCGCTTTATTGTATCGAGAGGAGAAAGGTTATTTGGCTTAAGCGGCATTTTTGCAATTTTTCTATTACGTGGTATTCTAGATTCAAGCTATTAAGTGAGCTCACGGGGCTCAAACCGGGAGTATTGCTAACACTGGCCCTAGCAAGAGCCGCGCTTCGCAGAATCTACCACCGGATCAGAAACGCGACCCACTGAGAAGATCCGGCTAAAAACTCAGTGGGCTGGATTTTTGCTAATTTACAGGAGAGCCATTTAAAGTTGAAACATTTTGGGAAAAAAAATTTATCGTAACAAAACAAACTTCTTCGGTAATTTCAATGGAGTTAAACTTTATTGAAGTTCAATTAAAAACATTGTACTGTGTTGATGCTGATACCAAATAAAATGCTTCTTTGATTACAAAGACAAATGTCGCTGAAACCAAATAGCCTTTCATGTCTCGATATAATTCTATCAAAATTTAGATATTAATAATAATAGTGATCAAAAATCAAACGAGGCTTGTGGAGAGTACTTAACGGTAGGCAGCGGCTTGTCTCTGCCCCTGCCCCAACGTGGTGTGCTTTTCAGGATATTATCAAAATAACCCCCTTCTACTCATATCTGTTCATAAAATATTTATAACTACTGATACCATGCACCCCACGTTTTTTTTTACAATATTATCATTTTTTCTTACACAATTTTTAATTCAAATTTATTAAACTTTATTTTCTATTTTTTAGTTGGATTTTCTATAAATGCGTTTTTTTTTAACTATTATTTAATTTGTGTCCGGTTTGTCTTCCGTAAACAGTTATGAGGTTTTTTTAATATGAAACCCTCAATTTAGTTCCTACTTTAAGGGTACGAGCCGTCACAACCCTTTTATGTATACCAAGGGCGTTAGGGCTATTTGGTTTAAGCTACATTTACCTTTGTAATCAGAAGTCCGTTTTATTTGGTATCAGTATCAACAGTACAATGTTTTTAATTGAACTTCAATTAAGTTTACCCCATTCGGTAAACAGCTGAAGAAGTTTTTTTGTTATGATATTTTTTTTCAAAAAATTTAAACTTAAAATGGCTCTCCTGTGAACCTTTAAAAATGTCGCTTGAACCAAATAGCCTATCATCCTTTTGTATATACGAATTATTTAATATATTTTTTTTTACACAGGATAGCGAAATCGGAAATAGCCAAATTGAGACAGGAGAGACGCATAGCATCACCTCCTAGAGTCAGAATAGAATAATTTTTATTATTTATAATTAAAATAATCAAAACGGTTTTTAACGAAATAAATAAAAATATTAACGAAACGGACAAAGAGATTTGCACTGCCAAAATTCTGCCAACTGTGAGTTCGTGTAATGAATTAAAAAAAATATAAAAAACACCAGTTTTAAATACTTTAAATTCTGCAAAAAAAAAACAATGTTAAATTGACAAACAAACCCATAAGATTTTAGAACTGTATCGTCAGCGCAAAAGTGGCCCAAGCATACCTGAGCTTAGAGTAAAAAGCTTACAGTTTATAGTAAGTATGGAGACAATGAGGTCTGAATTTACTTTCACACTGCCTCATAGGCAAAAACAAAACGCGCAAAAATAATGTTGACAGAGCCATCTGTTGTCTACGGGCGAAACTAGGGATAGGCCGGTTTTGCATCAAAATTTATTATGTTTTAAATAAATTGCAATATAGTAAAACCACAAATGTGAAAAAATTTAGGATAGGCCACTTTTGGGCTGACCTCATTTGTGGCGACAAACGCATGAGTCTTGATAAGGTCGAAATATATGTACGTATGTTTTCAAAAAACGATGTACGCTGAATTCGACCAGTGAAGTGTGCTTAAAGTATTTGTATTCCTAATTATATGTATAACTCAGACTAAGTGAGAATAGTAATTAAATTATTATAATAATACGATTAATTGAAATATTGAATTTAGACTATAGGTTCTTCTTGTCTATTCAAGTAAACAAATCTATAGATTTTCTTGATTGCGAACATAAGAATACATTTAATTAAATTTTTGAGCATCTTAACTGAGATTTTAAATTGTAATTCAAATAATTGAGAGTTTTAATTGTAAGTTAATTATTATCAATTAGTTATAATAATTCAATTAATTGAAATATTGAGTATGAGGTTCTTATCTTCATAATCATACAATCTATGGATTTTTTTGTTTGAGAACATAAATATACATTTAATTCAATTTTTTAGCATTTTAATTGTGTTTTTAAATTGTAATTCAATTAATTGTAATAGTGAGAGTTTTAATCGAATGCCTATTTTAATATAGTAAAAATTCTTAAGTTAAAGAGTGGTTCATTTAATTCATTCAATCAATTGAATTTTTACAAACGAATTCATATCAAACATTTGACTTGGAATTATTTAAGCGAGGTAATTACACGTCGTACAAGTTTAGTTCGGATGACAGTTTTTCATACAAACAGATTAATTTAATTTTTGTTTTTCCAATGAATAGTGTATTTTATATGTTCCTTAAAACGTATCATTGAATTGAGGATTGATAAGCGGAGTGTAGCTTATCGTGAAGGAATATGGCGGCATCCATAGCCTGCTCTGAACCGGTAATAGAACGCGAAACATTTAGACACACACGAAAAACGAGAAGTATTTATGTTCGTTTGTTTTAAGTAAGTGAATGTTGTTTTGTAAGTTATAGGCAGCATTTGTTGTCCTTACGACACACGAAACCGCCATTGCTGCTCCGAATACTGGCTGTGTTTTAATTAAAGGATGTGTTTTCTTAGAGCAGTGTGTATTCAAAGTTGAAACGGTTTTACACCGACCCTCATCGTTAAGGACATGGCAGCGAAAAACCGCCATTATGAGTATTAAATGAAAATTTCGTGGAAATTTCATTATGTAGGACTATTTATGCTGTGTGAAATTAATTGGTGAAAATAGCATCGACATTCATTTCAAAATGGCGTTGTGGTTGTCTATCTCGCACACCGTTGTTTTAATTGTTGTGACGTCAAGAGTTGATAGTGTAACGCTACCGCAGGGTCACTAATTAAAATTCTTCTAATTGAATTCTGTAAAATAATATTTAAAAAAAGTAGATTTTAGAAAGTCCTCTGTATTCGAATGCAAGCAATTTTATTTTATTTTAGTATTTCGAAATAACTAAAATGTTTGTATTATTTTATTTTAATGAAATATTTTATTGTAGAGTGCAATTTAATGTTATCAAGAATATTTATTGGATGTTCCATTAATAATTGAATTAATCATCTCATAATATTTTTTCAATTAAGATTTTTTATGAAAATTAATAATAATGTACAAATGAATACATTCAGAAAGTTCCTTAAAGATCGATATCATACTGCCTTCGTTTAAAATTTTTCGTTTTCGTTCGATATTTGAAAAGGAACTTACTTTTTTCCTGGCAATACAAATACGACTCCACATAGATGTAGAAATAATACAATATTATGTTTTGATATCGAGGGGTGAAATGTTATTTAGATTAAGCGACATTATTGCAACTACACAGGAGTGCCATTTAAAATTTGGAAAAATATCATGACAAAAAAAATACTTCAGCTATTTAAATGGAGTTCAATTCAAAACATCGTACTGTTGATGCTAATATCAAATAAAATGCACTTTCAATTACAAAGATAAATGTCGCCTAAACCAATCAGCTTTTCACCCTTGTAAAATGAGCTGACAGGAAAAAAAAGTCTAAATAATATATTTTTCTACAAATGTTTTATTGACGATTTATTGTTGGCAAGTGTACGAAAGAATCATTCAAGCAAATGTTGTATTTTGAAATGGCCGTGACCCGTGATTCCAACAAGCTGTTTGTCGTGAAGAAGGGAGAAGACGTTTGTGTAACGCCATTTATGGTTAATGCATTTTTTTTTTCGTATAATAAATGACAGGGTCTATTGAACATTGAGTTTTATTTACTGCAGTGACAACGCCAATATTAATTATATAATTAAGATAACTTTGAAAATCTGTTTTGAAAATTTGATGTATAAAATTGAAGTATCTGAAGACGAAAGTCTTTGACCAGTGTGTGTTGCTAGTGATGACATATGGCACTGAGACGTGGTCGCTCACAATGGGCCTTATGAGAAGGCTCAAGGTCACCCAAAGAGCAATGGAGAGGGCTATGCTCGGAGTTTCCCTGCGAGATCAAATCAGAAATGAGGAGCTTCGCAGGAAAACCATGGTAGCCGACATAGCCCAAAGGATTGCGACATTGAAGTGGCAGTGGGCAGGACACATTGCACGTAGAACGGATGGCCGTTGGGGCCTGAAAGTTCTTGAGTGGCGACCGCGTACCGGAAGACGAAGCGTGGGTAGGCCTCCCACAAGATGGGCCGAAGATCTATTGAGGTTCGCGGGGATCCGCTGGATGCAGGCAGCGCAGGACCGGTCTTTGTGGCGAGGCTTGGGGGAGGCCTACGTCCAGCAGTGGACGTCTATGGGCTGATAAGCTAAGCTAAAATTGAAGTTAAGAACCTACATATATATATTTGAAGCCAACTTTTTTCCTACCTATGCTGATGGCCTTGAGAAGCCATTTCAGCGTAACCCTAACAGGTAAATGAGCTCACGAGGCTCAAACCTGACGACATTGCTAACACTAACCCTAGCAAGAGCGGTGCTTCGCAGAATCTATCATCGGATCGGAAACGCGACCCACTAAGATCCGACGAGAAACTCAGTGGGCTGTGTCTGTGGGTTAATTTACTCGCCGAGTCCTTCGTCGCAAGCGACGGGTTCGACGAGAACCATGACCGGTGGTTGGGGTAGCTAAAAGCACCGTTAGTGGATCGGGAGGATCCGAAATGACGTGTTTTGGGCGACGTCGACTCTGTTTACCATTTGGTTTCCGGCGGCCACGATGAGAAGGTTCTCGTGTCGTGCCGCTTTCTCGAAAATGTAGCCGAGAGTTTTTGCCGATACTTCTGAACCAGTGAAACGGCATTCCGAATCGATGCTGAAGTTTAAAGCCTTCGTCAAACAGAACGCGTAATTAGTGCGCGTCAGAGCGCTAAAATGACGCCGAGATGTGTTGTACTACTATGGTAACATACCGTCAAACAGAGCCCCAGCGCTATAAGTACGCAGCGCTCTGTCGCGGCGTTAGGACGCTTTGACGTAAGGCGTTGTAATTTTTTACAAATTTTATTTTAGCGTCCGAGTGAATGTGTATTAAAATACTAGATAATGCCTGAAAAAATGATATAAATAGTTAGAAAATACCCATGCTTATACAATGTCACATCTGAATCACTCGATTTTTTAATACTTTTAAATTTTCACACTGCTATCGAAAGGCACTATGATTTGGCGAATGCGTTGCGTCAAAGAGCGTTAGACTCATTTAGTCAATTTGAAAAGCGCGACGTTAAGTACGCGTTCTGTTTGACGAAGGCTTAAACGATCTAAAAGTTCCCTGTAAAGCTCTATTTTAAAAAAATGGTTCGCGTGCAAAGTGGTTCACGTGAAAGAAGTGAAACTTCTTTTTAGGGGTGTAGTATTGTGGTTTTCTTCATTTTTCATTCTTAAATTAAATTTATCTTGTAATAGGGAACGCTGCATATAAGAGAAACGACCTAGCTCGCTTTGTCTTTTCCCTCTCTCCACGATCGAGTGGTTCGCGAGACGCTCTGTCTATTTTCTCACTTTCGCTCTGCCTAAATTGTATCTTTTCTCTCTAGCCGTAACGAATCTGTCGCGAGTTAAATTTTACTCTTCACGCGCCTAAAGAAGTTTCACTTCAATAAAAACAAATATAATTAGCTCAGTTTTCTAAATAAAAGATTTGGTCGCACGTATTCATGTCATTTATTTACAAAAATTCAATTAATCATTAAAAAAATCTAAGTTAATTTCGGCAATTTTTTCCTTAAACTACTTTATTTATTTATTATATATTATATTTTTTAGAGACATGAGTTCTGTATAAGGTCTCAGTTTGTACAGTACAGCGGCTACCCCATCCTTCAAGCAAACGCATTAGTACTGTTTTATGGCCGAAATAGGCAGGATGGTGGTACCTACCCGTGCAACACGTCCTACCAACAATAAACACTAACGCTCACAAATTCAGACGTCTTCTAAGAACCGTTGCTCATATTTCGACGTGTGAAAGGCTATTTGGTTTAAGCGACATTTTTGCAAAACTATACAGGTGAGCCATTTAAAGTTTAAACATTTGGAAACAAATATCATGACAATAAAGCTTCATCTTATTGCTTAGATGGGTGGATGAGCTCACAGCCCACCTGGTGTTAAGTGGTTACTGGAGCCCATAGGCATCTACAACGTAAATGCGCCACCCACCTTGAGATATAAGTTCTAAGGTCTCAAGTATAGTTACAACGGCTGCCCCACCCTTCAAACCAAAACGCATTACTGCTTCACGGCAGAAATAGGCCACATTCATCTATTTGAATGTGGTTCTTTTTATGATTGAAAGATTACCGGTGGCCCGGAGGCCTTTCCAGTTTCACTAGGACAGGTGGGCGAACAAAGGTTCAGCCAGGAGGGGTGGGATTTGCTAACAGTTGCCCGAGCGCTTCCGAAGCAGGCCTAACAACTCAAAAGCAATTGCTTCGCGAATGAATCTACCACCGGATCGGAATCACGACCTTGAACGTGGTAAACATGATTGAAGTTCAATTAAAATACATCGAATTTTTGATACTGATATCAAATAAAGATAAATGGCGCGTGTTAAGCGAAATGTCGCTTAAACTAAACAGCCATTCACCTCTCGATTTAGTTATAGGAACAGCCCTGATTGCGGGCTCATGTGAGGATGTCGTGATGTTTCGTACATTCGTATATTTATATGAGACAAACATTATGTGACTTGCATATCATTCAACTCCCAACATCAATAGGTACCATTATAGCACTAAAGAAATTCTAGCTAAAGTGAGGGAGGTCCTAGGGATAACAGGTTAGAACAGAGTACCTTTTGCTGTATCTTTTTTGTATAGTGTATTAAGTAAAAATTAAATAAAAAAATTAAGAGTCGTCATGAAACTAATCATATAATTCAAATAAAGTTGGTATTGTCATTCATTTTCAGAAATATTAGTGAAAAAAATTATCTTTATTTTTTTCAAATTATTCATTCAAAATGCATATTCAATGTTTATTTCAAATTGCATATTCTCAATATCTGACGGCAAGCTGATTGAAGAGAAAAATGTTTGTTTCGTAGGTGATCGGAAAGTAACTGAAAATTTTTTGCAAAAAAGGTCTTTCGGTTTAGCTTCTCAGCCCGCGAACAAAATGTGCATTAAGAGAGTCCATTCCAATAAACATAATTTTCAAGCCATGACTCAACATAGATTGCTGTGTAGTCTGGTCGTAAATAGCTTAACTAACACGCCATAATTATTAAATAATTAAGAGCACCACACAATCTCCCTTAAATACTGTCCAACAAGTTAAAATGAAAAAGTCTTATTAATAAAAATACATATTGCTTATCTACATTTCTAGGCTCGTCCTAAAGGTACTATGAAGGATAGTGCGTCGCCTGTAGCTCCCCACGACACTCTGTTTGTTTGATACACCGTAATCCACGTAACCAATATAACAGCCCACACGAAAGCTCCAATTGCACTCATTATCACAACTGTAAATAAATAAATAGAGCATGAAGATTAAAACAACAATCCTTGCTTCCAAATGCCTTTGGGATTAAATCGTANTCGTCCTAAAGGTACTATGAAGGATAGTGCGTCGCCTGTAGCTCCCCACGACACTCTGTTTGTTTGATACACCGTAATCCACGTAACCAATATAACAGCCCACACGAAAGCTCCAATTGCACTCATTATCACAACTGTAAATAAATAAATAGAGCATGAAGATTAAAACAACAATCCTTGCTTCCAAATGCCTTTGGGATTAAATCGTAATAAAAGTAAGCCGTTTCACCCAGTGTATTTCTTGGCAAATCTTCTCAGTTACATTATTTGGTCAGTTGAATTACAGAGTTATACGGATAGATAATCCCATCCTACCGATGACTGTCATGCTGTAGTCATCGTCCGTTGTTATTATAGTAATTATAAACATCATACAAAAAGAGATTACTTGAGGACATTGATTTGCAGACAGCTTACTATTTACTGTCTGTTACTGTGTACTATCTATTTATACTTATTACATTTAAGGAGTTAGGACTTTCACATCTTAATATATCTATATTACTTTTCAAGTTGTTTGTCCGTGATGAACACCTAAACTACTGAACCAATTTCAACTTCTTTTTTTTATGTATGTGTTTTGTTCCAACTTAGGCCGTAGGATGGCTTTTGTTTTGATTAATGGTCGCAATATTTATTAATTAACAATAAAACTATTTCTTATGTTCATTCTTGTTATTAATTGTAAGTTTCATAAGTCTAAAACAGATGGCACCTTAAATCAGTTTTTACAGACAACTGTAATACTGTGTGACGTTAATATCTCATAGATGGCTCTGTGTTAAAAATACCAACAATGGCATGAGCATCACGTGTTGCTGATGTTAAGGTATAAGTGATTTTTTTTTTGTAGTAACGCAATACTGTGAAATACAATTGTTCTTACTTTGTTAATTTTTGGTATTACCATAGCCGGCCACATGCTATTTAGAAACAAAAACCTTAGCCAAAGCCACTTGTGGCCGGGTCTAATAGTATAAATATAGATTTTCGATATGTAATAGCAGGGAAAGCATATAAACATTAATAGGTAAGTTTATCTAATTAACATATCTAATCATGAAACTAATTAAAATAACTCACATTTCTTTATTAGTTTCTGCTCATCATATGCTGGTTTTATGAATGCATCTCGGAAGAACCAACACACATTCACCGCCCACACAAACGGTAGGAACAGACAACCAACTATAAATAAGAAAATTATAATATTAAAACTAAGTGTTAGTTTTTTTATAAAAATATTATGTTACAAAGTCATTTCTGAAAATAAAGGAAATGCATAGATGTCTCATAGTAATCTGAGTAAACTGAAGTGGGGTAGATATGATAATGTAATTCATTTGTCAAGTTGAAAATGCATCACTTAATTAAAACAAAAGTAATGATAGATTGTGAGGTTTTTTCTCGTAGACATGTGGCAAGGCGTATGTATTGTCAAGGCGAGCAGAACCTTTTTAAGAAGGGTTATTGCTTTACAGAAAAACAAACAAAAAATTACCATAAAAACTTAAAATTAAAATGATAAGTGACACGAATCGTTTGAAATTTATGGACTGCCTAACATGAATTATCGGAACTCACTGAAAGTGAAAATTGTACTAAGAACCCGATAAATAATAAATGATGTTTACTAACGTCACCTGGGCTGGTGGACTTAAATTGGTATAGACATCGTAATTTTTTCGGATGAATAATTTGTGAGTAATTATTACCTTTAAAATATGATTTGCACAATTGCAGTTTCATATCGTTCGGCAGTTTACTTAAATCCATAATTAATTGACTTAACCAATTTGATTTAATCGATTTGCCTCTTTTATTTTGCTGAACTTTCTTTTCTTGTGTGAGAACATAGACCTTTAAAGTATGTGAGAATTGTGAGATGTTGTTAAGATTTGTCATAGTTGTCAATTGTCAAAAAATATTTTCCAAATAGATGGGCAAAAGAAGTGAAAGTTAATATTCTTTCGTCGGAAGTCAATCATGAACATAAGTCAATCATGAACATAAGATACGGATCTATTTTATCAGAAAATGTAGTACAAGTAGATTGGGGGAAATAGGGACAAATTTGGGATGTCACAATAGGTACTTTTGTTGAGCTGTTAGATTTAACTTTGTTGAACTGAAAATGACTTTTATTTAGTGTTTAAGAACATCAAATAGTTTAAATTAGTCATCAAAGTTTTGTAACTCATTAAAGATATTAAAAAGTACCTATCAACTAAATAGTGTCAGCCCTATCGAAAAACTCTTATCCCCATACGTAACCTGATTCAGCCCAAAGTCAAAGTGAATCAGGTTGTTGTAACCTTCTTTTCCATATTCCATTATTTGAAATATACTTCAAACACATTGTCATTTTTGCTACCTATCATTATTATATTTTATGCTATGTCTTGAAAACATTGTTTTATTATATTGGCGACGAGTTAAAAGAAATTAAGATGAACGATGAACAATTCGCATTATTTTTACATGCACAACAAAACCAGCAAGAGNTCCACTCCTGTGCCATTTGCTCCGCGTCGAAGTAATCGACCTAAACAGGCACCCCGCCGTCTGATCAACGAGATGTAGATGGGGAGGAATGTTGTAACCTTCTTTTCCATATTCCATTATTTGAAATATACTTCAAACACATTGTCATTTTTGCTACCTATCATTATTATATTTTATGCTATGTCTTGAAAACATTGTTTTATTATACAGGTCAAGCTAGCTTTTCCAGTTTTTGTGCATATTTTGTGATGAACTATGTACCACCATGGAACCATTTGAATCTAAATTTTATTGGTATTACCCTAAGAAAAACCATTGAAAATTTGTATTGGATTTGGAAAGGGTCCCGATTCCACTCAATCTACGGTACCCATATATTGGAATTTGAACACCGGTGCAGTTGCATCGTTCGATACAAATACTGACAAATACAGATACACAAGATATCTTAAAGTTGCAAATGGCAACAGGCAATGTTTCCTTTGCCATTTCAATAAACGAATAAAAAATAAACTTATGGTCAATACTCATTAATTATATTTGTTATTGATATTTGATGGATGTCAAATCTACGTACAAACATAATATTGCAATTTAAATAAAAAAACAAAAAAAAATCCCTTTAAGATTCTGGGTTTGCTATGTAATATATGGTGAACTTAACTACGACAGAGGATTCATTGATATTATTCCTATGTCTTTAACAAACATAATCCAAAAGCAAGATATTGTTTTTTTGTGAATCTTTCAACGCAGTCTTCAACAGTATCAAGGAAAAACACATGGTGAGTAGTTTATTAATTTGTTTTGGTCAATCAAACCGGTGCAAATATAATGCGAGCATTCGAAAAGTATGACAAACATTGGCAGCTCTAATTTCGGTTAAATACGAGAAAAACTTTGCAGAAAAACAACCAATTAAATCTAAACAAAAATTCGAGCTCATGTCACAAAGTCAATGACAGCATTGATATTATGGTCTCAATGAACCTGGTGGCTACCGGGCGGCTTGTTAACTGGCTACTTACAACAAAAACAAATTATAATTGTTATTCTAAATGCAAGTCTACAAATGGTCAGGGTTTAAGGCCATAGCACCGGTAGCTGCTTACTACTAGATCAAAAGTGTACGATCCGCAATATACATATTGTTTTATTTACAAAACTGTTCCAAAACTTGACGATACATGTTTCAAAACTAATACCTTAGAACAGGACCTACAAAAAGACTTTAGAATTTTTGACCTTAGAACCTTAGAACGATTTAAAGGGTGGGACAGCTGCTATACTGTAAAAACGGAGACCTTAAAATTTATATCTCAAGGTTGGTGGAGTATTTACGTTGTATATGTCTAAGGGCTCCAGTAATCATCAGGTGGGCTGTGAGCTCGTCCACCATCTAAGCAAAAAAAAAAATAGATATCGTACTTATTTGTTATATTTAATATTTCAGAGAATCGAAAATGACTGAAGAAGCAGATGAAAGTGTAAATAAGGAGAGTCATTTCATGAGCGTTTGGGTCAAATGTGAACCAGTCAATGGAGAGAACAGTGAATTGTCTGATGAAGAAATCGCTCCCGTAGAAAAGTAAATGATCTAAAATGTTTTATTATACAAACTGAATATCTCTAACAATGGGAAGGTTGTGTATTGGTTTATACTTTGAGGGAAAAACAAGTTGTGAATATAATTGCACGACATTAACAATACACTTTGTTGAGAGCTGTCGGTACTTGTGAACTACCAAACTATCGTTATCTTAACTGAATGATTTAATTGGGCTGCTGCAGTATTTGGATTTTCAATATTTGTATCTAATGCCTACTTTTAATTACTGTCATTGGTGATCTTAGGTAAACCCAGTGGCACTGTGAAGTTGCTGCATACCTCTGAGTCCTCTACACAAACCATGTTTGAAGAATAATATCTCGTGATGGGAAGTGTAATGGTAAAGTGGCAATGGATGGATCATCTTGAACAGATTCTTAGAGCACTACCTATGGAACACATGATACAAAACAAAGAGAGAATTGAAGTTCCTCCCTAAACCAAGAGGTTCCAAATGATCCATGAGACCTTATGTTATAAGAGCTCATAGACATCGCTGTGAAGAGTGCCACCCATACTTAACACGCATATATATTCTGTCTAAATTATGCAGCAATGACCCAGCTTCCTCAAGTCATTATTATTTCTCTATCATCATCAGTTGGAGTACCTACAAATTATTTTGTAATATAAACCTCATATATTTACTTATTATTTCCTCAAATAAAAGTTAGGCAGTTACAATTAAGTATATCCAAGAAAAAATTGTTTTCTTGAAAAGTTATGAATGAAAACATTTTACATTGTCTATTTTGTATATTCCAGTTTACTGAACCTCCAATTAGTCGAAAGCGATAAGGACTGGACGAATTCTAAAAGAAGAAAAAATCGTTATAAACCAACCAAACTATTGAAATGCGATCATTGCGATTTTACGACCGTCTACAAAAACTCATTAGCCATGCACACTGTCAGACATACAAACATAAAACCGTATACGTGTAAACAATGTGATTACGCCACCAAATACACGTCTTGCTTGAGAAGGCACATGATAGTCGAGCATAAATGCACGGAGACTGGAGAGAAAATAATTACCCCCCTCAAATGTGCTTTGTGCGATTACACAACACTTTTCAAGGACAATCTGAATGCTCACAAGCGAAAACACAAGTCGGAAAAGCGTTATCAATGTGAGAATTGTACATATTCAACTTCGTACATCAACAATTATAAGAAACACAAAAAGAAGCATTCGAAAGAAATTGTCGAGTTCAAATGTGACAAATGTTCGTTTGTAACAAAACATTCGGGTCACATACACAGGCATCTGTCTCAGATACATAACGAGATAACGGAGAAAGCGAAGAAATGTGAATTCTGTGATTTCACAACAATAGTCGGATGGAGATTGAACATACACAAGCAAAGGAGTAGACAGAATGAAGTCATAAAGTGCGTTTACTGTGAATACCAAACTTTTTATAAATGCGAAAGCAAGAAACACAGTAATACACATTTCAAGGAAATCTATACGAAAAACTCACATAGAAATAAACATAATAATATTCAAGAACAAAATGTAGACGAAACTTTGAGTTTGAATCTCGGTGAGCAAAATCCTCCTTCAATCATGAATCAAACGAACCACAGCTCATACAATATCAACTCCTATACGAATACCAGTAATTACAGTCAAAACTATTCGAACGCTGAAGATTTTTTACCGAAAGAACTGTTAAATTACACGGAGATATCAAATGAATTACCGTTGACTTACAGCACCCCATATTCAGATAAAATCGACAAGAAAAACATTCAAGTATTGGACTCTAATGACAGAGAAAGACCATTTGGTTGCTCTCATTGCAATTACATATCGAAATTCAAGGCAACGGTGCAGAGGCACTATCAAAGACACCACACTGACGACAAGCGCCCGTACCACTGCTCCAACTGCGACTTCAAAACGAAGACCAAAGATCAGATAGCGCTGCACAACAAACGCAGCGCCTCCTCCCTGGAAATGAGATGTCAGAATTGTGATTTCACAACGAATTTCAAATGCCAATTCGTTATGCATCAGCGCTCCCACTACACGTTCAAGTGTGAGCTGTGTAATTACACGTGTAAGCATAAGCATGAGATCGAGAAGCACGTGAGGACGATTCACATGGGCACAAAGCACCTGTGCAAGTATTGCGACTTCAAAACTCCTAAATTGGAAGCGCTGCTGTGTCACGAAGCATTGCACACCGGCAACAAACCGTTTAAATGCAAGTTGTGTGACTACCAGACTGTGAGGCTCTCCCTTTTGGACATACACGTCAGGAGGTACCACAGTGATTTGAAGGTAGTCAAACTTATTAGCGAGAGTAAAGTGCAATCCCTAAAGGTATCCGTTCCACCTGATGAATGTTCGTGAACTATATCTATTTTTATGATTGAAAGATTACTGGGAGCCCGGAGGCCTTTCCAGTCTCACTAGGACAAGTGAGCAAGCAAAGGCTCAGCCACGATGAGATCCATGTTTGTTAGATGCCGATTTGCCCACTACAAAGTAGAGATCTAAGACGGAGTATATGTGTTAGTTCAGTGTACATTGCCCACTATACTATTTGTTTATTTTGTCCATGAATGGTAGGGTTTGTTAGTGAGGTCTATTAGATTGATAAGCAATGAGCGTGCGACGTAAGGAGAGGAGGGGTTCTTTGAGTAGTGTACCTGCTACCTACCTGTTCTTGTCCAAAACACTTTAAGTTGCCGGTCAGTTATAGCTCACTCATGTGTAGTTGAGTAACATGTGGCTGTCTGTCTCGGTCTATTTAGGTAGCCTTTGTTAAGAATTTATTTATTGCATGATTTTTTTAAAGCAGTATTGGTGATTTGACGATCCTAACCATTTGTTTGAGGTAGGGTGTTTTTTAATTGGCTTCGTGGCATAGTTTGGTTTGAATAGTGTTAAAAAAAGTATCGCCTTTAAAACTCTTTAACTGTCATGTAGGTGACCGGTGCCCTACGCGGCGCACTGAAGTAATTGTACTTTTATGTTACTAATCCAGGCAGATTGCCTAGATTTGCGAAGGCAACCTCCTCCTTTTTGAAGTCGGTTAAAAAGAAGTTTTTAACCGACTTCAAAAAGGAGGAAGTACTCAATTCGACTATGTTTTTTTATGTTTGTTACCTCATAACTTTTGACTATGTGAATCGATTTTGATGATACTTTTTTTATTAGAAAGCTGAAGCTTCCCGTGTGGTCCCATTACAATTTAGTCCAGTTCTAATAATGGTATCCATGAGAAAACCATATAAGTCTTAAATTAGCATTAAGTACGTGCGCGACAAATAGATGAATAACTCAATATGTCCATATCACGCCAACCGATTTCGATGATTATTGTTTTTAGCGTATATTAATTTGTTGTGGAATATATTTTTTTTCTATTTGAAGTCGGTTTTTGTTAAAGCATAAAATATCTATTTACAATTATGTTTGTTAATGTATGTTTTAGACGTTTAGGTATCTTAGAAATAGATTTAATCTCAGTATCGTTCGGAATCGTCTTTCCCAGTCTAATAGACATTCCGTTGCCTTAGTAACAGAAATCGACATAATTACTTCATTGTGCCGCGTAGGGCATCGGTGACCTACATGCGGGCCTACTAAGAGTGTCTAATAAAAGTGATAATGATTATGACGCAATTATATATTTTTAATAAATGTTATTTTATTTTTCGGCGCAGTCACCTATCAGGTTCAAACACTTTGTGTATCTTTTTTCTGAAGCTAAAATTTCCTTTTTAAAGAATCTTCTTCCTGATCCCCTAAAAATTACCTCTGCGACTAATGCGTCAATATCTTCAAATTTTAAGGCCCCTGAGATGTTTCTTTGGTTGCGGGAATAGGTAGAAATTACTAGAAGCTAGGATCGGTGAATATGGAGGATGTTCCATCAATTCCAAGCCAACTTCTTGAATGGCAGCCATCGCCGATGCGCTATCTTGATGAAACAAAACCTTAGTGAGCTTTCCACGCCGTTGCTTGCGTATTTCCTCACGCAACTTTGATATTTGTTCTGCGCACTAAGTCTTTGCAATAGTGATGCTGATTAAGGCATTCGATAATTATCACCCCTTGGCTGTTCCGAAAAAACAGCTATCTGACCAGCGGATGGAATCGTCTTATCCAACTTAAGATCGAGTCATGGACAGGCTTAGGGACCCTGGTAACCATACTCCGTCGAAAAGTCTGACGTGCAGCCTAACCCATACATCAGTCCGCTGAGTTTCTCGCCGGATCTTCTCAGCGAGTCGCGATTCCGATCCGGTAGTAGATTCATTCTCGAAGCAGCTGCACTTGAGTTGTTAGGTCTCCTTTGGAGGCGCTCGGGCAGCTGATAGCAAATCCCACCCCTTCTGGTTGAGTCCTTGCTCGTCCACCGGTCCTGGCGAAACTGGTAAGGCCACCGGGCCACCAGTAATTCTTCAACCATAAAAAAATAATGTTGAAGCCATGTTTCGTCCATAGTTATGAATAGAGCCAAAAATCGGTACCAGAACCTAAATCCAAAATAGCTTTGCGAAATCCTCAATCTCGTTTTTTGTGCGCGTCAGAAAGCTTTCAGGGCGACTGGTGAGCTGACACTTTTTCTCACACCTTCGTGTATAACTTCTTATAGAAATCTTCATTTCTTCTGCCATAAAACGAACAGTAAGACTACGCCAAGCCAATGTTTTAACTTTTTCAATCATTTGCTCACTCACTACCGATGTATGACGTCTCTTGCGGGGGTCGTCGTTAATGTTAGTTCATCTTCGCCTTGAACTCAGCACACTAACGCGTAACCCTAGAAAGTGGATGAGCACGCTCTTACGTTGCTCTTAAGTCTCGATTTACCAGCTCCGTAGTAAAAAAAATTAAGCGCATTTTATTTTATTGCTTAAGTTGGTGGACGAGCTCACGATCCACCGGGTGTTGAGTGGTTACCGGAGCCCATAGACATCGTAAGACATCGACAGACAACGTAAGTGCCGCCACCTACCTTGTGATTTGAGTTCTAAGGTCTCAGTTTTTACACTACAACGGCTGCCCCGCCCTTCAAACCAAAACGCATTACTGCTTCACTGCCGAAATAGGCTGGGCGGTGGTACCTGCCGTGCGGACTCACAGTAGTAGACACCAGTAATAAAATGTTTTATTACAGCGCGAACTTCAACTGTATAAATTTTTAAGACAGACAAAAAAAAAGATTATTTCATTTACTATTATTGCACCTATCTAAAGTCTGGACTATGCCCGCCAGTTTTTATTTATTTTTCTTATCAAGGAGAATGTATCGCATTATCACTATATATTGAAAACCTCACGTAGCCCTCTCATAAAATCAGATCTAATAAATTATCGAAACGTATTTAATCGAAATATCGATCTGTCAAAGTAACTTAAATTAGAAGTGGTATTTTTTTTTTTAGGTATAGTTAAAATAAGTTAAAATAGTTATAGTTAATAAATTAGTAATAGTTGAATACTAAGTGATAATTTATAGGGCAGTTACGAGTATTTTGAAGCATAGAATAGTAATGGGTTGATTTAAATGATTTTGTAAATACATATCTACATCCAGATTATATTATCATTAAAGTTATATTTCAAAATAATTGGTTTTTATTTTGCGAAAATTCATCGATATTTACCTTGCTTTTTTTCTACCGCTCGAGGTTTGATATGGCAGGATTATGTGGAAGCTGTTTTATATACGGGTTTTCAATGGTTGCGGCTTCTGTGTGGTTTTACGTAATATCCAGAATATTACTGTTCTCTCTTTGGTACTTGCGTGTTGTAGACAAAATGAGAATGTTATTGAATTTAAAATTACAATTTTTTTTTATACATATAGTACCTGTACATTTTAACTTTAGCCCATTGAGTTTCTCGCCGGATCTTCTCAGCGAGTCGCGATCCGGTAGTAGATTCATTCGCGAAGCAGCTGCTCTTGAGTTGTTTAGGTCTCCTTCGGAGGCGTTCGGGCAGCTGTTAGCTAATCCCATCCCTCCTGGCTGAGCCTTTGCTCGCCCACCTGCCCTGGTGAAATTGGAAAGGCCTCCGGGCCACCAGTAAATGCGCTTTCCATTGCGCGGTCGTTCTAACAACTTACGTATTTGACGTGACGACATAACCACGCCCGTACTGGTACCAAATTCACAGACGCCAAGGAAACTGACCAAATAAAACCACAATACAAGGACAAAATTACCTTTTATTAAATGTCATTGTGCATTCGGTAAACATATAAAAAAAAATACATTGCAAATGAACGAACGAGACGAGCGTGCGACATTTTAACGTAAATAACTTTAAACTGCCATATACATACATGCGGACTTAAATATTAATGTATCTAACAAAATAATATAGACACCTGTAAGGAATTACGTTTTCGACACCACAGCCAACACTGTTGTCATTTAAAAAAAAAGATTCAAACATGTCTTCAACTTCCCGCCTCTCGCTTTGACACTTGACAGTAACTGACAGAATAGAACTCGTTTCATTAAATGCTATCAAAATTTATAACGCTGCTTTTATTTGAATATTTTTTCATTATTGCTTAATTTTTAACAACATTCATCTCGAAAAGCTTATTTTTACGCTATAATGAAACTGTGATGACAGCGTCGTACCTAATAATAGAAGGCCCTTACGTTATATTGGATCACGGCGGTGACATCCTAAGCCGATATGTGCATATTTTGTTACTTAACAAACATCACCATAAAATTCTAAGTTACATTCGGTTAATTTCTAACAAAGTAAATAACGCCTCCAAATCGACGTTTAACAATATAGCTTGAGACAGTCGGATCACGGTTGATTATGAGACGTTCTAAAATGGGCATTTCGATCGTTTTGGCTCTGATGTCGCGTTAGATAAATCGCATGCGTTGCTTAAAAACAAAAGCGCAATCACGCTAGATTCAAATAAACATGATTTCCCGTACAGGCGTCCGTGTGTATGCCCCAACGACTGAGTGAGAACACAATTGAATTGTTTATTTAATCCTTTGACTATTGTGTAGGTCACCGGTGCCCTACGCGGCGCACTGAAGTAATTATGTCGATTTCTGTTACTAAGACACCGGAATGTCTACTAGATTCTGGAAACGATACTGAAAACGAATCTATTTATAAGTAGAATTAAAGTATTGTATTTATTTAATTGCAATTTTTATATTAGTAGTTGATAATTTTAATTTTAATAATTTTAATACAATTTCATTTGATTCGATTAGATTTTTATTCTTAGTAATTCTGATAAATTGTAATTTTAATTGTACGGTATTTTGATTTAATAATTATGTAATTGTATGTGAAAATTTATGGGCTTAAGTTGCCTGAAGTAAACGCATTTCATTCATTTTCATTTCATTATAGTTAGGCAATCCAGGCGCTTTGTATAATTCCATTTATACCATTTCCATTTATTGATAACTTTTTTTTGTTGCCCTTGTAGGCAGACGCGCATACGTCCCACTTGATGGTGAGTGGATACCGTTGCCCATGGACGTCAGCAATGCCAGGGGCAGAGCAAAGCCGCTGCCTACCGCTTAATACTCTCCACAAGTCTCATTTGAAGAAGGACATGTCATAGCGCTCGGGAAATGCCGTGGAGGGGAGCTCATTCCAAAGCCGGATGGTACGTGGCAAAAAAGATCTCTGGAAACGCACTGTGGATGAACTCTGCTTTGGTGGCGGGCGGTGCGATGTAATAACGAGATGATTGTATCATCTCGAACAAATCAACGACATTTCTTGAATTTTTCATTACTGATGTATAACAATAGACTTTACTTAAACAGTCAACTGTGTGTCAATCATATTTCTGTTCTCACTCAATCGTTATGTACGTGGGATATTATATATACACAGATATATAGATATTTAACATCATCATTATATACATTATTCATAGTATGACAAAAATATGTTTCTAAATATTGTATTTATTTTATTTTTATTCCCTAGGAGACGGAAGTCGCATTAGACTAGAACGTTTGACAGAAAAAACCGCGCTAATTTATATTTGAGGCAGTCAGCGCAAAATTGGCCTAAGCTTATCATAGTTAGTATGGAGTTAATGAGGTTCGAATTTACTTTTACACCGCTTCGTAGGCAAAGACAATACGCGCGAAAATAATGTTCACAACGCCATCTGTTATCTATCACTGAAACTAGGGATAGAAGGGTTTTGGGTCAAATTTTTTATTGTTTCAAATATATTGCAATTTAGAAGCCCCAATTTTGAAAAATTGTAGGTTAGGCCACTTTTACGATGATGGCCTCATTTTTTGTATGAATTGTAAAGGCAATACAGAAATTCAATCAGATTAACACTAAACATACCATAGCGGGCCAAGTGACGCAATTTGAACTTATGCATTGAAAATTCACATAACAACTTATGGCTTTTTCACGTTTGACTCCATGATTTTTCTTACCAATGAATCTATAGTCAATATATATTTATTTTTATTTGTTTATTTTGAGTAATACTTGTCGTGTTACCGTGATCTACCCACTATGGTAGAAATAAGTACCAGTAAGTGCTGGTATGATTAGTGTTAATGAAATGCATACAGGCGCGGTATTATCCAATCGTAATGTTCCACATTAACTCTAAAATTAAAACCGGTGTTGCAATGTTCGGTGAGCAACGAGCTGCGGACGCTGGCAGCACCAAGCTCGGTGTTGCCAGCCAAAATAAATATAAACAAAACGTAGCAACACCTTCTCGAAGACCTTATTACCTATTCATTTATATATTTCGTTTATAATTATCATAACGAATTTGTTGTTTTAAAACTAAACTAAACAGCGAGACTAGAACGTAATGGCGTCTAAACATCATTTCACATGATAATATATATATATAATATATTTTACTGAACTTTTTAAGGAAATTTATCACCATTTTCACAGACGTAAACTTGATGAAAGCTACCGCATCATATAGAAAATATATTTATAATATAACGTTAAAATTTACGTTGTTCATTTTATATTATAATATTTTTATTTATTTTTGTTTGTAAACGCTAAATTATTTAATTAGATACAAAACACGTAACGTTGTTCAAAGGATTTGACTTAAATTGTACTTTCATTTTGAACGACCAATTGTTTCTATCGGGATCACGAATCGTGCCATAGCCGGAAGTCGTTTTTGGCGAACTTAAGGAAAACATTCAAAGCTCAATCGAGCTTAAAACGCGTTTCGAGACTTACTCAATATTGAACACATATCGAGGGGCGAAAGGATATTTGGTTTAAGTGAAAATTTTGCAACATTACAGGAGAGCAATTAAAAATTTAGATTTATATCATTAAAAAAAAATTCTTCAGCTATTTGAATGGATTAAACTTAATGGAAGTTCTGAACCAAGCTTAGATGGGTGGACGAGCTCACAACCCACCTGGTGTTAAGTGGTTACTGGAGCCCATAGACATCTACAATGTAAATGCGCCACCCAACTTGAGATATAAGTTCTAAGATATCAACTATAGTTACAACGGCTGCCCCACCCTTCAAACCGAAACGCATTACTGCTTCACGGCAGAATTAGGCAGGGTGGTGGTGCCTACCCGCGCGGACCCACAAGAGGTCCTACCACCAGTAAAACGCATATTTAATTACAAAGATAAATGTTGCGTGTTAAGCGAAATGTCGTTCAAGCCAAACAGCTTTTCACCCCTCGATAAGTATGTTTAAGTTTTTTAATGCTACCCCCCATAATGTGTCTTATATATATCGGAGAGCTGTGAACTCAAATGCTTGTTGAAAATCATAGATTCATTCTCCTCTATACACCGAATGTTTTTTGAATCGGCCACAAATTCCGTGGACCGTGTATTTTTGTATTTTTCCCTTAGAACTTTAGACCTTAGAACTCATAACTCAAGGTGGATTGTGCATTTACGTTGTACATGTCTATGGGCTCCAGTAACCACTTAAAACAAGGTGGGCTGTGAGCTCGTCCACCCATATAAGCAATAAAAATATATATAATAATAATAATAGAACGTTTGTATGTCCGTTTGTAAGCAGCTCGTCCGATTGCGACGTAACCTGGTACAGTTGTTGTCCGGGGAAGTCCCGTTATAATACCGTCGATGTATGATAGGGGGCGCGCAAGTTGTCCTAACAAATTTCACTGCGTTTCATTAGTACTTTAAGGTGCACACTATACTCTATGCAAGTATTTGGATTCAGAGGATTTCATTAAAAAATATTATCGAAACAAAAAAAAACTACCCTCAAATCCAGATAAAAGCAATTTCGGGAGACAGCGGATCAAACTTTATGCTTCTGACTTCATGAGCTTTTTTTAAAGCTTTTTAATATGTTTTCGAATGGCGAAGACTAGAATACTGTACAGTCGATGCTAAGCGAAGAACAAGATCGGATTCGCTCCAGCGACGCGTCGACGGACCGCCGATGCGAAGCCAGTCCGCACGTAAAGTCATGCAAGCTCTCCAATCGCACTTTAGTAACGAGCAGACCGCTCTGCCGACGCTAAGTCGAGAAGCGTAAAAACATATCTACAAACACATTACGCGTATTTCTTCAAAAAAATCACCATTTACAGTGCTCCAACCATAAAATTAAACATTTACAATCGAGATTCGCGTACACGCCCGGCGATATTAAGCGGTCCCCGTGTCGGACCGCCGAGGGGACAGTTGCTGTCACACGTTTATACAAGTCCGAGGTCCGGGGGTCCTTCTTCGCTGTGACGTCATCAAGAGATCCTGTCGAGATAGATCGATAATAGTGTACCAGTGGTTGTCCAACAGTCGAAACTCGACCATAATTATTAATTTAAATTTTTACTTTAAACATTATTATTGTTCTATTGTCAAATACTTTACTCGTCAAAGATTTTTAATCACAAATTTCGTCAAGGCTATAGACAATTAATAATAAAGACAAACAATAATAATCTATAATAATTTCACAACAGACTTTAAACAATAACAAAAGTTTGACAATAAACAAAGATGTGTTGTGTCAAATACATGGTTAGTATGTGTAATGTTTTTTTTATTGCTTAAAAGTATTTTTAATGCATTATTTAATAAAAAATTAGCGTTCTGCACTTCTTCTCTATATTCTGTATAAGCATGGGAAATTTTCATACTCCTCCGTCCGCGCAATTTTCGTAAAAAGGGATACAAAGTTTTTGCTTCACCTATTAATATATAGATTCCGGGTATATTATTGCAGGGGAAGATGGGTCTGTGTACGTACCTAGGGGGCGATGGATAGCGGGCGGAAGCGGCGGGCGCGCGCGGCGTTGTGCGGCGCGCCGGCGGACGCGGGGGGCGCGGCGGCGGGCGCAGGGGGAGCGGGGGGCGGGGAGCCCGATGACGAGGAGCTGTGCGCGCCGGCCCTGCGAACACCCCCTTCATACACTACGGGGACTTCGGTCTCAAGACGCCCCCACCCATAGTGCTCATCATCTGTGCGGCAACAGAAACTGGCTCCGAGACATGCGGACCAGCAATGCCGTGAGCCTTACTAAAGCCGCTCTGAGCTCCGATTAGGAATCGTTGTCTGCTGTGTTAACGCGAATACACGCATATATAATCTGATCACTTTCACAGGATCCGTTATAGCTTAGACAACTGAGCTAGGTCACGGCCAATCTGTCGTTAAGTGGCTGGCGAACTTGAGGTCAGCGTCTCAATGGTATAAAGTGATTGTGTGAATTTTAAAATCATCACTTTTCAAGAGTACACTGCCCATACCCACTTATAGCTGAGGAAACTTAGATACACAGACTCAGTTTTAGGGATGGTCGATATTAGAAAAACATCGATGTTTATATCGATTTAAAAGTATAGATGTACGATAAACATCGATGTTTTTGGTAGGAAATAAAACTGTATAATTTTATTAACTATGCGTGTTCGTTGATTAAAACTACGTTTTCTGGGGGAATTCTCGAGGCTGCCAGAAAATCACGATTTAATTTTTATTTTTTTACTGCTTAGATGGGAGGACGAGCTCGCAGCCCAACTGGTGTTAAGCGGTTACTGGTGCCCAGAAATCCCGAGCCCGTAGAAAAAAAAAATTCAACATCGATGAATATCGATCATCCCTACTCGGTTCGCGTGGTGCTGGTCCCGCGCGGAGCTCACCTGGGGTGCTGCTGCGGCTGCCGGTGCCGGGGTCTCGCGAACCGCAGGTTCAGCTCCCGGGCGGGGTCCGCGGCGTACTTCTCGTTCGCGTTCTGCCTTCGTCTCCTCAATGCTGCAATGGATATTCAAAATTTAGTCTACTGTTTTAAGTGGGTCTATAAGCTTGGAGCTAATGAAAGAAGCGCAGCAGGAATAAGACAATCACAGCTTCATCTTGTTTCGCTTCGAATCAATATTAACACAACAGACTATGTATGTATTTAAAGAAAAATCTTTATTAAGTAAAATTCTTTAGTTTTTAAAAAGTATTTTTCTTCAGTGTCATGGAGTGAAGTCTGTTCTTCATTAAAAAGAAAGTTCTGTTTGTTTAAAATATTAATTTTATTTAATTAAGGGCTTTAAATATTGTTTTCATATTATATAACAGAAAACGCAATTAAATATTTTATTGTTTATTCATTATGAAATACTCCATACCATTATAATATGTATTAATGGAAGACTTTATAAAACTCGACATTGGCAACAATGACGTCGCATAAATCTGATTGCCATACTAAAAAAATGAAAAGGAAGAGGTCCTCATATTTTAAAGGTGTTTTAGTCGCATCATTCAAGAATAAAATTATGGAATTATATTGAGGAGTGAATGCTATTTGGTTTGAGCGTCATTTTTGCAACTTTACAGGAGAGCCAAGTTGAGCATTTGGAAACAAATATCTTAACAAAAAACTTCTTCAACTATTCGATTGGAGTGAACTTGATTGAAGTTCAATTAAAAACATTTAACTGTTGATGCTGATATCAAATAAAAGGGACCTTTAATTGAGGACCGTCAGCGCAAAACTGGCCTAACCCACAATTTTTCATATTGCAATTTATTTACTGGTAGGACCTCTTGTGAGTTCGCACGGGTAGGTACCACCGCCCTGCCTATTTTTGCCGTGAAGCAGTAATATGTTTCGGTTTGAAGGGTGGGGCAGTAGTTGTAACTATACTTGAGACCTAAGAACTCATATCTCAAGGTGGGTGGCACATTTACGTTGTAGATGTCTATGGGCTCCGGTAACCACTTAACAACAGGTGGGCTGTGAGGTAGTCCACCCATATAAGCTAATAAAAAAGAAAATTATAAATTTTAATGAAAAACTGGCCTATCCCCAGTTTTACCCATAGACAACAGATTGTAAACGTTATTTGTACGCGTATTAATTACTTATTGCTGTTATTGTAAAAGTAAATTTAAGCCTCATTATCTCCATACTAGCTATGATATTATGCTTAGGCCACTTTTGCGCTGACCGCCTGTCACAAAGATAAATGTAGCTTAAACCAAACAGCCTTTCAACCCTCGGTATGAAGATCGTAGCTGGATTGGGTTATTGGGCAGGTGTGGGTGCGGTCCGCGGGCCTCACCAGGCGTGAGGTCGGCGCAGAGCGGTCCGTCGCCGCTCCAGGAGGCGCACTTGGCGAGGCGGTGCTCCGCGCTGGCCACGGGGATGCGCGACGTGCTGGCGCTGCCCGATGAGCGCTGGAAGTCAAGGTGGAACTCTTCAAGCTTCAGGGGAGAGGAGTCGTTTTTTTTTCTCCTACCTATGCTGATTTTTCTAGCCTTGAGAGGCTATTTCAGCTTCGCCCTAACATGTAGGTGAGCTCACGGGGCTCAAACCTGACAGCGTTGCTAACGCGAACCCTAGCAAGAGCCGTGCTTCGCAGAATCTACCACCGGATCGGAAACGCGACCCACTGAGAAGATCCGGCGAGAAACTCAGTGGGCTGTGTCTATGAGTTAATTTTCTCGTAGAGCTCTTCGTCGCAAGCGACGGGTTCGACGAGAACGATGACCGGTAAACAAAAGAAGATGCGTCGAGAAACTCAGTGGGCTGGAGTCGTGTGCCGATTCCTTTCTTTAGGAGCTTCAGGGAAACGATACGAATTCGCCGGACGTGGCTTTTTAAATGTCTCCAAAAACTCATTTTTTTCAATCTCTGTATGTTCCCATCATTCGATTTGGATAAATTTCGTTGCGTTTCATTTTGTAATCCTTCTAATGAATAATAAACCTGGCTGTATGTTCTACGTTCCCTTTGCTTTTAACTTTAGTGAAACTTTAATTATTCACATATCACACTATAGTTTTTATTGTGTAAAGCTCTGTTACGTTCAATGATACATATGAATATATAATCTGAATCTCGGAATTCATTAATAAAAATCAGATTCTGTGCTTCTTAACCGACTTCACAAAAAAGGCGTTTTTATCTTAGAACTATTTTACAGTAGCAGACGACATGTCCGGTAGTAATAAATATATAATTAATTGACTTCCATTACCTACTTTGATGATGTACTCATTTTATATTGACTTTTTGGCGGGAACGCGAGGAGTGCAGTTGTGTGATTTCTTTTATTTTGTCCATTTAGTATTTCTTCAGGTTTAAATGTGTAATAATGGTGGTTTATGAACTATTTAATAAAGTGTGCAAATGTGGGAAAATTAAACAAAGCCGCTGGGCGTAGCTCCTCGGGATCCTCCAAAAAGTCACTGAACAAGTTTCAGTAAACGACCAATATTTTACTGAGATTATATTTAATTCCATATCGTCTTATTTTTTCATTATTTTTAATATAAAAAAGTTTTCATTATAACTAAAATATATAAATAGTAATAAATAAATATTTACTAACAATCACGCCACGTTCACTGGTCCCGTGCTAAGTTCGTAAAGAACTTGTGTTACAGATAACGGAAATAAATGTAAGAATTTTATTATACACATATATATTATTTAATATACATCCATAACCCTGGAAAAGACATTTTTATAATATCTAACCTTGGCGGGATTCGAACCCGCGACCCCCTTGTGTAGCGGGCATGTCACTTACCACTACACCGGGCGGCCGCAAAATAAGACTTGACCTAAGGGTCTTAGTTACCAGGTCATAAAAAATATTTAAAAGAAATATCATTTTATTTTGAAGTATTTTTTCCTTTGTTTAATCTCGTATAACGTTTGCAGTTTAACGGACTTACATCTCTCAGGCTCTGGGAGGCGTCGCCGGCGCCGCTGGTCGCCTCCCTGATGTCCCTCTTGATAAATGCTATGCAGCTCCTGGGGACAGATTAGCGTTCGTATCGGCTCTATGTCTGCCCCCCTCCCCTCGGGCAAGTGTCGGAGTCTCCGCCCCCCGACCGCGACACGTGCCCGAGGAGTGATGCTCATACAATCGCTTTATTAATTCAACCTGATATCCAGACTAAGATCAAGAGGATATAAAAAATATTATTTTAATTTGTAGTACATACTTATATATTTATTTTGTATTTTTGAGTTTTATTGTTAATTAGTTGCTTGTATTGATTTTATTAGGACTGTTTGTTGTACTTAGATTTCACGGTTGGCCAAAAGAGATTGCTATAATGGAGAAGGTTGGCGTTTTTTTTTTAATTTTTTTTTTATTGCTGAAATGGTGTTAAGTGGTTATTGAAGTCCAACAACGTAAATGCGCCATCCATCTTGAGATATAAGTTCTAAGGTCTCAGTATAGTTATAACGGCTGCCCTATCCTTCAAACCGAAACGCATTACTGCTTCACGGTAGAAATAGGCAGGGCGGTGGTACACATAGGTACACATAGGTTCGCCACAATAACGAGACATGAGTCAGTGGGGGGCCCACCCACATTGCGTCCCCCGGGGCGGGGTGTGGGGGCCCACCCACACTGCGTCCCCCGGGGCGGGGTCGCCATTTAAGTGGGGTTCGGCTCCAGTGAGCAGTGTGTCTGTCCGCTGCCACTCCGACCTTGCAGTCCTTTAGGTTATTTTACAGACATTGTCTCCACAGCTTCATGATATGGAAGTTACACAATGCACGCACCTGTCAGGCACTGAGTCCAGCTTGGTGCGCTCCACGGCAGGGCTGTGGCTCTTCTCGACGCTGCGTGTCGAGGACCTGGGGGCAGATCGAGGTGTTACATACAGGGTGTGTTGGAAAACATTCATTTTTTTTTAAGCCTAGCTGTTTCATTCACCCAAACTAGTAGGTGACCTCACGGAGCTCAAGCCTGATGACATTGCTAACACTAGTCCTAGCAAGAGCAGTGCTTCGCAGAATCTACTACCGGATCGGAAACGCATCCCAAATCAAATCAAATCAAACTTTATAAGCTAAAACACGGTTTACAATGTTGTTGATGGTTATTTAATAGAACAGCGTGTTTCTAACAGTTCGGAGTGCAAATATTATTCAAAATTATTTACATTAAATGCAGTCAGTCAGTAAACATATTAATTAATTAAAATATCAAACAACAAAATAAATTAATTGAGTAAGCATTCGTTATTTATGTCATAAAACGACAACAAAAAACAGAAAGAAGCGAATTTAAAATTAACATAATGATTTATCATTTAAAAAATCTTTAACTGTATAATAACATCTTAAGGTTAACCCACTAAGAAGATCCGGCGACAAATTCAGTGGGCTGTGTCTGTGGGTTAATTTACTCTGCGAGCCCTTTGTCTCAAGCGACGGGTTCGAGGAGGGCAGTGACCGGTGCTTGTGGTACATAAAAGCACCGTTAATGGATCGAGAGGATCCGTAATGACGTGTTTTGGGCGACGTCGACTGTTTACCATTCGGTACACAGGATCGGGTATGTAATTACCGGCGGCCACGACAAGAGGGTTCTCATGTCGTGCTGCCTTCTCAAAGTAACGATATGATGACGACTGTAGATCCTTACTGAGTCAAGCTCCAGGTCGTCATGGAGATTCACGTTACTCAGGAACCATAACATTCACATACACTATTTGGGACCTAGCATTTTTTCAGCATCGGATTCAGGTCTTAATTGTGTATCATGGCTATATAGGATTGCTTTGCGAACGTAATAGTGGTGGGATCTACCCGTGCGACTTGCGATCCCCCCGCTACCGGGTAAAGAGATCCACACATACCTTGAGCCCCAGCATCACCCTTCCGGTTTGAACTCTCTTCAACTATGTTACTGTGCTTATGACGTGTCCTTATTCCCTGGCATTCTTAATAGTCTAGTCAACAAGTTCAAAAACGTGTTAAATAGACATAAAACTCCTAAAAATATGTACGATAGCTCATTGGATGCGGAATGATGTCTACAAAAATGTTTTTTAAGGGCTTATTAGCACATAAAAAATTGCGATTGTTATAAATAAAATAAGATTAAAAAAAAAAGGAATTTGGTTTTTCCTTAAGAATTTCTAAAAAAATTATATTTCAGGAATTTTGAAAAAAGATCCTGAAAGAGGAGGAAATTTCCGATAAAAAAGTCCCAACTTCCGGAATTCTATCTCTATTATTTATAAAAAAAAAAATTTCTATATTTTGTTATGTATGGTTGTTTTTGTAATTTTTTGTAGTTTTCGAAAAAAAATATAACGATAAATATTAATTTGTTATAACAAATTGTTAAGTTAATAAACAATGAAATTATTTATAAAAAAATGTATTTGTTTGTCAATCCGCTGAAAAGAGTCAATGATGATTTTTAAGAAAAAAATAATTTTTTAACTAATTATTTAAACAATTGAAATATGAAAAAAACGATTTTAAACAATTAAAACATTTATTTAAGAAAAATTTTTTTTAAAAAAAATCATTATTTCACCTGTACAATAAGACGGTAAAATTTTTTTTTTAAAAAGTCCCAAAATTGTTTATTTGTTTATAAACAATTTCTTAACAAATAGCGTAATTTATTTTTTTAAATGTTAATTAATACCTATGGTAGATGCAAAAAACAGCAGTATTAAGATATTACGGAAAAAAACTATTTTTCATAAAATTTTGTAGAAATTAAATTTTTTGTTAATTAAAAAAAATTATAATTTTCAAAATAATAAAGATTAAAATTTTTTTTTGCATTTCTTTATTAAGTACTTAAATGATAAGAGCTCCACGAAGGGAAAAAATTATAGATGAATTATTGAAACTTTTATACCGTAATTTATAAAAACAGAGATTGGAAAAAAGTTAGTTAATTAACAATGGTGTAAATTTTTGAAAAATCGATATAAAAATTTTTTTTCACCGAGGTTTTTTTCGTTCAAGTGTTTAGATTACACCATAATTTATTCAAATTTTTAAATTGTTATTTAATACTATAAAAAAATTATTTTAGGTGATATACCGGCTTTTTAGACGGCGCGCCTATTCCGTAACGACCTCGCGGAGCGCTATTTTCAGCGTTAAAATTTTTTTATAAATAATAGAGATAGAATTCCGGAAGTTGGGACTTTTTTATCGGAAATTTCCTCCTCTTTCAGGATCTTTTTTCAAAATTCCTTAAATATAATTTTTTTAGAAATTCTTAAGGAAAAACCAAATTCTTTTTTTTTTAAATCTTATTTTGTTTATAACAATCGCAATTTTTTATGTGCTAATAAGCCCTTAAAAAACATTTTTGTAGACATCATTCCGCATCCAATGAGCTATCGTACATATTTTTAGGAGCTTTATGTCTATTTAACACGTTTTTGAACTTGTTGACTAGACTATAACAGGCGACAATAGCCGCTTACCAAATAGACAGTTTTTTTGTTTGCTAATAAAAACAACTATTTGTTTAAGTCTAACAACAGTGTCCAGAATCGAACCCATATTGATGCGATAGCCGAGTTCATTGACTCGTTCAATGAGCGTACCGTTTGTCTCTCTGGTGCTCTGTGGCGTCGTAGTAGACCGATGCCTCCTCGTGGTTCGGTCTCAGGCCTTCGCCCCCGCACACTACAGAGTGAATTTTAACTGGAATAAAAAAGAAAAAAAAGATACAATAGAACAACACGCTGTACAATTCCCTTAGCATAATAATACAGGGTGTGTATTATTTTAACGAAAAATAATAATGATAACAATTTGTTTCTCTAACCTTCTTATATATCTATAATGATATGGAATATTCCAGAATGAATGAACAGTAAAAGGCTTAGTTGCGTTTTCTGTAATATACTAAGAAAACAACATTTAAAGCCTTTAATTTCTTTTTCAATTAATATTTTTTAACAAATTAATTATGCAAAAAACACTCTACGGAATGGTGAGTGAATACGTATAAGAAAAATATTTTTTATAAAACTAAAGAGTTTTAAAGGTTTTAAATACTATCTAAAACAAATCTAATTGTCAGCGATTATGTATTATTGTACATAGATATTTATTTGAACACGAGATGAGAAGTTTACTAACAAATAAAAGATCCTCCACCGAACTAGTGTCTGAGCACAATAAACTGATGGTCCAATTTTTATTTTTTATTGCTTAAGTGGATGGACGAGCTCACAGCCCACCTAGTGATAAGTGCTTACTGGAGCGCATAGACATCTACAACGTAAACGCGCCACCCACAACGGCTGCCCCGCCCTTCCAACCGAAACGCATTACTGCTTCACGGCAGAAATAGGCGGGGTGGTGCTACCTACCCGTGCGGACTCACAAGAGTTCCTACCACCAGTAATAAAAGATACCATTTGTTCAGATCTTGTATAGTTTTCATTTATACTGTAGTTTGTACTATTATTTTCTGAGAATCTATTAAAAATAATTCGAATAAAATCTGTGCTGTACTGACCGGAGTGGTGGGGTGAGGCGCTGTCGTGCGGGGCCGGCCTGACTCGGATCTCGAGTCGGCTGGAGACCGTGGCGCCCTCTGCCTCGCAGGGCTTCGCCGGCCGGACCTCGGTCCCGGGCGGGGAGTTGCTCGAACTCGACAGACTCTGAAAGTTTCACTAATTTAGGTACTTTACATTACACTTACACTGGTTTACTGGTGGTAGGAGATCTCATGAGTCCGCGCGGGTAGGTACCGCCACCCTGTTTATGTCTGCCGTGACACAGTAATGCGTTTCGGTTTGAAGGGCGCGGCAGTCGTACTGTACAAACTGACACTTCAGAACTCATATCTCCAACTGGGTGGTGGCATTTACGTTGTAAATGTGTATGTGCTCCAGCAACCAAAGCATAAAAAAAAATTAAAAAAATCACTTTCAAAAATTTCTGAGCACTTTAATTTCGCGCTTGAATTTTGTATAGTGACGTCATTAATATTTGATTCGTGTGCAAAGATAGGGTTTACAAACAAACAAAACAGACGGAGAGTAAAAACAGACGGAGAAAGATCGTGTCAGAGAAGGGTTGTCTTAACGGGTACTTAACGGTAGGCAACGAGCGGGTTGGCTTTGCTCCTGGCATTGCTAAAGTCCATGCAGTGAAGTCCACGACGGTAACCACTGACCATCAGGCGGGCCGTATGCTCGTCTGCCTACAAGGGCAATAAAAAAAAACCTCGGCAGTGAGGATTACGTACGGGAAGCGTGCGTGCGCGCGGCGGTGGCGTGGCGGGCGCGCGCGTCATCCTGGCGGCGACGCCTCGCATCACGTCCACGCGGTACCCGACGCCGTCGAACGACGCCTGCTGCACCAGCGGCGCGCTCAGCGACCTGATGTGCTCACCTGACGACACACGAATAGCTCTTAACAAAAGAGGCATAAATAAGGTTGTGTTTTGATAATAATTTATTTAAATTTAATTTAGTCGATTATTACAGCCCGTTCACACATGGTCTCCGTTTTGTCGGATATATTTTTTTTTCATCGATGAGCATGGAGTTGTATGAGCGACTTCACATATGGTACAGAATTCAGTATACAAAAAAAAAGCGGTCCGGTAAATTATGACATTCCGTTTTATCGTCAAATACTGGATGAACGTATCCGTCATGTTTCCGTACAATTCTACCGGATAGAAACTGTGCGGGGGTGAGGGGGCCGGCGGGCGTTGCAGCTAGACAAACAAGTTTCATTCTGGTAGAATAGCGGCAGTATACTACGAACTTTCTTGTGAACATCGTTAGGTTGAACGTTATACGGTGCCTATGTGTGAACAAAGCATAATTTTTTGTCGTTTCCGTTAAAACGGGTACCGTATACACAGAGATGTGTGAACGTAGTCTTACCCTTGTAAGCGGACGAGCATACGACCCAAATGATGAGCGGTTACCGTCGCCCATGGACCTCAACAAATCTAGTGGTAGAGCCAAGCCACTGCCTACCGTTAAGTACTCTCCACAAACCTCGTTTGAAGAAGGACATGTCATAGCGCTCGGGAAACACTGTGGAGGGGAGCTCATTCCAAAGCCGGATAGTACGTGGCGTACGAAAACACTACTGAGCCCGCTTTACTGACATGTGACGTCATAAAATGGCGTCGTCTTATACGCGTTGAAGTTCCAGTACTGACCTATTGCGGGCAGCGACCAGCAGCGTGGCAGCGTGGGTTGCAGTCGTGGGTAGGCGTCGATTCCCGGGATGTACAGACAGCGGGGGGCGGGAGGGGGGCGCGGGGGAGCCGGCGGTCGCACCGTTGGGACAGGAGGAGACGGCGGAGGAGGCGGATCCGGCTGCACCTGGGGAAACAGGAAACATAACTTGTAAAAGGGTTCGACCTCATGTCTCAATGTGGACAGCGGCATTCTTATTGTCATGTTTACGGGTTATGTTAAATTTTAAGACAGTCTAAAACAATTCAGGGGGATTATTTGAGGAGTGAAAGGCTATTTAGGTTAGGCGACATTTATCTTTGTAATTAAAGGTCCCTTTTATTTGGTATTAGCATCAACAGTTCGATATTTTTTATTGAACTTCAATCAGGTTTACTCCATTCGAATAGCTGAAGAAGTTTTTTTATTATATTTCTTGTTAAGATATCTTTTCTAAATTTTAACCCTTAAATGTTTCTCCTGTAATGTTCCAAAAATATTGCTTATAAAAATATAGCCTTTCACATTTCGATTTGATTTATTGAATTTGTAGAAAAGCGTACACTGTTATAACCCCCATTACGATGAGCTTAAGGTGCAAAAGTCTATAACTGTTTAGACCATACACAGTACAGAAATTCGGGAGTCAGTCAATTGCAAAAAAAATAATGTAAATTCTTTTATGATTATTTAGGGCATGCGCAGTACAGTCAGGCGGCACGTACCGGCGGCTGCGGGGCGGGCGGCGCGGGGGGCGGCTGCTGCTGGTGCAGCGCCGTGTGCGCGGACTGCGAGTGTTGCGGCTGCGTGCGCGAGCAGCTCGACACGCGCCCGCAGCGGTGCTCCGGCGACTGCGGGGGACAATAGCGCGGTCAACTTACTGGTGGAAGGACCTCTTGTGAGTCCGCATGGGTAGGTACCAACGCCCTGCCGTGAAGTAGTAATGCGTTTCGGTTTGAAGGCTGGGGCAGCCGTTGTAACTATACTGAGACCTTAGAACTTATATCTCAAGGTGGGTGGCGCATTTACGTTGTAGATATCTATGGGCGGCTGTAACCACTTAACACCAGGTGGGCTGTGAGCTAGTCCACCCATCTAAGCAATAAAGAAATAAATAAATCAGCTTAGTGGACAGCTCACCGAACCTCAAGTGGTATACTTCAGTGTTTCTGACTCACCTGTAACTGCTCCTGTTTCCACTCGTTGTCGGTTGTCTCCTCGGAGTCGTCGAACTGCGACTTCCACAGCGAGACCAGCGTCAAAGCGCCACCCTTCGTCACCTGTCGGGCACAAACAAACAAAAATATTAATTAATGTATTTTTATTCCCCCGGGATGAAAAGTTCGCTTTTAGTCCCTGGCGCGCGGGACAAAAGTACCCGATTCTCTCGTGGTGAGACTGCAAATGTGCGCATGCGCGTACCTTTCTTTATTTCCCGGTAACCTAGAAACTAATGTTTATATCTTTATGTTAATGGAAGCTTGATCAAGAATTGGGGTTAATTTTTTGTCATAACATACAATTATAATAAAAAATGGATTTGAACAACTCGAGTAATAGTGATTTAGGCGGAGAAGATATTATAAGAAATTTAGAACTAGAAGGAACAGCTATTACTAATGAACTACTTCCAGCAAAATCCAGACAATTATACGAGAAGCGATACAGTCTATTCAAAAAGACTGCTAAATCTATCTTTAATAAATGCTAATATTTGTGCCAAATATAGTCTTATAATTATTTATAAGTTATTTAGAATGCATAATATTAATATATTAAATAAGACATTGTTTTTGCTATTCATAAAAAATATATCTATGTTACTAGGTTAGACCGTCAAATAAAGTAATAGAAATGTTTGATAATGTAATTGGTGATAAATTATTTATGTCATCAAAAATTTTATTTTGAAAGTGGGGGCGGGGGTGGGGGGGGTCTCCGCTAAAATACGTATCTGACTTCAGAATCTCACCAGTTCGGTGCTCACCAATATAGAAGGCTAAACAGCTTTCGTTTTTCAAAAAAAGGCTTGCTTATATAAGTGACGTCGTTCGGGGCCAAGTCGAACTGTGTATGTACGTGGCGACGTACCTGTTGCAGGGCGGAGACGTTCTCGTCGTCCATGACGGCGAACTGCGTGTAGCTCTGGTCGGCGCGCGCGCGGGCCGCCCGCCGCCCTGCTGCAGGACAGAAACTCGATCAGGAATTGGACTAGTACAGCGGGCGCAGTATATACCGGAGACGTTATTATTTTATTACTGGCGCGGGTAGGTACCACCGTCCTGCCTATTTCTGCCGTGAAGCAGTCATGCGGTTTGAAGGGTGGGGCAGCCGTTGTAACTATACTGAAAACTCAGACTTTAAAACTTATACCTCAAGGTGGGTGGCGCTTTTACGGTGTAGATATCTATGGGCTTTAGTAACCACGTAATACCAGCTGGGCTGTGAGCTCGTCCACCCATCTAAGCAATACAGAAAAAAAAGTTGAGGTCCCGCGTCTCAAACCAAAACACCTGACTGCTTGTCGGCAGAACTGAGACGGGGCGTTGATGCATTGCTGCCCGTCCTCCGCGACCCCTCACCCCTATAGATCTGGGGGGTGCCGTACGAAATTAATATTAATAAAAAAGCCACCGTTAATGTCATCTCACCGCGCTTGAAATGCGTGTCCGAATGCATGCTGTCAACGTCAGCCACTATCCTGGGACTGACAGCTTCGCCTGGGAATATAAATATAAGCATGAGCCCGTAAGAGGTCCTTGATCTTTACCGAGTGTCTGAGTCTGTACGTGGCTCACAATTTGTCTCTCAGTAAGTGAATGTATGTCTTAATTGCAAATAATTTAAAATTCATTCTCGCGTTGTATTATTGACATTATATTCTTTCGGATAGTGATGTAGATAGATGACGGTGATGTTGTTTGTCGATGAACTTAAATGCTTTATTGAGTGATTTTTTTTTAATGTAGTAAGTGAATTTATGTAAATAGTCAGCAAATTTATGTACTGTAGTGTGTGAATTTATTTACCCTAGTGAGTGAAATTATGTACTGTAATGGGTACATTTTAATACTTTACTGAGTGAATTTATGTACTTTAGTGTGTGGGTCTGTGTTTTACTGAATGAATCTTTATGTTTTCTCGGCCAGTGAATTGCGTATCATAACGAATTTATTTGTCTTAATGTGTAAATTGGTGTTTTAGTTAATGAATTGTTGCGTTGACGAGTGAATCTTGTTGTTTTGATAGGTGGTTCTCGCTGTGTCTTAGTGTGTGTACGTGTGCATGTTTATGAATGCATGGGTGTGTGTGGGTGAGTGGGTGTGTGGGTGTTTGTGTGCATGTGTGCATGAGAATGTGTGTGTGTGCATGTTTATGTTTGCACCTCTGTGTGTCTGTGTGTGTGTGTGTCTGTCTGTGTGTGTGTGTGTGTGTGTGTGTGTGTGTGTGTGTGTGTGTGTGTGTGTGTGTGTGTGTGTGTGTGTGTGTGTGTGTGTGTGTGTGTGTGTGTGTGTGTCTGTGTGTGTGTGTGTGTGTGTATAGTTACCGGGCGTGGGCGGGGTGTGTGCGAGGTCCTGCACGCAGGTGGGCGGCGCCGTGACCACGCGCAGCCGCGCCAGGGTCGGACCTCCTGCACGAGGGGACCGACATTAACAACGGCCGCTAGTACTAACCGCGCAATGTAACACGAAGTCTAACTCACAATTGTAGGGTAGTTCCGCTGCGTTGTCCACAAAACGGCAACTAACTCGATCAAGTATATTTACTGGTGGTAGGACCTCTTGTGAGTCCGCACGGGTAGGCATCACCACCTTGCCTATTTCTGCCGTGAAGCAGTAATGCGTTTCGATTTGAAGGGTGGGGCAGCCGTTGTAACAATACTGAGACCTTAGAACTCATATCTCAAGGTGGGTCGCACATTTACGTTGCAGATGTCTATGGGCTCCGGTAACCATTTAACACAAGATGGGCTGTGAGCTCGTCCTCCCATCTATGCCATAAAAATAAAATGTAATTTTTTACTGAATTCTCAGTTTGGACTTAGCAAACGGTTTTCATGGTGAGCATTTGTGTGGTGTTCCGGGGGGACTCACCGGGGGCGGGGGGCCTGGGCTTGCACGGGGGTACGCTCTGGCGCTCTGGCCGGGCGCCCGCGGTCAGCGCCGCATTACTCGTCTCTTGCTGTAAAACGAAACGTGAAATGTCACTACAGTACAATTTTTTAAATCAGCTTGTCTTATAGAATGACTACTTAATCGGGAGTAGTCATACCCGATCCTGTAGACCGAATGGTAAACAGTCGACGTCGCCCAAAACACGTCATTACGGATCCTCCCGATCCATTAACGGTGCTTTTAGATACCTCAAGCACCGGTCACCGTCGGGCTCGACGAGTAAATTAGCCCACAGACACAGCCCACTGAGTTTCTCGCCGGATCTTCTCAGTGGGTCGCGTTTCCGATCCGGTGGTAGATTCTGCGAAGCACTGCTCTTGCTAGGGCCAGTGTTAGCAACCTCGTCAGGTTTGAGCCCCGTGAGCTTACCTACGCGTTAGGGTGAAGCTAAAATAGCCTCTCAAGGCTATCAGCATAGGGAGTAGTCCTAATCGCTCTGAGACCAACAGCAAGGTCAAGGCTGAATTTGTTGAGGGAATCGCGCGTTATCGACATAAAAAATTATTAAAAAGCGAACAACAACTGTACTAAGCGAGACAAACGACGTCAACAAACAAACAAACAGTCACAGATCAAGGGGTGAAAAGCTATTTGGTTTAAGTGACATTTTTGTCGTTTAAGTCCAATACCCTTTCTCACATATAATTTTTTATATACTGGGTGTTTATACAGTTTTCTAACGCCGAAGCTTTGAACGGAAAATGATATTAATTAACTAAGCACCTGTCATTTTAGTGAGTTCGTATATCGCTCACCCGCGCATCAATGTATATCAAACTGCCATACAATGTGCATAAAAAAAATTTTTTTTAAGGGATTTTATACTTGGTTACTAAGACCTTTAGTCATGAGCGCATTTTTTATTATTCCAACAGTGATTATAGTGCTATCATTCATCATCATTCTCCTGCCCTTCTCCCAGTCACCTGGGGTAGGCGCAACGTTTTCTCCTTCCATACTCTTCTATCATATACAATTTCTTCGCTCACTTCTCTCTTACCCATATCGTCTTTCACGCAATCCATCCATTTCTTCTTAGGTCTACCAAGAGGTAAAGGAAGACTTTTATATCCTTCCACATTCATAGTTAACACTCTCTTACCAACCTCATTTTCGTTTCGTCTCATCACGAGATTTTAATGCTAAATATGCTTAAAATAACCTTAGCATGTCTGTCAGGCGAGGGCGCTGGTGTCGTTCTGACTTCCACCTCCTTTTCCACGGTCGGCTTCTCGGTGGTGGACTGCGAGAAAAATTAAAAAGTAAACACAATCATTCGCAATTTATATAACGCGTCAATAACGATTTATCTAAGATGAATTTGCTGTTAATGGTACTTTAATAAGTGAACAAAAGCACAGTCTACTTGATGTTAAGCGACACTTGGAGAAATGATTGGCAAAGTCGTTAACTGAGTTGGATATTTTTCCTATTATATTAGTGACGTTTATAAAAATGTTCAAGGGCTTCATGTTAATAGTAGATTAAGTAGTGCAATTGTTTAATTGTATATTATGAATATTCCTTACATTACAAGTTAGATTAGTTTTCGTTATCGTGTTGTTTTGTCGTGTAGTTGTAAGGAACATTGTGTACAAACTCAACACAACACAGCAGCTGTGGCTTATGTTGCAAGGCAGATTTTGTTTCTTTATTTACTGGTCATTATTTTTGATGTATCTTTTTAGCTTGTGATGTGTATTGTGTGCTTAATAAAAATAAATAAAAAATAAAATAGATGAGATGGAAGTCTCAACTGTTTAATATAGCAATTATCTTTCAAACTGTTCAGGAATATAGGACAAAGAAGACGCTATAAGCCGCGCCAATAAAGAAACGAATCAAAAATGGCGGCGGCGATCATGCGCTCTCACTCTAAACTATTGCTGTCTTTACTCGGACACGGCACGTATTGCGTGCAAATTTTTTTATCAATTCTGATATTGTTGTTGAGTTCGAGTTTTTTCACTTACGAGTTGTGCGACTTAAATGACTTGCAGCAAAAGTGTCTACGCAAGTTGCATCCCAGATGAGACACCTCCCCCTCTGCCAGGGCACCAAAGTAAAGTAAAGTACATTCTCAAATGTTTTTTTTATATTTTTTTACAATAAACAACTTTTTCTTTCTTTCTTTTTATTTGTTGACCCTACCATCTGTCAGTGCAGGTACATAGACGCCATTTTCGATTCGTTTCTTTATTGGCGCGGCTTATAGTCGCTATACGTCTGTAACCATTAGGACTCCGATAGGGGGGAGCTGCGACTTTCCGTCGACGACTAACAGGAAGCAAGGCATATACTCACGTAGCCGTTGTGCTGGTGCGGTCCGTGGGCCGCGTGCGGCGCGTGCGCTGCGTGGCGGGGGGATGCAGGGGAGGCGGGGGACGCCCGCTTCTCCACGGGCTTGTCCTTCTGCGGGTTCGTCTGCGTGTCCGTCGCCACGGCCGCCGTCAGCTCCGTGTCGGGACGCCGCCGGCTCTGTTGGCGTTGTCCACGCTTCAATACTCACATCATGACCTCGTTTGGTCTAGGATCCCTGATATTTTATCAGCCAAAGACTGGTATACATACGTACGTTTAATCTGTATAACGTTTGCAAGACGTGGGAATCGAAGCCATAGAGGGGGCTGCCTTAAGCACGTCATTACGGATCCTCCCGATCCACTAACGGTGCTTTTAGGTATCTCAAGCACCGGTCACCGTCCTCGTCGAACGCGTCGCTTGCGACGAAGGGCTCGGCGAGCGAATAAACCCACAGGCACAGTCCACCGAGTTTCTCGGCGGATCTTCTCAGTGGGTCGCGTTTCCGATCCGGTGGTAGATTCTGCCAAGCACTGCTCTTGCTGGGGCCAGTGTTAGCAACACTTCTGGTTTGAGCCCCGTAAGCTCACCAACACGTCAAGACGAAGCCGAAATAGCCTCTCAAGGCTATCAGCATAGGTAAAAAAAGGGGAGACTTTAACGACATTAACTCATCAATGTGTTTACGTCTTTTAAAATGGCTTCGAATACAATCATGTTTTTAAATAACTGGGTAACCAAGTTCTCAGATCTCGTATCGTTAAATGGTCACCACCAAACATAATATATGAGCGTTATACGTTTGAATGATTAAACATTTTGACGTGGCCCTATCTGAATGTTTGTAGGTCTGCACGCGACTCACAATGTCCGGTTGCGTTTCGGTCGGCAGCGCGTGCTCCGGCGCCGGATGGACGGAGGCTCGCGTCCGGGACACGCAGACGGCCTGCAAATTTATTAAACAATAATCTGTAGAGATATACAAGACAAAGGGAAGATCTTATACTGAGCAGGTGATATTACTCGGTAGACCGACGCTCCGAATGTTAGTCTTTTTTTTTTTTCGAGCTCACAACCCACCTGGTATTAAGTATTTACCAGAGCCCATAGACATCTACAACGTAAATGCCGTTACTCATCTTGAGATATGAGTTCTAAGGTCTCAAGTATAGTTACAACGGCTGCCCCACCCTTCAAACCGAAACGCATTACTGCTTCACGGCAGAAATAGGCAGCGCGGTGGTATCTACCCGCGCGGACTCACAAGAGATCCTACCACCATGTGTGGTCGTCAAATATCACCGTAGGTCACCGGTGCCCTATGCGGCGAACTGAACTACCATGTCGAATTCTGTCACTAAGGCGCTTGGATTGCCTAACTTTACCTACGTCTGTGTTTATCTTTCTTTTGTTGAATGTACACAGAAATTTATTTATAAATATCAATTATTCAATCCATTTAAAAGTATACATTAAATAAAGTACAATAATCGTTACGTTCGACAACCCTAGCCGCGATCCACATACACGAAACTGACCTCTATTCCACAGCCATAAGGATCAGTGCAGCTGATTAATCCCTACCTAACTAAAAACAACAAACATATTCGTTCACGGAAAACTGACATCTTTATCCCATTGACAACCCTAACCGCGGTCCATGTACACGAAACTGACCTCTATTCCCCAGCCATAAGGATCAGTGCAGCTGATTAACCGCTACCTAACTAAAAACAACAAACACAATATTCGTTCACGGAAAACTGACCTCTTTCTCCCAGTCGTAGGGGTCGGAGTCCCGTATGCCCCTCCTCTTGCAGCACCTCTCCAGCAGCGAGGTCAGCATGGCGTAGTCCGGCGTGTCCGCGTACTCCAGCTGCTGTACGTGCTCCAGGAACTGGCGCAGCTCCGACGGGAGATGCTTCAGAAGGAGGCGGTGGTCGTACTTCTCTTTCATCAGACCGACCTGTTCAAAATAGTTTATTTATTCGTCGAAGTCAAGTGCCAGGTTTTTCTTCGACTGCCCCAATATTATGACCCCTCTACCTTTTTAGTTTGTTATATTAGATTCCTAGAGCGAGCAGGTGAACTCACGGGCTGAACTTGAGAGAATTTGCTGACACTAGCCCTAGTAAGAGCAGTGCTTCGCTGAATCTACCACCGGATCGGAAACGCGACCTATTGAGAAGATCCGGCGAGAAACTCAGTGGGCTGTGTCTATGGGTTAGTTTACTCGCCAAGCCCAAGCGACGGGTTCGGCGAAAATGATGACCGGTGCTTGAGGTAAAGCACCGTTAGTGGATCGGGAGGATCCGAGATGACATGTTATCCCTCTTCTCAATATCCTTCCAAAAGACATTCCCAGGCCTACTAATGTTAACTTTGCTCTTAACTTTAGTATATACTAAATTTACATTTCAGATGTCTATGGACTCCTGTAGCCTCTTAACACCAAGTGGGCCGTGAGCTCGTCCACCCATCTAAGCCCTAAATAAAAAAGCTTATCGTCATTTTGGTTCCAGGTGTGTTTGTCTTCGTCTCAGCGGCGTTAACCTCTCAACGAACCTGCTCCTTATCCTTGATCTTCCTCCAAGGCAGCTGCCCGTTGACAAATTCCACCAGCATGTAGAAGAGAGACCACAGATCGTCGTGACGTCCCATCTCCTTATTCTTGTGCGCGTTGATCGATGCGTATCTCACGGTGCCTGGAAGTTGACGACTCCTAATTAACTACCCAGTCAGGATATCAGACCAGAGCATCATCACGCGACGCCGTTACCTCTGAAACCGGCCGCCGCCCTGGGGGGCCGCACCTGCCCGTTGCTGGTGGTGTACTGCCGCGCCAGTCCGAAGTCCAGCATGTAGACCTTGCGGCAGTTCGACGGGTGACGACCTATGCTGAAGTTACTCTGAAGACAAAAGGAACTCAGGGGTTTATGGGGGAAGGTGAGAAGATCCAAGCTTAGGATAGCTGTTCAAATGGACTGCGATGTCAACTCGGGGCTATTAGTCACCACCAAACGGCATCAAAAATGACCGCCTTGCCATAGAGAACTGGGCAAGGTGGTTGGTACCTACCCTTGTACGGACGAACAAGACAGGTATTTGTTTTTTCTACAAAATTTTATGTTCCCTCATCAAGGAAGTCATTCGCGACCTTTTTTTTCCAGGCCACGGCCGAACCTCCTAAGAGGTCCTACGAGATTCTACGAGTTATGTGGGACCGGATAGTCCGCAGATGTTAGGAGCGGACAGCAGGCCAAGGGATGGAATTTAGGACCCCACCCTCTAAGCAACTTTTCCCTGCACTCTTTCACTCGACATCCGACCTCCGTCCGGGGTCAGAACCCGATCAGAGTAGGGGGGTTCAAGTCATTCACTACCATCAGTTAAGTACATATTTCATTATAAAAATTGGTAGCAGTTCGCGGGATTCGAATCCCGGCATAGTCGCTCGGTTCGTATGCACCTTATCCTGTAGGTCAAGACGACCTCAATAACCGGTCGTCAAAGTCCAAAACCTTTCTTCGCAATAGACACAAACAGACATATTGCCTTAATTGTTCAATCAAACATCGAGTGATAATACTAGAATCATTTCAGAAAATTCCGAACATTTTTATCGAACTTTGGTTACGTCATGCCAATACCGCACGCGATCATATATCTGATCTGTATCTTTAAAAAAAACCACACGATTTGCGTAGCGCAAGTACGCCGGACGATTTATCGATCGACAAATAAACACTTACCGGCTTAATATCTCTATGTAAAAATCCGACCGAATGTATTGAGTCTATAGCTTTGAGTATTTGCAGTCCTAATCTGAAATAGAAACAAAAAAAAACCCACCTTAAAATTACAATAACCACAGTTAGCCAACAAATCAAACAAAAAAATTGATTTAATTTAATACTAGCGACCCGCCCTAGCTTCGCTTCGGGAACTGTACTTTATTATTGATCTTAAAGAATATTCTTTCATACAAATCTGGTCCTGACAGTGACAATCATAATAAAAAAAACATGACAAACGAATACCCCTCAACAGCCCACTGAATTTCTCGCCATGTATGTATGTAAAGAAAACCATTATTTAAAACTCTTTATTATTAAAATGGTTTTTTCTTTAGTGTCATAGAGTGAAGACTGTCATTGAGTAAAAAGAGAGTTCAGTTTTGTATAGTTCATTAATACTGTTTACTGTTTAATTTTTAATATTAATTTTAAAAGACATTAAATGTTCTGTTAATCTTAAAACTTATACATATAACAGAAAACGCAAGTAAGTATTTTATTTGTTTATTCAATCTGAAGTACGCGAATATAATGAAAGAAGAAAAACCCTGGTGCTTCTCAATGTTACAATTGTACCAAGATCTGACCAGTGCTTATTTACAGATGCATATTTAACTGACTTCGACTACATTGATGACATACTAATTTTTTTTTAATATTTTTTTTTGTTAAAATTTTATCATTGTCTACTTTATTTCCTTTATTATAATAATTACAGTAAAACTGAAACTGAAGTATTTGAGTTGTTGTTGAACAGTTGAGTCGCTTGTTGAAACTGATACTGCCCTCTTAAGCGATTCAGGGACCCACCTTAAAGTAGTGGAGAGGGAGAACGCCCCCCTCGGCTGAGCTCTCCTCAGTTCGGCCAGGTTCCTGCCCTGAAGCTGCATCACGACGTAGTTGAACCTCGCGTTTCTGCCGCAGCCTATGAATCGACACACATGCTCCTTGCCTGAGAAGACGGTGGTCAGAGATTATAATTATAATATTTCACAATTATATAATTGTCACGTATGAACCACACGACCCACCTTGAAGTTTCTTCAGCACGGCCACCTCCATCTTTAGCACCTGTTTAGGTTGTCGGGCCGATTCAACCTTCAGAGCCACCTGTTCCTGGGTGACCAAGTCCAGACCTTCGTATATCTCGCCGAAACCCCCTCCTCCGATTTTCTTCACCACCTGGAAATGAGATTTAAATGAAATTTTAACTTTTTTTTTCTTTGATGCATCCTGGTAAATCTGGTCAATCAGACCGACAATTTATACTATAATTTTAGTGTCTTCATCGCTCCCCGACACGTGCGCGGGCCGTCAAGTTGATCGCACGTGTTGAATTCGAGGACCCACTGAGTTTCTCGCCTGATCTCCTCAGTGGGTCTTCATTCCGAACCGATGGTAAATTCTGCGAAGCACTGCTCTTGCTAAGCCTAGTGTTAGCAAATTCTCTTAGGTTGAGCCTGCCATCTCACCTACCCGACAGGACTTAGCTGGAATAGTCCCATGGGCTACCATAATAGATATTGACGAACATTACGTTGGAAGATGCTGTTGTAAGAGCTCTAATGAAGGCATATACTGGTGGTATCTATATCAACAAGTATACTATGTGGCGGCTGCTTCTCAGCTGTAAGGGGGGCGGGGGGGTTCAGGTAACAGCCGTTGGGGGGCAGATAACACCAGTTGGGGGACCGCGTGCACAGACCTTCCATCGCTCCTTGACGACGTGTCCCGGCTGCAGCAGGTCCTCGGAGGCCATCGTGATGTGGTGCGCGCGGCGGGACGTGTCGCAGCGGGACGCCTCCCTCGACACGCGACCGCCGAAGTTCGGTAGGGTGCGGGACCTCAACGAACAAACAGACGAAGCTAATATAACGTGCCCTCTTATATAGTATTATTAGGTACTAGCCGTACTCGCCCGCTTCGCTGGGCATTTAAAATTAACATTATTATTTATTATCATTATTATTAGGGAGTCCAACATTCATATAAATGTAAGCCTATCCATTAAGTACGTGTATTTTCTAAATGGATACCAAGTTTCAAGTCAATCGTGACCGTGGGTCATTTGGTCCCGGTTTTTTTTTATTGCCTTTGTAGGCAGACGAGCACACAGCCCACCTAATGGTGAGTGGTTACCGTCGCCCATGGACTTCAGCAATGCCAGGGGCAGAGCCAAGCCGCTGCCTAAGGCTTGTTATTACTGTTAATTATTAACCATTTATTACTGGTTATTACTGTTATTAAAGATAGGAGCTGATGGTACCTTAGTAGTGGGTTGGCTTGGATGCGGGGCTGGGCGCTGGCGGCTTCCTCACGCCGCACTTCCCTCTGAAATGAAAAATAAAGTATGGTGGACCTGGTGGTAGATGGAACACCTCAAATTGTATTACGGCTTCGAAACTGAAGCCCACAACAGATTCGCGGTAGACCACTTTACATTAGGTGAACGGTGAGCTTGTTCACCGGGTCTGCCGATAAGCATTGTACCAAGTTCCATCACAATCACATGAATAATTACAATATACAATATAAACAAACAAACAATCAATTTTTGTTTATATCGATATGTCAGAATTATAAACCTTTAAAACTTACAGACGCGATAGATTGCATTATCTGCAGAGCGGTTTGTTCCATAGACTTCATAATATCGCGACAATCTTATTTTAATAGCCTCTTTCGCCACTATTGAATATGTCACTAGATACGGCACGCGGTTTCGTTCGCTTTGAATGTCTAATGCGAAAATAATATAGCAATTTACTTTAAAAAAAATAATCAAAAATCAATGCTAAATTCACAGCAAAATACTCGTAAATGTTATTAGCTTATTAAAAACGTTATAAAAGTCGATGATACTTATAATCAAACTACACAATAGTCGGTATTCCGACGTTACGCACTTTATACGCACTAATAGTGTCGATTTATCGACGGTTCGCACTCAAAATCTCACAAACACGCTTCAATTATCTCGGCTAACCAACAAGTAATTACGTTCAACCCTAATCGAGTCTGGTTCTTATGACCCCCGGAGAATATTTGGGCACGTTCCTGTTGCGATTCACTAACGCACGGATAACCTGACACAAACAAAATAAGCACGTGTAGTTTCAATGAAATTCAAAAGGACACTAAAATTATTACCTTTTACGGTGCGTGGAAATTAACACATACATGTGACGATACATGAATAACGATGAAGGCTTTGCAATAAAAATTGAGCCCATCGTAAACTCAAGGTTTTTTACTAGTGGCAGAGGGCCTTGTGAGCCAGCACGGGTGCATACCAGCGTCCTGCCTATTTCTGTTGTGAAGCAATCAGGCGTTTTCTTTAGTTTTTTTTTTTATTTTATTGCCCTTGTAGGCAGACGAGCACACGGCCCACCTGATGGTGAGTGGTTACCGTCGCCCATGCACTTCAGCAATGCCAGGAGCAAAGCCAAGCCGCTGCCTACCGCTTAATACGCTCCACAAGCCTCGTTTGAAGAAGGACATGTCATAGCGCTCGGGAAACACCGTGGAGCTCATTACAAAGCCGGTACGTGGCAAAAAAGACCTCTGGAAACGCACTGTGGATGACTGCAGTGGCTCCAGGTAGTATGGATGAACTCTACTCCGATGGCGGGCGGTGCGATGCTAAAATCGAGTTGACGGTATCATCTCGAATAATTCCTCAGAGCACCCCAGGGAACATACGGTATAAAATACAAAAGGAGCTGAAGTCCCTCCGCAGACCCAGAGGTTCCAAACGAGGTTAGTTCGTTCAACCTACTTCCACTGGCCTTATTTCGAATAGCCTTAATAGCTGTCATAGACCAGGCTCATTCTGGAAGAATTCGCATTTTTTCTAACAAGAGCAGTAGCTGTCATTTATTTACAAAAATTCAATTACTTATTCATAAAAAAATTGTAAGTTAATTTCGACATTTTTTTCCTTATTCCTGTGTCGTCGTGGCCTAACGGATAAGACGTCCGGTGCATTCGTGTTGAAGCGATGCACCGGTGTTCGAATCCCGCAGGCGGGTACCAATTTTTCTAATGAAATACGTACTCAACAAATGTTCACGATTGACTTCCACGGTGAAGGAATAACATCGTGTAATAAAAATGAAATCCGCAAAATTATAATTTGCGTAATTACTGGNCCGTATAACGTTGACTTAAATCTATATCTACTACGATATTATATCAGCGTATCGTTTCAAATCTCAAATATCATGAATCGAGAAAATCTACTAGCATCCATCAATATATAGATTCAGAAAATATATAGATTCAATATCCGATATTGATCCTCGATATATAGATACGATTCGATACGCGGCAAAACCGATATTACCCACTCCTACATACGTACCTAACCATAACCCTAACTATGAAGGCTATTTGGCGGTCAGCTTCCAACTCTGAATCAGTGCGCGGAACTATCATCGGACCTCCATAACTTAATCTTTCATTTTTTTAAACCTAAGTGGCGAAACCCGCTACAACAGTACGCTCAATCTGTATAATACTCAAACGTTTGCGAGATGTGGGAATCGAAGCCACGATTTTGAGCCCCTATGGGTTTTAACGACACCACCTCATCAATCGATGTGTCTACGTCTTTTAAAATGGCTTCGAATACAATCATGTTTTTTTAACAGCAATTTGACATTTAACTCGGCAACCGAGTTCACAGGTCTCGTATCGTTAAATGGTCACCACCAAACATAATATACAAGCGTTATACATTTGAATGATTAAACATTTTGACGTGGTCCTGTCTGAATGTTTGTAGGTCTGCGCGCGACTCACAATGTCCGGTTGCGTTTCGGTCGGCAGCGCGTGCTCCGGCGCCGGATGGACGGAGGCTCGCGTCCGGGACACGCAGACGGCCTGCAATTAATGAACAATAGTCTGTAGAGATATACAAGACAAAGGGAAGATCTTCTACTGAGCAGGTGATATTGCTCGGTAGACCGACGCTCCGAATGTTAGTAATTTTTTTTTTGAGCTCACAGCCCACCTTTTGTTAAGTATTTACCAGAGCCCATAGACATCTACAACGTAAATGCCGTCACTCATCTTGAGATATGAGTTCTAAGGTCTCAAGTATAGTTACAACGGCTGCCCCACCCTTCAAACCGAAACGCATTACTGCTTCACGGCAGAAAAAGGCAGCGCGGTGGTATCTACCCGCGCGGACTCACAAGAGATCCTACCACCATGTGTGGTCGTCAAATATCACCGTAGGTCACCGGTGCCCTATGCGGCGAACTGAACTATCATGTCGAATTCTGTCACTAAGGCGCTTGGATTGCCTAACTTTACCTACGTCTGTGTGTTATCCTTCTTTTGTTGAATGTATTCACAGAAATTTATATATAAATATCAATTATTCAATCCATTTAAAAGTATACATTAAATAAAGTACAATAATCGTTACGTTCGACAACCCTAGCCGCGATCCACATACACGAAACTGACCTCTATTCCACAGCCATAAGGATCAGTGCAGCTGATTAATCGCTACATAACTAAAAATAACAAACATATTCGTTCACGGAAAACTGACATCTTTATCCCATTGACAACCCTAACCGCGGTCCATGTACACGAAACTGACCTCTATTCCCCAGCTATAAGGATCAGTGCAGCTGATTAATCTCTACCTAACTAAAAACAACAAACATAATATTCGTTTACGGAAAACTGACCTCTTTCTCCCAGTCGTAGGGGTCGGAATCCCGTATGCCCCTCCTCTTGCAGCACCTCTCCAGCAAAGAGGTCAGCATGGCATAGTCCGGCGTGTCGGCGTACTCCAGCTGCTGTACGTGCTCCAGGAATTGGCGCAGCTCCGACGGGAGATGCTTCAGGAGGAGGCGGTGGTCGTACTTCTCTTTCATCAGACCGACCTGTTCAAAATAGTTTATTTATTCGTCGAAGTCAAGCGCCAGGTTTTTCTTCGACTGCCCCAATATTATGACCCCTCTACCTTTTTAGTTTGTTATATTAGATTCCTAGAGCGAGCAGGTGAACTCACGGGCTGAACTTGAGATAATTTGCTGACACTAGCCCTAGTAAGAGCAGTGCTTCGCTGAATCTACCACCGTACTGGAAACGCGACCCATTGAGAAGATACGGCGTGAAACTCAGTGGGCTCTATCTATGGGTTAGTTTACTCCCCGAGCCCAAGCGACGGGTTCAGCGAAAACGATGACCGGTGCTTGAGGTAAAGCACCGTTAGTGGATCGGGAGGATCCGAAATGACGTGTTATCCCTTTTCACGATATCCTTCCAAAAGACATTTCTCGACCTATTAATATTAAGTTTGCTATTAACTTTAGTATATTCTAAATTAACGTTGCAGATGTCTATGGACTCCGGTAACCACGTAACACCAAGTGGGCCATGAGCTCGTCTACCCATCTAAGCCATAAATAAAAAAGGTTATGATTCTAGGGGTGTTTGTCTTCGTCTGAGCGGCATTAGCCTCCAAACGAACCTGCTCCTTGTCCTTGATCTTCCTCCAGGGCAGCTGCCCGTTGACAAATTCCACCAGCATGTAGAAGAGAGACCACAGATCGTCGTGACGTCCCATCTCCTTATTCTTGTGCGCGTTGATCGATGCGTATCTCACTGTGCCTGGAAGTTGACGACTCCTAATTAACTACCCAGTCGGGATATCAGAGCGGAGCATCATCACGCGACGCCATTACCTCTGAAGCCGGCCGCCGCCCTGGGGGGTCGCACCTGCCCGTTGCTGGTGGTGTACTGCCGCGCCAGTCCGAAGTCCAGCATGTAGACCTTGCGGCAGTTCGACGGGTGACGACCTATGCTGAAGTTACTCTGAAGACAAAAGGAATTCAGGGGTTTATAGGGGAAGGTGAGAAAATCCAAGCTTAGGATAGCTGCTCAAATGGACCGCGATGTCAACTCGGGGCTATTAATCACCACCAAACGGCATCAAAAATGACCGCCTTGCCATAGAGAACTGGGCAAGGTGGTTGATACCTACCCCTGTACGGACGAACAAGACAGGTATCTGTTTTATCTACAAAATTTTATGTTCCCTCATCAAGAAAGTCATTCGCGACCTTTTTTTTCCAGGCCACGGCCGAACCTCCTACGAGGTCCTAACGAGATCCTACGAGTTATGACTGGATAGCCCGGAGATGTTGGGAGCGGACAACAGGCCACGGGATGGAATTTAGGACCCCACCCTCTAAGCAACTTTTCCCTGCACTCTTTTACTCGACATCCGATTTCCGTCGGTGGTCAGAACCCGATTACAGTAGAGAGTTGAAGTCATTCACTAACATCAGTTAAGTACATTTTCATTAGAAAAATTCGAGCCCCGGCACAGTCGCTCGGTACACATACACCGGCCGTCTTATCCTTTAGCCCAAGACGACTTCAATAACCTGTTAGTCAAAGTCCAAAACCTTTCTTCGCAATCGACACAAACAGACATGTCGCCTTCATTGTTCAATCAAACATTAAGTATATACTAGAATAATTTCATAAAATTTCGAACAGCTTTACCGAACTTTGGTTACGTCATTTGTGGCCAAAATAGCCAATACCGCACGCGATCATATATCTGATCTGTATCTTTAAAAAAAACCACACGATTTGCGTAGCGCAAGTACGCCGGCCGTCTCGCCCATCAGGCCACGAACGATTTATCGATCGACAAATAAACACTTACCGGCTTAATATCTCTATGTAAAAATCCGACCGAATGTATTGAGTCTATGGCTTTGAGTATTTGCAGTCCTAATCTGAAATAGAGACAAAAAAAACGCACCTTAAAATTACAAAAACCACAGTTAGCCAACAAATCGGAACTAAGAAATTGATTTAATTTAATATTAGCGACCCGCCCTAGCTTCGCTTCGGGAACTGTAATTTATTATTGATCTTTTGGAATATTATTTTATACAAATCTGGTCCTGACAGTAACAAAGACAATAAAAAAATAAAATAAAAAAAAAGACAACGAATAATAAACGAATACTCCTTGTGACAGTCCACTGACTTTCTCGTCATGTATGTATGTAAAGAAAACCTTTATTATTTAAAACTCTTTTATTATTAAAAATGGTTTTTTCTTCAGTGTCATAGAGTGAAGACTGTCATTGAGTAAAAAGAGAGTTCAGTTTTGTATAGTTCATTAATACTGTTTACTGTTTAAATTTTCATATTAATTTTAAAAGGCATTAAATGTTCTCTTAATCTTAAAACTTATACATATAACAGAAAACGCAATTAAGTATTTTTTATTGTTTATTCATTCTGAAGTACGCGAATATAATGAAAGAAGAAAAACCCTGGTGCTTCTCAATGTAAAAATTGTACCAAGATCTGACCAGTGCGTATTTACAGATGCATATTTAACTGACTTCGACTACATTGATGACATACTGATATTTTTTTAATATTTTTTTTTGTTAAAATTTTATCATTGTCTACTTTATTTCCTTTATTATTATATCACTAGCTTTTGCCCACGACTTCGTCCGCGTGGAATAGTTACTTTGGCATAACGCTAAAGTTTACCCGCCTCTTCATTTACGTAGACAGTGAAACATTTTACTTTAACCTCTCAAAAAGGAAAATACCCCGATTTTGAAACATTCTTTATTGGTGCTCCGCTTGAATTGGTGACATTATATAACCTAGTAGTTCCTGAGATTAGCGTGTTCAAACAAACAAACTCTTCAGCTTTATAATATTACTATAGATTACAGTAGAACAGTTAAAACTGAAGTATTTGAGTTGTTGTTGAACAGTCGAGTCGCTTGTTGAAACTGATACTGCCCTCTTAAGCGATTCAGGGACCCACCTTAAAGTAGTGGAGAGGGAGAACGCCCCCCTCGGCTGAGCTCTCCTCAGTTCGGCCAGGTTCCTGCCCTGAAGCTGCATCACGACGTAGTTGAACCTCGCGTTTCTGCCGCAGCCTATGAATCGACACACGTGCTCCTTGCCTGAGAAGACGGTGGTCAGAGATTATAATTATAATATTTCACAATTATATAATTGTCACGTATGGACCACACGACTCACCTTGAAGTTTCTTCAGCACGGCCACCTCCATCTTTAGCACCTGTTTAGGTTGTCGGGCCGATTCAACCTTCAGAGCCACCTGTTCCTGGGTGACCAAGTCCAGACCTTCGTATATCTCGCCGAAACCCCCTCCTCCGATTTTCTTCACCACCTGGAAATGAGATTTAAATGAAATTTTAACTTTTTTTTTCTTTGTTGCATCCTGGTAAATCTGGTCAATCAGACCGACAATTTATACTATAATTTTAGTGTCTTCACCGCTCCCCGACACGTGCGCGGGCCGTGAAGTTGATCGCACGTGTTGAATTCGAGGACCCACTGAGTTTCTCGCCTGATCTCCTCAGTGGGTCTTCATTCCGAACCGATGGTAGATTCTGCGAAGCACTGCTCTTGCTAAGCCTAGTGTTTGCAAATTCTCTTAGGTTGAGCCTGCGATCTCACCTACCCGACAGGACTTAGCTGGAATAGTCCCATGGGCTACCATAATAGATATTGACGAACATTACGTTGGAAGATGCTGTTGTAAGAGCTCTAATGAAGGCATATACTGGTGGTATCTATATCAACAAGTATACTATGTGGCGGCTGCTTCTCAGCTGTAAGGGGGGCGGGGGGTTCAGGTAACAGCCGTTGGGGGCAGATAACACCAGTTGGGGGACCGCGTGCACAGACCTTCCATCGCTCCTTGACGACGTGTCCCGGCTGCAGCAGGTCCTCGGAGGCCATCGTGATGTGGTGCGCGCGGCGGGACGTGTCGCAGCGGGACGCCTCCCTCGACACGCGACCGCCGAAGTTCGGTAGGGTGCGGGACCTCAACGAACAAACAGACGAAGCTAATATAACGTGCCCTCTTATATAGTACTATTAGGTACTAGCCGTACTCGCCCACTTCGCTGGGCATTTAAAATTAACATAATTATTTACTATAATTATTATTAGGGAGTCCAACATTCATATAAATATTAGCCTATCCATCCTATTAAGTACATGTATTTTCTAAATGGATACCAAGTTTCAAGTCAATCGTGACCGTGGGTCATTTGGTCCCGGTTTTTTTTTATTGCCTTTGTAGGCAGACGAGCACACAGCCCACCTGATGGTGAGTAGTTACCGTCGCCCATGGACTTCAGCAATGCCAGGGGCAGAGCCAAGCCGCTGCCTAAGGCTTGTTATTACTGTTAATTATTAACCATTTATTACTGGTTATTACTGTTATTAAAGATAGGAGCTGATGGTACCTTAGTAGTGGGTTGGCTTGGATGCGGGGCTGGGCGCTGGCGGCTTCCTCACGCCGCACTTCCCTCTGAAATGAAAAATAAAGTATGGTGGACCTGGTGGTAGATGGAACACCTCAAATTGTATTACGGGTTCGAAACTGAAGCCCACAGCAGATTCGCGGTAGACCACTTTACATTAGGTGAATGGTGAGCTTGTTCACCGGGCCTGCCGATAAGCGTTGTACCAAGTTCCATCACAATCACATGTATGATTAGATTATACAATATAAACAAACAAACGATCAATTTTTGTTTATATCGATATGTCAGAATTATAAACCTTTAAAACTTACAGACGCGATAGATTGCATTATCTGCAGAGCGGTTTGTTCCATAGACTTCATAATATCGCGACAATCTTATTTTAATAGCCTCTTTCTCCACTATTGAATATGTCACTAGATACGGCACGCGGTTTCGTTCGCTTTGAATGTCTAATGCGAAAATAATATAGCAATTAACTTTAAAAACAAAAAATCAAAAATCAATGCTAAATTCACAGCAAAATACTCGTAAATGTTATTAGCTTATTAAAAACGTTATAAAGGTCGATGTTACTTATAATCAAACCACACAATAGTCGGTATTCCGACGCTACGCACTTTATACGCACTAATAGATGATCGATCTATCGACGGTTCGCACTCAAAATCTCACAAACACGCTTCAATTATCTCGGCTAACCAACAAGTAATTACGTTCAACCCTAATCGAATCTGGTTCTTATGACCCCCGGAGAATATTTGGGCACGTTCCTGTTGCGATTCACTAACGCACGGATAACCTGACACAAACAAAACAAGCACGTGTAGTTTCAATGAAATTCAAAAGGACACTAAAATTATTACCTTTTACGGTGCGTGGAAATTAACACATACATGTGACGATACATGAATAACGATGAAGGCTTTGCAATAAAAATTGAGCCCATCGTAAACTCAAGGTTTTTTACTAGTGGCAGAGGGTCTTGTGAGCCAGCACGGGTGTGTTTTTTTTCCTACCTAAGCTGAGAGCCTTGTGAGGCTATTTCAGCGTAACCTTAACTAGTAGGTGAGCTCACGGGGTTCAAGCCTGACGACGTTGCTAACACGAGCTCTAGCAAGAGCCGTGCTTCGCAGAATCTACCGCCGGATCGGAAACGCGACCCCTGAGAAGATCCAGCGAGAAACTCAGTGGACTGTGTTTGTGGGTTAATTCACTCGTCGAGCCCTTCGTCGCAAGCGACGGGTTCGACAAGAACGATGACAGGTGCTTGAGGTACCTAAAAGCACCGTTTTAATGGATCGGGAGCATCCGAAATGACGTGTGCACGGGTGCATACCAGCGCCCTGCCTATTTCTGCTGCGAAGCAATCACGCGTTTTCATTAGCTCGTTCAACCTACTTCCACTGGCCTCATTTCGAATATCCTTAATATATTTCATAAACCAGGCTCAGTCTGGGAGAGTTCGCTAACATTTACTCTAACAAGAGCAGTACCTAGTTGTCATTTATTTACAAAAATTCAATTAATCATAAAAAATTATAAGTTAATTTCGACAATTTTTTCTATATACAATTTTTTTTTTTTAGATACATGAGTTCTAAGGCCTGAGTTTGTACAGTACAACGGCTACCCCGCCCTTCAAACCGAAACGCATTACTGCTTCACTGCAGAAATAGGCGGGGTGATGGTACCTACGCATGCGGACTCACAAAAGGTTCTACCACCTGTAAAAGAGGTGTTAAGAGAAGTTTCGCTGAAATCAAATAGCTTTTCACCCCTCGTTAAATAATTATGAGTGCGCGAAAAGCCCTCACCTGTGGTTCATTTCTTGTTTGACGCTGTACCGGAGCGGCAGAACCGGAGCCCTGCGATGCTGTGTCGGCAGACGAAGTCGAAGACTCTGCGAATAACGTGATCAGATTTAAAAACTCTCGAATCAATCGTGGTTTTTTAGTCAAAGACCTTTTTTTTCTATCTAAGCTGATAGCCTTGAGAGGCTATTTCAGCTTAACCTTAACCAGTAGGTGAGCTCACGGCGCTCAAGCCTGGCGACGTTGCTAACACGGGCCCTAGCAAGAGCCGTGCTTGAGAGAATCTACCACCGGATCGGAAACGCGACCCACTGAGAAGATCCGGCGAGAAACTCAGTGGGCTGTGTCTGTGGGTTAATTTGCTCGTCGAGCCCTTCGTCGCAAGCCGGGTCGTCGTCGGGTTCGTGATCAACATGTCCTGTGACACATAGGCCTCTTCCAGCTGCCTGCTCTTTCATCTCCCTGATTTAATTCTTCACAAATTATAAGGTCTTATAATTCTTCGGTATTCACAAGTCGCAGACACAATTGAAATTACTTTTACGGTTTAATCTAGTGTCTTCGGAACGCCAAAAATAATAACATATCAAGGGGTGAAAGGGCTATTTGGTTTCAGCGACATTTCGCATTTATCTTTGTTGTCTTGTCTATCTTTGTTGTGTTGTAATTTATCTTGTCTTGTCAAAGGCGCGTTTTATTTGGTATGATCAGCATCAACAATTCGATGTTTTTAATTGAACTTCAATTAAGTTTACACAAATCAAATAGCGGAATATTTTTTTTGTATTATGATATTTTTTTCAAATTTACCACTTCCTGCTCTCCTTGTTGCAAAAATGTTGCTTAAACCAAATAACCTTTCATCTCATGATATATTAAAAATAAAAACACTAGAAGAAACCGTAAAAGTAATTTCGAATATTTCATAACATTTTAATTATCAATCAGATGGGGTTTTTTTTATTGGGTACATGGGATGCATTCCATTTACCTTAAAGCTTTACGATTTACTTTAAAACTAAATAAGCCTATTTAATTTCAGTAATCGGAATCTATAGATTCAACAGCTTGATTCCCTCCATCCAAATTGGGACATGAGCTTCCGAATTTACTAAATCAGGGCTTGCACATACCATTAGTTTAAGAATTCCTTCTACCACCAACTAAAAGTCCTTTATCGCAGTATCCTCGTATAAAGACCGTTTCACAACATCCAAAGATGAGGTGATGCCATTCTATTCCACCTCAAGAATAAATACTACCTACTGGTGGTAGGACCTCTTGTGAGTCCGCGCGGGTAGCTACCACCACCCTGCCTATTTCTGCCGTGAAGCAGTAATGCTTTTCGGTATGAAGGGTGGGGAAGCCGTTGTAACTATAATTGAGACCTTAGAACTTATATCTCAAGGTGGGTGGCGCATTTACGTTGTAGATGTCTATGGGCTCCAGTAACCACTTAACACCAGGTGGGCTGTGAGCCCGTCCACCCATCTAAGCAATAAAAAAATATAGAAACACTCACCAGATCTATTATCAGATTGGTGAGGCGCTTTCTCTTTGAAGGAAGACTGCCTCTCGCAAGGTTCCTGTTCCCTGTAAAAAAAAAACGTCATTACAACTTCAAAATGCTTATTCAATCTTGAGCGTTGGCGGTATGGAGACTGGAGTTATTGAGGTATAACGCATTGTGCTCTCGTCTCAAGCGATGCGAGACTGCATTTGTTCAGAATCCGCAGACATGTAGACACATTTCGCTCACAAAGTATTTATTAAATCGTTGAAGTGTGAAGGTTATGATTACATTTATTATTTTCTGGGCCAGGGTAAGAACCTCCTACGAGGTCCCCACGTCTAGGGGGCACTTGGATATGTGGGACTGGACGATTCGCAAATGTGGAGAGCGGATCAAGGCTGACTTTTAGGGCTTTACCCATTAAACTACTGCCCTGTACTCTTGCCGGATCGGAAACGCGACCCACTGAGAATATCCGGCGAGAAACTCAGTGGGCTGGGAGTGTCCGCTGTAAACATTGCAACTAGACACACAGCTCACCCCTAAGGATGCTCGGCTGACGGAGCCCTCGAGGTGAGGTAAAGACGGCTTGTGTACTGAAGTTTTTTTTTCCACCAGGATATATGTGCGAGCCCCTCTCAACGGAGAAGGGTGTGGTCTAACAGCTGCCCTAACGCCTCGTGTTCCTGAATGACTTCCGTGAACAAAAAAAATATAAAGTTACTTTAAATTTTCAAATAAAAATATTGGATTAAAAATAATAAAATTTATTCGAACATTAAGAACGAGGCGATAAATCTGAGACAGGGCTGCATCAAGCCTAAATCCATCACTGCCTATACACCAAATAATGAATGTGTGGCACCATGTGTGTGTGTCGTTATCTCTACAAATGTAACAATTTGATATCGATATCAGCCAATAAACTCCAATTAGATAATACAAGACGATATGTTTATTTGTCGATAGATAATGGATATGTTACGAACGTTAATTAATTTATGATTGTGGATTCGATTCTGTGGTCAACGACGTCGTGGCCTCAAGGATAAGATGTACGGTGCATTCGTATGTAGCGAGGCACCGATGTTCGAATCCCGCAGGCGGGTACCAAAATTTTTCTTATGAAATACGTACTTA